ATTTTGCGATCAAATTATTAACTACGGTGTGTACCATAAATATACCAACCCTTGCAAATTTAAAGAATTCGATCCTTTAAAAATAAACTATACCACAATGCTCATTTTATTTCAAATCTTACGTACAAAAACAAAAATTTAATAATTTATTACATGTCTGACGGGATTTATATCGAGAATTCTGCTTCGAACGCGTTAAAATGAAGCGTGCAAAGAGGAATGAGATTGGATAATTGAGGTGTCTTTCCCCTACTCGGTCAGCTATCGTGTAACGAGACATTGATTCAGGTATAGTTAGTCAACCACGCGTTTCAATTGTATCGTTTACCTGTAATTCTACGAATAACAGTAATTTCTTGTTTTTATTTGAAGGAGTCGAAATAAATTGAATCGACCAATTCAAGCTGGAAGAGAAATATCTCGTTTTCGTTTGTTACGATTAACGATCATTTACGGAAAGTATGGCCCGGCGTGGTCGATAAAAATTACAGCTTCGACGGTGCTCGTCGGTAGTAGAGCTCAGGCTTTAGGAGATGAGCAAGATTGAGCAATCTTCTGCTAGCCTGATGTAGCAATATCTTAGCGACGCTACTGTAACGATAATATCACGGTAATGGCTGTAACCGTTGCGATAATCGAGTCTTGGTTTCATCTCGTTTCTCCTTCGTCTTTCGGTTCTCTTCGACCTCTTTCTACAACCGTGCCAGTGCTCGGTTAAATATTATTTCAATAAATGTTACAACAAAAATCTATTCCAGCATGTTTTCTCAAGTTTACAAATAAATGGAGTACTCGTGGATAGCAAATAACTAGACTCCGCATGTTTATGCGTTTCAATTTTCAAAAACCCATGCAACGCACTTTATATGCAAATACAGGGTGCACTCCTGGGAAAAATTTTAATGGAAGATTCTAGAGGCCAAAATAAGACGAAAATCAAGAATATCAATTTGTTGATTGAGGCTTCGTTAAAAAGTTATTAAAAAATTAAATTAAAAAATTTCAAACCATTCTGAAAAAATTATTTTTGGTTGCGGGGGACAATTACAATCATTTTTGGTCAATAGATATACCCCAAAAATCCTGCGCAATTTTCGAGAAAAAAATTCGAGTAGGTAGACAAATTTGTCGGTGAAAAAAAAATTTCAAATCGTTCTAAAAAAATTATTTTCAAATACCGGGGTCAATTGCAATTATTTTTGTTGATTAGACACATCCCCAAAATCCTACGCATTTTCGAGAAAAAAATTCAAGTAGGTGGACAAACTTTTTACAAAATTAAAAAATTTCAAATCGTTTTGGAAAAATTATTTTCGGCTGCGAGGGTCAATGACAATCATTTTCGGTGAATAGACACACCCTCGAAATCCTACGCACTTTCGAGAAAAAAAACTCTTTGCCGAAAATATACTGTCTGGCCAGAAATGTTTCTTTATGTTCAAAAAATCATAACTTCTGGACGGATTGAAGAATTTTAATGATTCAAAATTCAAAAAATTCGTGTTAATGAAGCTCTGGAGTCCTAGAAAAATGGACCGAAAATATAAGCAGTCTAGGAGTTATTTGTCATCCATTATCTGTCTTGGCGGGTGAGACGAAAGAAATCTGATGGTAGATAAATAAGGTCCACCCTACTGTACAACTGCTAAATTCACACATAACTCACACACACACACACACATACACACACGTATGTGACCACATACCTAAAGCTAATCAAGAATCTATAAAGTAAAGACGTTGAATAAGTGCGAACAAAGTCGTTAAAGTTGATAGGTAAGCAGAATCCATAATTATTGATACTCATTGCGACTCCGCGGAGACCTTTGCTTAGCAAGTTTACTGGTCCTACATTTGCAGGATTGTTTCGCAAGATTTAATTGTCCCATTGTTGATCCCGCTTAAGATTCTCGACTCCTCGAGGTATGCATCTCTATAGGTCCTAATTGTTCTGTCCGTTTGATCACAACGTGGGAACCTCGATTGTTGCAGGGGCCACCAAACGTTCCTGACAATTTATTTGGCAATTACGATTACAAATACTTTATCGCTCTGAATTCGTACAAATTGCACGCTTCTGAATTTCCAATTTCATCGAACCTTATTTAGCCATACGTTCATTCTGTTTCAGTAAGAGGATACTATTACGCTATCTTGTATCGTTTAATTTGCATAAATATTTAAATACTCGAAAGTTTTGCGCGATCAGACATTGTAATTTAAGATTCGTACATTTCTATCGGAACGTATGGTACGGAATCGTTGATTCAGTCATTCGATGGACGATCTGCACTTGATCGTAAAACTAATACGAGCGGCTCGCTATTCATATGCTCGTGGATGATAAATATATCGACGAACCCCGGGAGGCTGTCAAGACGTGTCTCGCGAAGACGAGCATCGGGTCGACTTGTTGGCAGATCTAAATGTCACGAGATTCACACAGGTATTACGCGCTGAAGGGGTTATGTCATTGCCTCTTCAGACAGTGCTACTGCGTAAAGACGAAATGAAAAACACGAAAAGGAAAATTCAGTGTTACGTGACTCCGCGACATACGCGATTCCGTAATCGCGTTCGATTAAAACTTTCGCGATCCTTCCGTTTTCCAAAGTTAACAGCCGTTAAGGCATCTCAATCTTCGCTACACACGTACTCTTCTACTTGTTCAAAAGGAGGATTAAAATCAAGTGAAGACGCATTTCAGAAACGTCACCTTTAGAACGTGATCTGGTCCGTTTTTGAAATAAATTTCTATGGAAACTAAACCAAAAATATGCAGGTTTAAACGGTTTAGAAATGCTTCGATTTTTAGACAAAACAAAAGTTTAGACTCTAATAGAAGGCAATACGACTTTTGTTTCTTTTTCTACTAATTGACAAACTTAATCGTCACTTTGAGAACGTCGACTTAAGGGGCCTTTCTACCTTGTGGGATTAAAAAAATCGATATTTTTTTTTGCATTTTCCTTTAGTATGTAGTCTCGAAAATATGTCTACCAAATATTAAATTGAAATTCGGAAACCTAACGAAGTTATAGCCTGCTGAAATGTACCGCGCGTAGGTATAACAACTAGACGTGAAACTTTAAAGTTGTTTTTCTCGAAACTACATCTTTCGGCACTGCGTGCGTGATAACTAAAAAACTATTCAAGATATCAACATCAAATTTATACAATATCTTCAAAACTGGTCTCCCTATAGCATGAACTAGGATAATTGCGATATATGCAATACTTTTTCTTTTATTAACAAAAAAGCAACCAAATATATGAAAATATTCAATATTTTTTCGTAAAATAGCTGCCATTTTGTCATTTTTTGTTTTTTTGAAAAGATCCTAGTTCATGCTATAACCACACTCATCTATATTAAGAATATCGTTGGTTTTAGGATTTCGAATAACTTGTTCGCAAGATATCACGTACGCAGTCGGGTGCCGTTCGTAAAAACTGTTGTTTGATGATCAACAAAAACAGCGTAATCAATAGACATTATGCGTTGCAAAAATTCGTAAATATAGCTAAATATATAATAAATGTATCTACAAAATCCGGAATTAATCGCTCTTTAATAACCCGCAAAAAAAAATCACAAAGAAACACGTATTTTTCATGCCTACAAGGTAGAATGGCCTCTTAATGAATACACAAATTGTAATTGTATTTTTTTGATTACGAGTAACTGACGCTTTTATTCGCAGTTTGTAAAAAAAGGAATTTTGTTATTGTTGAGAAACGCAAGTTCTGAAAGTATAGACTGACGGATCATTGGCACACTTTAACTCGATGCGATGAATTATTAAAAATCGGTGTCAAAAGTGGGTGTCAAATCCGTGGAGGAGGTTAGAAAGGAAAAGGAGAAAGAAATGGAAAGCGCGGTCCCAGGTACCGGGATTTCACTATGGAAATCGAAATTTTATAAATCATTCTTTCGGTATGCTGGCCTCATTAGACTGCGATTGGGCTAGATTGTGAAAATCGGCGCGAAAGACCTCGATCGTAAATATTAAATTCGCAAGATCGACAGGATCCGGCAACGAATCTGATTGGATGGCTCGTATGTACACCTGATGACCTCGCCCTACAACTAGCCATTCGATCACCAATCGATTCCGTACCGTGTGACGTTCTATTTTATTAATAATGATCTCTCTCCGCGTGTTCGGTGACAGGTTACCCGAGGTCTTGAAAAATAATGTGACTTAATCATTTTCACATCGGCTTTTCTATGCATACTTATTTTCTTTCGTTTATTTATAAAACAACCGTACTTTCAACCATTTATTTAGTGCCAGAAGAACCATATTCAATGAAAAAGAAAGTATTAATCATAGTATCAAAAGAAGTGTAAAAGAAAACCATTAGTAAAAGAAGAACTTTGGAAAGTACTTTAATCTATGCTGTTCGTTATTTCAGATAATGGATTGGAAAAAGCTGTGAGACGAATGTCCAGCCTGTACTTTTTGAAATATGTCAAATAGAAGCGGTCTAAATGAAATTATTTGAAGTTTTACGCTTCAACAATTTTTGTAAATCCGTTATAAATCGAACAACTATACTCCTAAGGGTTTTAGTCTCGATTTACCCCCAGAACCGTAGGCATGGAGTTGCACTGCATGGATTATGTTATTACCGAAACAGATTAAAAATCCGATCGGGTCAAACGGTTCTGGTTGAAATTTATATAGTATATTCTGGTACAACAACCTCCGTGCGTGTCGATAGTTGCTCGTAATTATAACTGGACTGGTATAACAGGGTTCCACGGGTACGAACATTGCGCAAACGCATAAATTAAACCAGTAAGTTATCCTCGCGCCGAACACGCACCGTTTTCTTTCAGTTTGTTTAACATGAAAATTATTTTCCCTCGCACGACGCTTTCACTATCTTTTTCTCTGTCAACGTATCGATAGGTACATTTCTGACGAAGTATATCCTCTGGGATATCGATTTATTTCGTGAAAACTAAGTTGTATTTCGATTGTTTGTTGCAGTTTTCGTGTCAATCCTCAACCTCCAGCATGGCTCCTTGTTATGCAGCGCGGGGGAACCTGGCGTAAATATTAAAATATTAAAAATTACTTAATGAAACCATTGTAGTTTACACAAGTAATCCACAAAAGAACTAAAAAATGAAGAACTGGTACTGAAAGACGTAGAAAAATTATAGAAAAACTTTTAAAAAACATCGTTGAACGTTGTAAATTATTTCAGAAAATTCATTTTATAAATTGCCAACTTAAATAACTAGTTAAATTACGTTTCCACTGAATAAATATAGTTAAAATATAGCTCGTGTATATTTTCAGGTTTCATTTGAAAAATTCTTACCTAAAATGTAAGTTTAAAGTATTCTTTAACAGAATGGCACGTCGAGTGTACTGTTATTAATTATTTTACAAGTATTTGGACTTCGACAACCTGCCGGAAACGAACTTCTCGTGCCAGGGGAAGGTGATTGGTGGATATTATGCGGACGTGGAAGCGGGATGTCAAATGTTTCATGTTTGCACCATCGGTCAGAAAGGTAATTCAGTATTATTGATATCGAAATATATTAATTGTGTCTTTGAAAATAATACAACACAAAATTAACAGAGACTGAAACGTTATGATACTTCTAAACGCATAAAAATAAATGTCTAATACCGGTATTGAAAAAAAAACTATTAACAAAAATTGTAAGAATTGAAAATTAAAAGTCACCCAGATCATCCGATCGGTTTCTCGTGACGAATCGGAGCCATTCTCGACTTAGGTCAGTAAACGTTTCTCGACGACCGTGACATTCTCTGACGAGTGATTCCTCGATCGATTACAAAACTACGATCGACGTTTGCCAGGGCCCCAGGTGAACCTTTTGACTATTCGATCGGTCGATCGGCCGATTTGTTGAGTTACGGCGCCCCGTACCATCGATACAATCTTAATTATCGATTCTAATTGTCGCAACACCTAAAAGATCCGATCGATAAATCGCTTGAGAACCTAACACTATTAATCGTAATTCGATCTTTTCTCGTCGGCTAAAATAAATTTAAGCGATCGAACGATAGCGTCGAGACCCGATGTTTCAATTTTTTACGTCATTTGCAAATCATCGAGACTTTTGTTTAGTGTTCAACCATTGATTAATAATTTTTATACGAAGTATAAATCTATGTAATAATAAATGTTTTTTTACCGAATACTATTAACATGTTTTATATACAAAGAATTATAGCGATTAAAAATATTACTAGCGAAATGTTTAGACGTTTCGAGACCGATAATCCTGAAGAGCATCCCCAAATATTGATCCTGTCCTTCACCATGAGACTTGGTTTCAGACGAGATTATGGACATAAAATTCCTCTGTCTGAACGGAACCGTCTTCGATCAGGAAACCAGAGTTTGCGAAAGGGTGGATGAGGTCGACTGCAGCAAGAGCGAGCGATTCTACAATCTGAACTTGGAACTCTATGGAAACAATGCGGTAACTCTCAGGTAAACAACGAAATTTTAATGGTCTTTTATTAAAGATCGTAAAAAGATCTGATTACTCTAAGGTCAAACTTTTGAATCATTTGTTTTTTTTAGCTTGCACGAGAACAACGACGACAACGTTGATCCGTCGGATCCCACTGATGATCACCAACAACGCACCACTTCCGCGCGGCCCACCACGTCAACGACAACGACCACCACCACATCGAAGCCCAACAAACCGTCCACAACACCAGCTTCCAGTTCTTTCTCGCATCCAACAGGATATCCCCAACATTTCCAGCCTCAGCCGTCGTTCCCCCAGGTTCACACTAGCCAATCTAAGTCATTGTACGATGATAAGAATGGCGGATATCATCACCAGTACATCTTCCACAATGGCGAGAGGAGCAACAACCAACCAGCCACCTCGTACCAGCTGTTCAGCAACCAGGGAATCAGCTCTACGACTGCCCAGCCGCCCCAGGTCCACCAAATCAGATTCAGTTCGACTTCCAGCCCACAAATAATTCACAACGAGCCTTCGACCGTCGCTCCTCTGTTCCACGTGACTTCGTCCACGATTCAGACGCTTCTGAGCAACAATGCCAACAGTCCGGCCTTGATAAACCCCATTTTTCATAATCACGGTATCGCCAGCACCACGGAACAATTCTCGCTGCATAATAACAATCCTAGGGAGACCTCGGAGTATCGTGAGACCGGGGAGCAGAATATAAGGCCGTTGGAAGCCGTTCAATCGACCAACAAAGGAAAGGTACGTAATAGAAAAATTATCTCGGACAACGAACAATAAATTTCGTTAGTTTTGCTGATGTCTTAAATTCGATTGTCCCCAGATCTCAAAATTGACCATCTCCCCGGTGCCAACGCCGTCAGCGTCTCCGCGATCGATACAAACGAAGATCAGTCAAAGCTCGCAGCAGCAAAGAATCCCCGGAAACTTCTTGCCCACCCCGATCATCGACGAGACGACGATCAGGTCCTTCTATCCAACCCTCAGAAGTGCATCGAAATCAACGCAGTCCACCAGCGAAGTCACCCAACACATTCATGTGCTGCCTCCTGCGCCGATTCCTCAGTTGAAACCTCATCAGATCACTATCAATCTTCCGCCACCAGATATTCAGAGGATGGTGCAGAATCCGTCACCGTTGCTACCCTCACAGTCCAGAGTGATCGTCACTGCTAAAGCGAGCGTTAGCGACGAGTCGGGTAGACCTTTGAACACCACACAATTGGTTACTCTGCCTCTACCAACGATCCCTGCCAGCTACGACGAGTATAAAGAAGGAGACGAGACCTTTGATCCTTTCTACAGAGACGTTCCAAAGATTCGTAACGCTAGGCGCATCGCGAGACGAGTGAAAACACCCTCGAGACGCAAGCGATCCGTTGGCCAAACGAAAAATTCAATGGTCTCCTTCGTCTATGGTGGCGATTCTCGTAGGAGAAGGCAGGACGTTCAGGCCGTAGACATCGGTAAAAAGGAAAGAAACAAGGAAAAGGTTGATATCGATAACACCAAGGATTTCAAGTCCATCAAAGAGAGTCTGATGAAGTTTAGAGACATTCTTTTCGGCGGTGAATTCACAGAGGACGCGATTCGCAATATTTTTGGAGGAAGTACATTGCAGAACGTTAATTCCAATAAAAAGGCGAAGAGTACAAACACAGTGTCACTCGAAGATTTGGAAACGAAGGCTTCGAAAAATATTAAAACAAGACAGTACGAGGATACCACCGAAGAGGAGTCCGAGAGCAAGGAGACTAAAATTGATGAGGACGAGTATTCGGAAGATGCTGAAACCTCTATTACGTTAGACACCAAAGCATCGGATGCTGAAGAATACATCGATTTAACCGACTATAGAGAGAAAGAGGAGAAAGAGTTGGACGAAAATAATGCTCAAACAAACATTCCAAACAGCGAAGAAACAGACGAGCCAGAAACTTCTAATATTAAAGTGGATACGAATGAAAGGGATGCATTGAGTTCGAACAAAAATGAAACTGAAGACGAAAAACGCACGGAATCCAAACATGACATTGACATCGTTATACTTGACCCAAATGAGTATCTTAAACAAAGATCCTCTGGCCAAGAGAATCCTGAAAACGTAACTGAACAGGATTCAACATCGACAGACATTCCAGTATTGTCTACAACTGGACAAACTACCACTGAAGTTACATTAATAACGGACGATGATTCTAAGCACTCTGAAGAACAGGATGACGAAATTAAAACAAACAAGAAACTCTCAAAGGTTGAGGAAAATGAAGAAAAAGAAGGTTTTATAAACTCAAAGAACCAAGACACTGAAGCTGAAGCAAACAAACGACCCAAAACCATTGAAAATGGCAAAGAAAAAGATTCTAAGAACTTGAAGGAGCATGATATCGAAATTGAAATAACTAAACATCCTAAGAAGGGTAAGATCGATGAAGAAAAGAACTCTGAAAATCTAAAGGAGCAGGTTGTCGAAGCTGAAGCAAACGGACAACCCAGAAAGGTTGAAGGTAACGAAGAAAAAGTGTCGGAAGAAAGTAAGAAAGAGAAACCCAAGGAACGAGTAGATCCAAAACCAAACGCAAAGAGAAAAAGTTCCAGAATAAGATCACCCTCGGGGAAAATATCTTTAAGAAAAAAGGATCCAAAAAGTGTAGAGAGAGAGATACAAAATGACCAAACGCTGATTATTGACCAAATTGGTGTTCACGAGTCGGTGACTACAAGCTCTCCAACTGTGAATCCTGAGATAGAGCAAATAAATAAACACATTTTTGACGAACCAGAATCACAGACTTCTAAAGAGGTGGATACCAGAGCTGTGGGTCACCGTAATAGTTACGCGAAGAGCCTTCAAGTTGGAAAAGATCAAAACGCTGAGATATACAATAAAAAGAATGAAGCTAACGAGTATGATATCTTGGAAAAACAATCGAAAGACACGAAGGACAGTCAAGTTAAGGCCGATGAATTTTTAAATAGAAAGGAGGAATCAACAGTTTTCTTGTTGGGCGATCATGAGGTCAAGGAAGATGAGAAACGAGTCGAAGAGTTAGACTCCGTCGAAGTAACAAAGGAAAATACTTCCGTGGAAGAGAACGAATATAATGAAGAATCGTCGATCGACGACAAGTCTGTGAAAGACGAATCCACCACGGTTTACAACGACGAAGATTTCAAAGACGATTCCCAAGAAGACCCTGAAACGTCTCACGAAGTTGATACAATCACACGGCGGGGGAAGAATATGAAAATTGAAACTACATCGAGCGAAACTTCTTCTCACAGACCAGATAAGAGCAAAAAGTTCTTAGAGGAAGAAGAAGAAGAAAAGGAATCTCAGGAATATTCCACTGTTAAAGGAGAAGAAATTAATTCGCAAGAAGTTTCCTCCGAGTATAACGATTCTACGGAATCATTAGACGAAGGCCCTCATGAAATCAACATAAACGATGATTACAAAGACGCTGAAAGTCACGATGATTTATCGATTTCTTCGGAACACAACAATTCTGACGAAATTACACATTCTAAGGAGGAGATTGAAGGAGAATATGACGAGGACGAATCAACATCGATCGATCAGGAGGACAGTACAGAGGGAGTCCTCAAGTTCACCGATGAGTTGCCCAAAGACAAGAAGGAGGACGTGTCGGATGGCAAGAAATCATCGGAGTCTGTGGAGAACATTGCTCACGATTACGTCGATGATAATTACGAGCCCGATAATTACAAAGAACGTGAATCGACAGTGTCTAACAATTTGAACGATGAAAAAACGAACAAAGAAGTTAAAGAAGATAAGATAAAAGAAAATAAAACGGGCAATACTAAAGAAACCGACGAAGATGAAATAGAAACTACTACGATACCTCAAGACAGTCAAAATGACAAAATTGAAGAGGAAATCCAAAAATCTAAAGATCCTAGTACAGAGGAGACAGATTCACTACAGACAACAACACCAACAACTACAACAACACCAACAACCACAACGACGACATCAACTTCAACGACAACGACATCAACAACGACTCCAACAACGACGACGTCAACGACTACGACAACAACCGTTCGTCCTACAGTTCCAAAGTTGTTCAAACCAATTACAGCGAGGAAGAATTACAACTACATCCCTCCAACAACAACCCCAAATCCCGTGATCATAAAACCAAGGCACAGTCTGCTGAATCCTAAGCCAGCAAAACCAGCCAAGTCCTACAATGATTTGGCACCAAAACCCGTAATCAGAAAATTCCCCTTATTGACGCGTAAATCAATAACTAAGATGCCAACCACCACGATCAGGGATGAAGATTCGACGAAGGTTACAGAGCTGCCAGTGACAGTGACGGAGGCATCCACGACAACAACGGAGGCTAGCAAAAGCGAGGAAAACGTACTCGAAGGCAAGCTGGAAAAGGACCAAAAGAGAAATCCAAAGGGTGAACCAATGTTGAAAGATCGCATCTTTGTGGAAAGCAAAGATGACCAAGAATCAAGTCCCAGCGAACAAAAATCTCCACCCAATTTGAAGAAAGAAGATAAGGAAGATTCGATAAAGAACGGTGAAAACTTCACACCATATCCTATGTCAAGATTATCGACTCTTGCGTCTACGATTCAGAACACTTTGACCGAAGTCGAGTCTACTACCATTGAATCAGAGTTGTCAACAACTTCGAAGAGTTTTACGTTCGCGGACGTGGAGGTTCTTAGCGCGACAGTTCCATCGGTTGCTTCGACGACTAATGAGCCCGATCAGGTTGAAACTACTACCTCCAAGCCGACAGTCGACGAAGAAATCTCGAACGAGTCGTCCACGAAGTCAGCCTACCAAGACACAACCGAGATCTCTTTTGTCACCGAATCGCCGACAATCTTTGAGACTACTTTCAAAAGTTCCGAGGGAGTGGAATCGACGACTGTAAAAGTGTTGAATCGCAAGTCAGGAATTCTGAGAAGACAGGACGGTTTCAATTGCTTAGAAAAGGAAATGTATCGTTTCTACGGTGACACTAGGGATTGCAGACTCTTTCACTATTGTTCCCCTGGCTTCACTTCGAGGCAGGTCCTCGACTTCCGGTTCGTGTGCGAGGAGGGTACAGTCTTCGACGAGGGGAGCCAGAGCTGTCGACACGACGTTCCGAACAGAGGCTGTCCTAATAGACAGTGGTAACGAACGCACGTTTCTCCATGCCCTTCGTGTCTGACGGCGTTGATTTTGGTAATTGGTGAATCCGAGGACTCCTTAGTGTATATTTATATATTGTTAGTAGGTAAGGTCCTTGGAAGAGGGCCCCTCTTTTCCTGAGCATTGCCATAACCTTGTACATGAAGATGGATTCACACTTATTAAAATTAATGCGACGAGGATGCTCGGACACAGACCACGAAGAGTCAGAGAACCAGCTGTCCAAGTAACGAGAACATCCTGTCTCAGCAAACTGTTACGCAGAGCTAAGAAGAAATGTTGTTATGGAATAATATCGAGTACTCTTCGAAGTCATTTTTCGATCTAAACGGGCATAGATTAAAATAGATCATGCCTTTATGGAGAAAATTGGATTTTATTAGATCTAAAAATTATTGTTGGACCTTTTCTTTATATTGGACGTTTTATACCGATAGTAGAGTTCGATTATTAATGTGGTTTATTTAAAGCTGGAAGGTGACATTTTCAAACCAGAATGGCGACAAAAATATTGGAATTTAGAACAGATTAACGATCGACTAAATGTAAAAGCATCGAATTAATTTGTAGACCTAATAACTGATCAGCAAGATAATGATAATTTGAATGATTATTCGAGGAATAATCGTTTTAGCTAATTATTTAAGTACACCTTTTCTAAGCTGATCAAAAACACTGACTACGAAAGAGTTCTTCGTATTTCTAGTCTGATCAAGGCCAATTAGCTGCTCATGGTCACTACTATCATACTGTAAATCGCAACGAACTTATTTTTTCCGACAAAGGTATACAATTTGTGTGGACAGACGAGAGACGAACAGCGAAAGTAATAAAAATGGTAAGAATAGTTTTTCGGTGGCCTTGAGCGGCCAATTCATTTTATCCCGGTCAGATATTTATTTATTGCATTCTTTCGCTATGCACTGTCGCCAGCCAATTTGCTAGGGCAGACTCTATTTATGTGTAGCAAATATGTCTCTTACTTGCACAATTCCATCAACTCTGTTCTCAAGAGCTAGGCAAGCTGATTTCTATTAAATTTTAGCGTAAAGAGTGAATTTCGTCGGATTAAACATCCAAGAACACCTTGCTTCGTATTTATGTGAAATAACTAATAGCAACTCTCTGCGAGAGATATTCGTTTTGATACTGGTTGACTGGAATCTATCGTAAATCAGTCGTTCCGGCAATAAATCTTGTATTGCTCAACGTATGCGCATACAAAACGGAATTCGATTCAACAAGCGAATCCTTCGGTTTAATGCAACTGCATAAATGTACATTTGGGTTACACGTATATAGATTACGAGAGTGTATGTACAGTGAAAAGTAGTAGGAGTTTGTATGTGAAGAGATTCGCAAAATACTCAATCGTTGCTCGCTATGATAACTGTAACGTTTCAATAATCGAATGATTTTCACGATTTTCGTGGCAGCTATTCCTAGTTAATACATTCTTAATTATTAGCGGAAAAGTGGCCCCATAAGTCGAAATTCCTATCGATAACATGTATAAATAGGTACATATGTATAAATATATTTTTACATGTGAACTTACTCCGCTCCATTTAGTGATTTTTAGATAGGTAATGTGATAAGTGTCTGGATAGTTATACTTCATAGCTTACGTGTACCTCGATCGTCTCTGTAAATACCTATATGTGTCCTTCTGTAACGACATCACACGCTTGTTATTTTTATCGTGTACAAGAGTACACAAACATCGTGTATTGTAAGGCTCTGTACTGTGTTAATAATAATTGTATACAACGTGCAATTCCTCTCGTCTTGTTTTCGTGATTGTTAACCTTTAGACGTCGCGCGAGGATTTATTTATTTGATTTTTTTACGTTCTGTAATTGTACTGTTTCCTCTTCTATATTTATACGAAATATATAGTAAATTATGTGCGAAATTTATTTTTAACATAATGTAATATTTAACACGAGCATTGAATATTTTTCGAACGAGCACGACTCGTTAAAAAAATATTCCTTAAGCTAATAACATGTAGGTATACAGAATACATTGACAAAGAGACAATTCTTTAGGAAGGAATTTTATTATAGAATTTATAAACAGTTATAAAAAAAACATGTATTATTAAAATTTCAAACAACTTTTCAATGTGACATCCGTGGAAAATATTTTATTCAAAGTGTTTTTATTTTATAACAAAGCAACGCTATTCCTATCCCTAACTATTTATTGTATTTACTTGTGACGTTTAATTAAAAATTGCTAATTGCTAAAAACAGACGGTAAAGACAACTCGTCAAGAATTATTTGTACATTGAAAAAAAACTGACTGACTAAAATATTCCAAAATAATATATGTAGAATAATTTTATACGAAAAATACAGGGTGTTCGGCCACCCCTGGGAAAAATTTTAATAAGGGATTCTAGAGGCCAAAATAAGACGAAAATCAAAAATACAAATTTGTTGATGGAGGCTTCGTTAAAAAGTTATTAACAATTAAATTGAAAAATTTCAAATCATTCTGGAAAAATTATTTTTGGTTGCGGGGGGCCAATTACAATCATTTTTGGTGAATACACATACCCCCGAAATCCTACCCACTTTCTAGAAAAAAATTCAAGAAGGTGTGAAATTTTTCGACGGGGGGGAAAAATTATAAATCGTTTTGGAAAAATTATTTTCGGTTGCGGGGGGCCAATTACAATCATTTTTGGTGAATACACATACCCCCGAAATCCTACCCACTTTCTAGAAAAAAATTCAAGAAGGTGTGAAATTTTTCGACGGGGGGAAAAAATTATAAATCGTTTTAGAAAAATTATTTTCGGTTGCGGGGGTCAATTACAATCATTTTTGGTGAATAGAAATACCCCCAAAATCGTGCGCATTTTCGAAAAAAAAATTCAGTACGGGCGGAACTTTAAACGTTAATAACTTTTTAACAAAGCCTCCATCAACAAATTGGTATTCTTGATTTTCGTCTTACACTCGGAAATATTCGATGATTACATGCAAATTATTTACGACTTTAACTAGTCAAAGAATCGCGAATAATTCATACTTCTCAGCTCATATGCATTTACACACAACTAGTTGTTTGCCTATCACACTAATTCAGTGAGTTTCTCAACTGATCGCCATCCATGAGAACAGGACGCTAAAATCACCTCTCAGTTTTTAGGGCGGTATGGCAGTCAGATTGGGCGGCCCAGTTAATCTACATGAGTATAGCTAGAGAAGTACGTAGGGAATCTTCGATAAGTTAATTTTTTTGTATGATTGGCGAGCATTTGAAATAGAAAGTTCAATTTTGTACAAAACATGGAAATTCCCGACATGCATCTCTTCTTGTGCTAAAGATACATCTATGGTAGCGGACGACAGGTAGCAGTGACGTTGCTTACGCATGCGCAGAAAGGAATCCCACGAGGGAAAATTCCAATACGTATGAACAAAATTCCCGCGATGTCCATCACTGATTGGGCCACGAAAGTCCATAAGGTGTAAGGTCTACTCGTATACCGCCTGCAAACCCCTTACAGGGAAATAAGATGCATATGTTTATGCATGAATGCACAGAAACATCGATTTTATGTAATTAAATATGCGAAGGGTTTGAACATGATGAAATATTATTGAAGAACAGAAGGGTTTCTTAAAACATTCATTCCTTTTTCTACCTTAAAAAGCGGAATAACCGGAACAATTTGCATAAAACGCGGGATATTTTCCCGCCTTGAAAAGTGATGATATTCTTACGAACAAAACGGGATTATGTGTAAAAAATATGACCGTCGATTAAAATTCAATAACTGTTATATTAATATATCCGATAAATAATTATTACTATCCTTGTCGCAAAACTTTACCACTGGTTTTTTTTACCAGATCGTATATGTATACTTACGTAAGTACTTATATGCAGGGCAGTTTCCTCCAGGCATCTGACTATCTGACACAGTCTGTTAACACTGTTCCTAACCTATGAACAAGCGTTTTGTAACAATGATGAGAAATATAAAAATTGGGACACATGACGGTGCCTTTCATTGTGACGAAGTACTCGCTTATTTTTTGTTAAAGTTATTACCGCGATACAAAGATGCAGTTGTCGTGAGGTAAGACATTTTATGTAATTATAGTATACAGCAGTGGTTTGTAGCCTTTTATTTATCACAGTCCTTCCCTAAATAATTTGTTATTCTCGTGAATTCGCAAAACTTGATTGAAATTTTCAATCTGAGAAAAGAGATTTATTATAAATAAATACAGCCGCAGGGTTAAATGTGTATCTATAGAAACAAGTGACACGTGTTTTTTCTCAGTGACTTAAGTGGGGCATTTTATAACGATCTTAGAAGGAATGACTGCTACAGCGTACAGTTTTCCTCATTAAATCAAAATACTAAAACAAACATGGGGAAATACAATCCAATCGGCCGTTGTGTAATACAATAACAGTCGTGAATAACAATATTAGAGCTCAGTCGGTCGTTATCTTTTGATATCATTTGTGAAATTAGTTACATATTGGTCTGGTCATTGTTTATAAATCAAATTTATAGTTATTTTAGTATGTTTTGTGTGAAATCATTGTATTTGGTAATAACTGTGCTGTATATTTGTTAATACGCATTAGGTCATCTTATATATTTGTGCCGAGTTTTGTACTACAAAATTTCGAACATATTTAATGGCACAAACTTGTGGATCGACCTAATATATCGATATCAATCAATGTATCCTATAATAAACAAGGTTCTAAAATGAATTAGTTTGTTATAAGATATCCCAATGTATTTGTATACGTAAGGATTTTGTACTCCTCCAAGGCCTCACAGACCTAGGGTTTAAAATCATTGATATTCAGCCCAATGTAGAAAGTTTAGTAATGAATTTTATTGATGACTTTTTTTTTATACTAATTATTTTTGTTATAATACTTTGTAACTTTGAAACAATTTTTGAGTTACCAAGATTCACATTTCAAGATCTAACTAGAAGTACAATACTAAATTTGATTATAGAACACGTGATAAAAGTATTTTGGATACTTGTGATATAGTGATCGATGTGGGTGGAGAATATAATCATTCAAAGCATCGTTACGATCATCATATGAGGTACATTTAAACATTCCATGTTGTTTTTCTATGTAGTAAAACCTCAGACTAGTGGACACTGATATAAGTTTTGAATTTAATGGACAGTATTTTATAGTACCATGTTGGTACAATTCCAAATTGTATGGTAATCTTTCAATGTTATTTTAAAATTGAGAAATTAAAGACTAACACTTCAATTTAGGTTTTGTACGTCTTCTTATCCTGTCTTCCTAATGTATCCACAAAATTGAGGCTTTACTATTTTTCTATAAAGCATGTACATTTAAATAAAATTAATTATTTTACAAATTAGAGATTTTAAGGAGTCATTGAGTACGGTTATTAAGAAACCAGGTTATGACTCACAAATAAAATTGAGTTCCGCAGGTTTAATTTTTTGTCATTTTGGTCATGAAATTATTAAGCAACTAATTCCAGAAGCAAGCGACAGTGATGTAGAAAACATTTTTAAAAAGGTTTATGACACATTCATTAAAGAAGTTGATGGCATAGATAATGGAGTTGCAATGTATGAAGGTGAACCTGTGTAAGTAGGTAATACTGTTACTATACATATTTCTAACAGAATTAATCTAAATTTGAATGGTTTGTGTTCCTTTTTAGGTATAGAATTGTAACTGATTTATCTTCTCGTGTGCAAACACTGAATCCTCCATGGAATAGTACAAATATTGATATTAATGAACAATTTTATAAAGCAGTTGAATTAACTGGCCAAGAATTTATGCAACATATAAATTATACAAAAAATGTTTGGTTACAAGCTAGGTCTATTGTGCAAGAGTCTATTGATAAACGCTTTGAGGTAAACAGAATAAAGATTTTATGCTTTATATATCGTAATCAATTTGCAATTAATAATGTCTGATTAACATACATCTTTGAGGTGACATTTACATTAATTTCAATACGAAGACTCAGTGTTCTAATAGAGTGTGTTCGAGAATTAACTCTCATTTTTAGCAACACGCACGTGCCTTGTTTCTTTTCAATGTTTCGCTCATGCCGTGGCCACCACGACGCTCATTGGCAGCACCTCTCGGGCACACTTTGTGCGCGAGCAGGATAGCTGGCCCACCTGCGCGCGCAACGATCTCTCAACCGGCGGGTCGAAACCTCGTGGTGGCCACGAGCGCGGCCATTAAGGCTGTCTTGTTCGTAATCTAAAACGCGACAAGTGTGCTCTGTTTTTCAGTCTTAGTTTCCTTTGTTCTTTTGTGCCGCATATAATCTACTGTGTTCAATGTAATTAATTCACAACTAATTATCAAGGCTCACGCTCATAAATCCCTTGCAATTAATATAATTGCAAGGGTATTATGAGTTTTAAACTCGTAATAAACGGTTGATTCTCATTCTCACTCGCGCTCAGAAATGGCGATCAATAATATCGCCATTTCTCATAACCGCTCGTGTAAAACTCTTACTTAAACGTACCGCTCATTAATTATGTATTTCACAAACGGGACAATGTTGTTAATAAGGACCTTGTTTAATTAACTTTGCACCATAGTCATTTTTCGCGAACCCTCTCATAACCGGCATCTCAATGAAAATCTCTACAGTTCACTTCAATCTTAAACATTTTTTGGTCCTTCGAGCCGGATCGCGATATGATATGGTGCAAAGGTGTGAAGTGAATTCATAAAACATTGTGGTTTTCTCTTAACATAACGTTCGTGATCTTTCAATTCACCTTGTGTGCGCGTGTTCGTTGTGAACAATGCCCACGCCCTAACGTTCACAGTGACACTCAACCTCAATAGTGACGCTCATCCCGCCCAGTGACACTCAGTGTTCACCAACTCAACCTCACGTGCAAAGTGAAGTGCGTCGACATGTGCGACAAGGCGAAGTGCACGAAGAAGGTGGAGGAGTCAACCTCGCGGCCAACATCACCGGCCCCCGCTGCGCCCGTCTCACCAATAGCCTCTCACCTCTCACTGGAGGTGCCTGCCGCTCAAAATCCGCCGCGCACCAGGTCCCAATCTGCTACGCCAATTCCGACAGAGCTGCTATGTAAATTCCATAGCCAGCTCTGTCGGATTCAGCTTCTAAAGCGGATTCAGGGGCAGCTACCGCTCACAGCCTCCGAGACATCACCGCAGGAGATGGCTGCGTTCATGAACCAGGTGGACGAGGTCCACAAGGCCTTCATGAAGGATCATGCCTACCTGGAGTCCACCTGGCCTGCCGCTCACCTCGATCACGAATATTTCGCCGCGGAACACTTTGGCAACGAGGCGGCCATCGTATTTGACATCCGCAGGGCAGCAGGAAAACTCAAGGCGATGCAGGAGCCGACAAAGCCCGCTCAACCGACCGCTCAAAGATCAACGCCGAAGCTCCCAGAGATAACCCTCCCGGAGTTCTCGGGGAGCTTCAACGAGTGGCCCACCTTCAGGGATATGTTCACATCGCTCATCCTCGACAATGGGGCGCTCAACGACATTGAGCGCCTTCACTATCTACGATCGGCGCTCAAAGGAGAACCAGCCCGACTGATCAGCAACCTTACACTCGTCGGGAAATCCTTCATCCCATCGTGGAACACACTCACTGCCCGATATTCCAACAAGAGGTTGCTGATCACTTCCCAGCTGGACAAACTCCAACTCCTCACACCCGTGCCGCCACGAAACGCAACTTCACTCAGCAGCCTCTCAGCCACGATTCATGATGTGGCCACCTCCCTCGCCGCACTGGGAGTCTCAGACATCGGAGACGCCATCCTGGTCCATTGCCTTGTCAGAAACATGGACAGGACCACACGGGAGGCGTGGGAGCACGAGATCGGGTCGAGCACCGACTTCCCACCGCTCACAAGAGTACGAGATTTCGTGGCGGCGCGGGTAACAGCGCTCGAAGGCTTGGGCCAAGCCGCGGCAGCAAAGGCTCAGCCCGTGGCAACGAAGCCACCTCTCAAAAACACCGCTCATGCTGCCAACGCCCATGCCTCAACCGCTCCTGCTCATCGCTCCACCAATGTCGACAACGCCTACACCGCTCAAGATCCCGGGAGGTATCCGTGTGACATATGCCACGGCGACCACTTCATCGTCATGTGCTCAAGGTTCCGGGAAATGAGCATTAACGACCGATGGAAGGCAGTGGAGCATCTGGTGCTCTGCTCAAATTGCTGCGGGGCGTCATTCCACAAGAAATTGCCGCTCAGCCCAACGCTGCAAGCAGTGCAAGGGGCATCATCACACGATGCTCCACCGGACAACCACCGCTCAACCCTCCGCTCGCAGCAATTGAGAACTAGGTGCAGTCGTCCACTCAACAACACACTCACGCTCAATCCAGGCTCATCCATCGCTCACGCTGCTGGCAACGGCAGCCGCTCACGTCATCTCAACGGTGGCAAAACATCAAGTAAGAATTTTAATTGATTCTGGGTCAGAGGTCTCCTTTGTTAGGGAAGATCTCATCAAGCAGCTCAATCTTCTACGCTCACACTCGTCAATGTCGATCATTGGCATTGGTGGCAGAAAATCAACAACTACTCGAGGCATTGTGTCATTGACGTTGCATTCCAACTACAGCAACGCATCAGTGAGACTCAGAGCTCACGTTCTTCCAACATTGACGACCATCTTGCCATCAACCAACGTGGATCAACAAGAATGGCCTCATCTCAAAAATCTCAAGCTCGCTGACCCAGACTTCATGGTGCCTCGCTCAATCGACGTGATCATCGGTGCAGATTCCTACGGGCATGTCATCAAGCCCAATCTCATCAAGGGTTTACCATCAACGCCTATCGCTCAACTCTCAATCTTTGGTTGGTTGATTATTGGACCAGTGGGCTCAGCATCAACTCGAGCGCTCACATCTCACCAGGTTTCAACTCAAGAAGAAGAAGAATCGTCTCTCCAACATCTCTTGACGAAATTCTGGGCACAGGAAGAGGTTCCAATCACCAACCAATCTCAACGCACCCCTAAGGAGCAAGAGTGTGAGGATCACTTCAGAACAACTCATTTGCGGGATCCGGATGGGCGATACATCGTGCGCATCCCTCTCAAACTGCCTTCAACCATGTTGGGAAACTCGTACAACATCGCTCATGCTTGTTTGAATCGTACTCTACGCAAGCTCAAGAGGAATGAAGAAGATCTTCACCTCTATCAAGAGTTTATGGAGGAATACGAGAATCTGCAGCACATGAAGAGAGCATCATCGCGCTCATCTCAACACTCAACAACTTTCTATCTGCCTCATCATGGTGTTTTGAAACCAGACAGCACGACTACGAAGCTGAGAGTTGTCTTCAATGGCTCAAGCTCAACATCTTCTGGATATTCTCTCAACGACATCATGCACACTGGTGAAAACCTACTGCTCAACATCGCTGACGTGCTCCTATGGATTCGTCAGCACAGATACACATTCTCAACCGATATTACCAAAATGTATCGGCAAATCAGAGTGCATGAAGACGACTGGGATCTGCAAAGAATATTGTGGGTGGATAAGGACCTGCAAGAGACTCAATTTCAGCTCACTACGGTCACCTACGGTACCAAGGCAGCACCGTATCTTGCGGTCAGAACATTGCTGCAATTAGCTGAGGATGAAGGTCATCATTATCCTCTGGCCGTACCATCGATCACTCATTGCCAGATATGTCGACGACATCTTTGGAGGAGCAGATTCACCAGAAGATCTCAAGAAACTCGCTCATCAGCTTCAAGGTCTGTGCAACGCGGGCGGTTTCCCACTTGCTAAGTGGCATTCAAACTGCCCCGCGCTACTCGAAGCCATCTCACCTGAAGCTCATGCTCAAGGCTCATCACTCTCATTGGACGACTGCAAAACCAAAATACTCGGAATGCAATGGAATTTTCTCAAGGATACATTTACATTCTCATCGAAGGAGGACTCATTCTCACCCCCAACCAAGATAAGTAAACGCCTCATACTATCTCAAGTAGCACAGATATTTGATCCACTTGGTTTCCTCTCACCGGTCATAATTCGCTGTAAGATTTTATTGCAAGAATTATGGCTGCACAAACTCAACTGGGATGAATCACTACCATCCCACATCACAGAACGATGGCTCATCCTCAGAGAAGATCTCACAAGTCTGGCCAGACTCTCAATTCCACGCTGGTTCAACACCTGTCAAGACTCAGTGGTGGAAATACATGGTTTCTCTGATGCATCTCAGCTCGCCATGGCAGCCGTGATCTACATCACGGTTTTCTCACCGTCCACAAATCTCAAGGTGACGTCACAGGTGTGCGCCAAGACGAAGGTCGCACCTCTCAAGAAACTCACTATCCCGAGACTGGAGCTCACAGCAGCTCTTATGCTTGCAAGGCTGGCAAGCTATGTTCAAGCGAAGCTCAATCTTAACATTGCTACAACTCACTTGTGGACGGATTCTCAAGTCACACTCATATGGATCAAATCTCACGCATCACGCTGGAAGGATTATGTGAGAAACAGAGTATCGGCGATACAAGGACTCACACCTGAGGCACACTGGGGGTATGTGTCTGGAACATCGAATCCAGCTGACTGCACATCACGAGGCCTTTCAACTGCTCAGCTTGATCATCATCAGCTATGGTGGACGGGACCACCATGGCTTACTCAACCCCAGGACTCATGGCCATCACAACCGAAGCTCAAGAACGCCTCATGTGCACTAGAAGCGCGTCCAAGTATCCCTACTGCTCTCATCTCCCAAAAGATCGAGTATCAGTGGGATCTCATTCACAAATACTCAACGCTCAAGAAACTTCTCACCATCACTGCTATTTGTTTCAGATTTATAGCAAAATTAAAAGGGGTCCACTGCTCACCAGCCTATACCTCACACTCGCCGAGTGATCTGGAAGATGCTCAGAAATTCTGGATCAGGGCAACTCAGACCATCTACTTCGCTCATGAAATGAAGATGCTCACCTCACACTCATCGCTGCCTTCATCTCATGCCTTCAGTCACCTGACTGCCTTCATTGATGATAAGGGAATCATCAGAGTCGGCGGACGATTGGAAAACTCTCAGCTCCGCTACGAGGGTAAACATCCCGCTATTTTGCCTCGCCACTCACGTTTGTCTGAATTGATTATAGATCACGCTCACAAACAAACTCTTCATGGTGGAACTCAACTCACACTCGCCTACATTCGACAAACCTACTGGATCATCGGAGGAAGAGCTCCAGTCAAGGCTCATATTCTGCGGTGTTTGACGTGTGCTCGCCAAAGGGGAATCCGTGCCCATCAACTGATGGGCCAACTACCTCTTTCTCGAGTCACACCGTCATCGCCATTCACTCATACCGGCATGGACTATGCCGGTCCACTCACTCTCAAAACTTGGAAAGGACGAGGCGCCAAAACATCGAAGGGATGGATCTGCGTCTTCGTTTGTCTCACCACATCAGCTGTTCATCTGGAGCTGGTGTCAGACTACTCAACCGAAGGCTTCATAGCAACGTACAGGCGATTCTCATCTAGGCGAGGAATCCCACAGAAGGTTTACACTGACTGTGGCACCAATTTCACCGGAGCAGACTCATGTCTCAAGGCAATGTTCACTCAGGGATCAAAATCACATTCTCACCTCACTCATTTATTTGTTAACGACAGGACAGAATGGTGCTTCAATCCACCTGCAGCACCGCACATGGGTGGAAAATGGGAAGCTGTCGTGAAGTCTCTCAAGTTCCATCTCAGGCGTACCGTGAGTGATACCCTCCTCACCTTCGAAGAGTACAGCACGCTTCTGACCCAGGTAGAAGCAATTCTCAACTCACGACCCCTCGAACCACTCAGCGATGATCCTGAAGATCTCTCACCGCTCACGCCTGCTCATTTTCTCATCGGCACTGCTCTCTCAACATTGCCTGAACCTTCGTTGAAGGACGTCTCACTTCCACCAAGGGCAATGTGGCAGCTCATTCAACAACGGGTTCAACGGTTCTGGGCTCAATGGTCATCTCATTACTTGCAGCGGCAACAAGCCATCTCAAAATGGCATCACCCATCCAATGCCATCAAGGTTGGATCACTGGTTCTCATCACCGACGAGAGGTTTCCACCTTGCAAGTGGCCTCTTGCACGAGTTCTGGAACTACATCCAGGGAAGGACGGACTCACCAGGGTGGTCACCCTGAAGACCGCGACCACCACACTCACCAGACCGATTGCGAAGCTGGCCATCCTACCAACAGCGGAATCATCAGCCACAAGTGGCTGATGGCGGGCGGAATGTTCGAGAATTAACTCTCATTTTTAGCAACACGCACGTGCCTTGTTTCTTTTCAATGTTTCGCTCATGCCGTGGCCACCACGACGCTCATTGGCAGCACCTCTCGGGCACACTTTGTGCGCGAGCAGGATAGCTGGCCCACCTGCGCGCGCAACGATCTCTCAACCGGCGGGTCGAAACCTCGTGGTGGCCACGAGCGCGGCCATTAAGGCTGTCTTGTTCGTAATCTAAAACGCGACAAGTGTGCTCTGTTTTTCAGTCTTAGTTTCCTTTGTTCTTTTGTGCCGCATATAATCTACTGTGTTCAATGTAATTAATTCACAACTAATTATCAAGGCTCACGCTCATAAATCCCTTGCAATTAATATAATTGCAAGGGTATTATGAGTTTTAAACTCGTAATAAACGGTTGATTCTCATTCTCACTCGCGCTCAGAAATGGCGATCAATAATATCGCCATTTCTCATAACCGCTCGTGTAAAACTCTTACTTAAACGTACCGCTCATTAATTATGTATTTCACAAACGGGACAATGTTGTTAATAAGGACCTTGTTTAATTAACTTTGCACCATAGTCATTTTTCGCGAACCCTCTCATAACCGGCATCTCAATGAAAATCTCTACAGTTCACTTCAATCTTAAACAGAGTGCAAGCATTATAATAATGTATCTATCGTTACATGTGTAAAAAAATATATGCAAGAGTAATTTTATGCGTATTTTATAGTTTTAAAATATGTACACCATTTTAATTTAGTCAATTTATGGGAGATACGATAATTTTACTATTTAACGTGTAAGACAAAATCAAGAAGATAGTAATAAACATTCACAGGTCGATCCAAGCGGAGAAATTATAGAATTATCTCAATATGTACCATGGTCTGAGCATCTGTTTACAATAGAAAAAGAAATGAATTTACAACCATCGTTAAAATATATTATTTATAAAGATGATAGTTATCGAATACGATGCGTTCCCCAAGGATGTGGCAGTTTCATATGCAGGTACATGCAGCCTTCAAGATTTATTTGAATGATAACTATATTATTTTTCGAACTACTGATATTCATTATTGTTTTCTAGAATATTTCTTCCTGAACCTTGGGCAGGCCTGCGAAACGAGCAGCTCGAACGTAGCTCTGGAATTGAAGGCGCTGAATTCGTACATTCGACGCGATTTATCGGTAGTCACAATACCAGAGAAGGTGCGCTGAAGATGGCACGCAAAGCTATTGAAATAGGAAAAACTCTATAATGTAAAATTTAGTTTACCAAAGGGTATAGCCGAATAAGGGGGTTAAATGTGCCCTTGAACGAAATGTGACATACGATAGATCCATCGATAGAGCATCAAGAAAAAACGTTCTGTGCCAAATTTTAACCCTCTATCTTGTTTGGAAGGGTAGTTATTGAGAAAATTCGGATTAACGAATTTCTGCCTATTTCCCCTATTTAATCGAGTAGAAAAATTATGAAAAAAATCTGGTGCATTGCGACTATTGAGATACGTGTTTGAGAATTTTTTCCGATTTTTCGATTTCAAATCCTAGGTGTGAAAAATTAAAAACGCAAAAAAACGCAGAAAAATACCGATTTCGTATTGAAGCTTTCGAGACACTAGATTTATATAATTACTGTAAATGCATATTGTCATTGGTTATGTCCCTGAATTTTTTCAGATTTTTTGGCAGGGTGCGCCGTAGTAGCAAAAATGAAAAACCGATTTTTTCGGCGTTTTTCGCGTGAAAAAGCAACTTATACTTTGAATTTTTGTATTCCCTTTAATAAATAACTATATTCTGTGGTTTTAAATATTTCCATGTTGAGTAAAACAGTGTATACAAAAAGAAAAGCAAAAATAAGTCAAGAAAAAAAACGTGCTATGCGCGTTGTATTCAGAAGTATCAGCATTATTTCCAAGAGCTGCGATGGTGCAGTGAGTAAGATGCTTGGCTGCGAAACTGCTGCAAACTTTTTGACGCGCGTTCGCGCCCTGCTACGGTACATTTTTTTTTATTATATTAATTTTTTATTTTCAATTTCTAACTAAACGACAATGAAAAACTATTAGTTTATTAATATTTAAAAAATATTTTTACCTAAAATATACGCAAAAACAATTATGGAGCAGTTTCTATTCCATCATTTCTCTAGTCGTATATTTGCTTAAATACCCTACTGTTTCATTTTTTCTACGTTAAATGAATATACGTACTTAGTTTTAAAATCGCATACCTTTAATAACTTTGAATAGTGGAAGAAGATTTCTTCAATAAAAAGAACATTAGCAGTCTTTGCATATAGTTACGGATATCATGATGACAAGATTTATGATGTGCAAGGTTTATGATTGTTTACGTCTATTGGCAGTCTAAATTACTTATTTCTCTTACTCGAATACCTTGCAGTTAGTAGTGATTCTAGTATTAAAGATAAAATAGGTGATTTTATATTATCAGAAGAACGTCTTAAAATATTCACGGGATTAACTTGGGAAAATCTAATTCAACTTAGAGAAATGATGAAGTCCATGAGAAATACGGAAAAACGAGCTGTGACACAGGCTATTGTTGTCTTTTTATTTAAATTGCGTACTGGAAATTCGAATAGTATGATAGCTTCAATTTTTGGGTTAGAGCGCGAACAACAGGTATCCGATTTTTGTAAAGCAGTTAGGAACTCGTTTGAAAAAGATATTTTACCATATCATTTCGGAGTCGCGGCTTTTTCTCGTCAACATTTAATAGAAAATGAAACGTCCATTATTGCTAAACAGTTGTATAATATAACAGACCAGCTAGCACTTATTTTTGACGGTACATATATTCGCCTTTGTTGAAATGTGGACATGTGTAACGGAAATGGATAATAAGAGAACAATTTCTCGTCTAAAATAAGTAATTTAGACTGCCAATAGACGTAAACATTCATAAACCTTGCACATCATAAATCTTGTCATCATGATATCCGTAACTATATGCAAAGACTGCTAATGTTCTTTTTATTGAAGAAATCTTCTTCCACTATTCAAAGTTATTAAAGGTATGCGATTTTAAAACTAAGTACGTATATTCATTTAACGTAGAAAAAATGAAACAGTAGGGTATTTAAGCAAATATACGACTAGAGAAATGATGGAATAGAAACTGCTCCATAATTGTTTTTGCGTATATTTTAGGAAAAAATATTTTTTAAATATTAATAAACTAATAGTTTTTCATTGTCGTTTAGTTAGAAATTGAAAAAAAAAAAATTAATATAATAAAAAAAAATGTACCGTAGCAGGGCGCGAACGCGCGTCAAAAAGTTTGCAGCAGTTTCGCAGCCAAGCATCTTACTCACTGCACCATCGCAGCTCTTGGAAATAATGCTGATACTTCTGAATACAACGCGCATAGCACGTTTTTTTTCTTGACTTATTTTTGCTTTTCTTCTTGTATACACTGTTTTACTCAACATGGAAATATTTAAAACCACAGAATATAGTTATCTATTAAAGGGAATACAAAAATTCAAAGTATAAGTTGCTTTTTCACGCGAAAAACGCCGAAAAAATCAGTTTTTCATTTTTGCTACTACGGCGCACCCTGCCAAAAAATCTGAAAAAATTCAGGGACATAACCAATGACAATATGCATTTACAGTAATTATATAAATCTAGTGTCTCGAAAGCTTCAATACGAAATCGGTATTTTTCTGCGTTTTTTTGCGTTTTTAATTTTTCACACCTAGGATTTGAAATTGAAAAATCGGAAAAAATTCTCAAACACGTATCTCAATAGTCGCAATGCACCAGATTTTTTTCATAATTTTTCTACTCGATTAAATAGGGGAAATAGGCAGAAATTCGTTAATCCGAATTTTCTCAATAACTACCCTTCCAAACAAGATAGAGGGTTCAAATTTGGCACAGAACGTTTTTTCTTGATGCTCTATCGATGGATCTATCGTATGTCACATTTCGTTCAAGGGCACATTTGACCCCCTTATTCGGCTATACCCTTTATATCTTAAAATTGTTATTAACTTTTGTCGGTTATATAATAAAATATTATTTATACTTAATACTATTAAGTTGCCAACTATAGTTGGTAACTTTCATATTTTCTTAAACAAGATTATTTATTAAAATTATACACTTAAGAATGTTTAATCAAGATATGCCCCATTTGAACTAAACCTTTCGACATATGTTTGGCGAGTTTTCAATTTCTCGATGGCGGAATTTGTACTCGCATAAAATATGCGGACAGGTGCCGTTTTGACGTGCTCAACATTGGAAACCCATTTTTCAGTTAAGAAAAGCAAAAAGATGTTAAACAACATTTCCGTAAAGCGTCAAACAAATTTTTAAGAAAAATCGATGGGGTAGCTGCTGAAATTTTTCGGCGAAATAAAAATATGTCAAATCATTCTGGAAAAATTATTTTCGGTTGCGGGAGTCAATTACAATCACTTTTGGTGAATAGACATCTTGTATTTCGTATTTACTACGTTTAATATTTCATTGTATAAAACATTCACAGCCGTTGAGAACGTTTCTGTTTTGTATCGTTGACCTCGTATTTTCGGTAATACGAGACCAACGATGACCATAATTCCGGGAAAACATTTCACGGCGAATAAGCCTGGACTTGCCGACACTTGATGAAACATATTGCAGCTGGTCATGCCACAGACGAGATATATGAATAGACCTTTCACCTTATGGACATTCGCGGCCGAATCTGACTGCCATACCGACTTGAAAATTCGGAGGTGATTTTAGCGGCCTCTTCTCATGGATGGCGGTTAGTTGAGAAACTAGGCACTGACGAGCATTGACGAGCAGCCAGCTATAGGGTGTGCGTAAATACATGTGAGTTGACTATGGGGGGGATTGAAAAAGTCAGTGCAGTATTATCAGATGGCAGACCCGTGCCCAAAGGGAGCTGCCCCACCACTTACACACACTAATGCCAACCACCTTGTATATGAGTTCTGGCGTTTCGTATCTCTTCGAGGATTCGAGAAAGGCGGCGAATGTCAGTCTATCCTTCTTACTCTTAACACAGCCGAAATTCGATCTCGCATAATCTCGAGCCGAGATTCTCGACTGTCCAGGCATTTTTGACTTTCCGACCTATGTAAGCGTATATGTATAAGCAAAAACCATAATGAAACAAAAATTTCAAAAATTTTTTTACGTAAATACACGTTTTAGGACCCCCTGATCATATTTTAACTATTAAAAAAAAGACATTTTTTTACTATGCTAATGGACGTGCGTTCATATATTTATACTATTAATACGATTGAGTCTGAACAACCAAATGAATTCAATATAATTTGAAATTATTAAATCTGAAAATATTTGAGATGACTGGTCCTATTTGTCCTCTTTGTTTAGCAATTTAAAAAAACTCAGTGTGGTCAGCCATCATTAAACTCATTAAAATCAATCATTTGAAATGATCCTATACCTCGTCTGTGATCTAATCCTAAATCGATCTGTAGTTGACGAGTGTATCTGAATTTTTGTGAGAAATTAATACACAATGAAATACTTTCGCGATTGTTACGAGAAATGGAATGGTTTCTGAAGAACGCAGCCATTAGATCATATTATTTGTTATGTAATTAATAATTGTATTAATTACATACTAAATAATAATCCCCAGGTCTCACCACGTGGAGGTTGCTGCGAATGGAGACCCGAAGGGAGATAGATGGAATCAAAGTTCCATCGATCTCCCTTTTAGCTAAGCTTAGCTGGATTACTAAACTAGGGAGATAGAAGGAAGCAATGTTCCTTCGATCTTCTAGTTTAGTTGTACCAAGTAATTATTTCGTTTGTAAAGGGGTGAAGCTATATTGTGGGATACGCGACGCGACGCGATGCTGAACCGTGCGGCAGATCTTCGGATCGAATCAACACTGCCCTTGGTAGATTGATTTCTATTTCTAGAAATTGATCCATCATGGGTAGGCGACTAGATCTTTCGGACAAACTGGACGGCCGATCACATGTTTCGATCGATGAAACAGCGGTGATCGAAGCTAGGAACCAGAGAACGAGTCGAGAGAAGCTACTTGTTAAATAATTACTTGGCAATATTGGGAGACGCATACAATAGGGACTTAAAATTAACGTCAAAGCTCAAGTCTGGTCAAGTTAAAACTAAAATTCGGACGATAGAAGGAAACAAAGTTCCTTGGATGTTCTGGTTTAGTTGTACCAAGCAATTATTTGGTTAAAAAGAGGGACGAAGTTAATTTGAGGGGCACGCGAAGCGACGCGACGCGACGCTGAACCGTGCAGCGGATCCGAGGATCGAACCTACTGCCCTTGCTAACTAGATCTCTATGGGATAACGGACGGCTGCGACTCCGAATCGAAGGTCTCCATTGCTCCAACGCAACCCGCCGGGAGCCCGAAGGACCCGACTTAAGTTGTCTGACATAGAGAGAGTACCTGAAACAGTGTCGACTTTCGCTGGAAGGTATGCGTTTCCGCAGGATACGGAAACTCCACACCTTCCAGCAAAGTACCATTTTCCCTGGATCGAGCTACCAATGGGAAGGCGATTAGATCTTTCGGATCAGCTACACGGCCGATCACATGTTTCAATCGATGAAACAGCGGTGACCGAAGCTAGGAACGAGGGAACGAGCGAGAGACAAGCTACTTATTGAATAATTGCTTGGTAGGACGCGGAGATACGTATAATAAAGAAGGCTTCGACGTTCATTTTAATACTCGCGACGAAGCTTAAGACTAATCAACTTGCAATTAAAGGTCCCTCGGCGGTTGTGGCGTTCTCCCTCGATGTCCTTGCGATTAACTCTTTAAACTGAAATCAAAACTCATATGTATATTAGTGAGATATGGTAGGAAATTTAATAAACACTTTAAAATGATCTATCACCTAGCTAAAGGGAATTGAACAGAGTATATTAGCAAAATGTTACAAGAATTTAAGCTGAGAAGTAAAAATAAAAATCTTATATTAATCAGTGTCGAACAACGAACACGAACGAAAGAACGAGTCAGAGACATCGAAACAAATACGGTATATGCATCGACACAATGTTATTCATATCAAAACGAACACTCCTAATAATGAAAGAAACTTGGATCGAGACACCAAGTTGAATCAACACCAAACAATCAAACGAAATGGAAGAATCAAACAAAGTACCTCCGTAGAATATTACGAGAATTCGAGCAAGAACGTAAAAATATGAATTCATGAATTTGTATAGAAACAAATATAGTGTATGATTGAAAACAATATTATATTATTATATCCTGCAATATTATACATATCGAAGCAGTCACATAAATTCGCAAAACAATGTAAAAGTAGAAACAGAGAAAAGGAACATTCATAATAACCAAATAAAATCAGATAGATAAATAAAGTTGAATTCACATCAAACAAACAAATAAAAATAGTAAAATATAAATAAGTGGAGTGGACTTACTACTTGTTGTCAGTACATAGGGTAGTTACCATAAGGGCCAGCTGTAAAGTAAGAAAATATTCATATTATAGCAACATCGGTTAGATAAACAAGGCAAAATCAGTTCATTGTAGCAAAATTGGCATCAAATGATAGAATAGAAGAGGGGAGAGAATTTTTAAACAGTTTTTACCGTTGGTCATCACCGTCCGGCACTGGTCAGTAGTGGTCAGTAGTGGTCAGCCATGGTCAGCTGTGGTCAGCGCTGGCCAGTAGTGGTCAGCAGCGGCCAGCAGAGGTCAGCAGCGATCCCGGGTTCTCCTCTGGCTATTTGTACACTCCCGAATTCGCGACGCGACTGAAGAAATCTTCGCAGTGACCCTGCTTATATGTCTAAGGTGATGAAAGGGTGGGGAGACCAGTCAGAGCCAAAGTTGAAGATAACAGGTAAGACTGTCTCGTCTACAAAGAAACTATTTCGATTGGTCCCACCTCTTGACCATTTCTGGATCTTCACTGGACCGCTGACCTTGATGTCCACCTCACTGTTGACCACCAGTGACCATAAGCTAGTCATTGTTGATCATCGACCCATTAAAACCATTACGAAGATTAAAGCCTTCTTACGAGGATTCCCTTACAATTTGATGCATGATCTTTTTAACATTTTGTTCCACTTTGGAAGAGTGTATCTCGTTAATTTTTGTCTTTTTGTACGTCAGTTCCAACAATTGCCATACTGAGCGAAAATTTCGGAGGTGATTTCAGCGTCCTCTTCTCATGGATGGCGGTCAGTTGAGAAATTATTCACTGAATTAGTATTGATAGGCAAACAGCTGTAGTTTTGCGTAAATCCATGTGAGTTGACTATGAAAGGGATTAAAATTCATTTCTGAATCTGTTGATAACGTTGCGAGTGACACGAAAATGGTAATGGGGTCCCGGGACCCCAGAAACTCGGGCCGAAAAAATACATTAGGTGAAAGGTCTATTCATATACCTCGTCTGTGATATTACTACGTGACTTTCTTACATTAAATTTGTTTACCTTAGTAGTTTTCTATCTTAAATTATTCAATCTAATTCCCTTAGGTAGTTACCTCGTGGGTTTATTTAAATAAAAATAGGTATAAAATCCTTCATGTAATTACTATATACTTTTGTTCATACATAAACTTATATACAAATTTTTCTGTACATATTGTATGTACTTGAATAGTTATTACGTCGAGTTAACATTTAACTCAATATTGTATATGAATTTCCCGCGTCGAGGTTTCATTTAACCACCTGTTTTTAGTGGAACGTGTGAGAGGGCGCATGCGTGGCGGGAGAAACAAGAACGGCCGGTCAGAGAAATCGTGCTAGTCGTCAGTTGTGCGGCACACGGCGATGGCGTATGTTGTTCATATTTTTGTGTCGTTGTTCGTACCTCGCCGGTCAGTTATACCGTCCTATTGTTTAAAATACGCGACGCGTGTGAATGTAGGCTGTTAACGCAAGGATAAACCCTGACGTGATCATAGTTTTGTAAAGCTCGGAGTGCAACAATTTTGCAGGATTCCGGATGATCTACAAGTGATCCAACATGGCGTCGACCGATCTGTCGTTCGGTAAATGATGAACTCGTGTACCGTACACACCTTTGACAAGGTCTCCCCGAGGTCGTCCGGTTTTTAAAAGCGTCCCGTGTCCCCTTTTAGCTGATCGAACCTCGTTAACTCTCGATTATCGTAGATTCGCATTGTCGCAGTGTCTCGTTTTTTTTTTTTTAAACCGTTCAGTTTTCCTTCACAGAAATAATGTTTCTTTTCTTTAATTGCTTCGTTAAAGATCGTCTAGCGCATCGTACGATCGACATTTTTTTTATCAACTTTTCGACGCGTTTGTTAAAATAACGTAGGTCCTCTTTTGCGCGAAAACAAAGAGGATCAAACGAGAATTGAAAGTGTTAGAAAAACTAACAACAAACTTTTAATTCGAAGCAATGACACTATTATTCGAAGTCTATAGATAAATACATTTCTATTACGTTTTGTCGGGTTTTTTTTCAACGGTATAGTTATTCACTTTGCAACGTTGATGTGCAAAAGTGCGATTCTGTAATTTCTCGCGAAATGATGTCCTTTTATTTTGCTTTCCATCGGCGCACGGTAACCAGGCTGCATACCGGCGTTCTACAGAGAAGTCTACGAGAAGATTTGCTCTCCCACGAGTGGAAATGTGGAACGAGAGGTGTTTAAATCCCTCCTTGTCAAGTCTCAGCTGAGCAGCTCCGTTCTCAGTCAGGTATGTCCTCTTCGTTTCCCTCTTGTCTCCTTTTCGTACAAGCCGTGTAGCTACTACTTAGGGCCACGTACAGACAAGACTACAGTTTCCAACTTGTGCTTTCTTTATACGCTGCGCTTACGTTTAAAGCAATTCGGATATCCCAAAGACCATGAGCCAAATTTTACTTGACTCTAGCTGACCCAAGTACATTTTAAATACCGTTATTTGTAATACCAGTGACACTAAATTAATTTTATTCCATTTCTAAAGTTAACCGATGCGTTCTGAAATATTTTAATCGACAAATTGAATATACGTTGGTCGTCTCATCGGTTATCTATTATTCGAATTGAATTTTGCCCATCGATCCCTCGTAATCGTAGAAATACTTTCGATCGCAATTACGCAATTAATATTGCTCGCAATAATGCACGGATTTAATGTTTATTAATATATCACCGTCGGTTTAATTATGTTAATTGACGCGAATTATAACGACACGGTTAGATAACGAATCAATTCTGAGTATATACGAACAACGGTATACCAGTCTACGTGCCCGAAACTGTTGCCACGTGAATAAATTTATTGCATAGCGGTTCCTGGCGACACAAAACGGTTTCAGAATTTTTACGAGCGTGACGCGACTTCGAACGATCAAACTTCAGGACGTATACTTATCTACGACGAATACGTCCAAGCGGAAAAGAAAATAAACAACGAGACACAAACTGTGTCATACTATCTGCGAGCATTTCTGGCCACACTGGCCAAACGAGCGGCTTGGTCGCATATTTTACCATGTCGATTTCTTGACAAATTTTGTAAAAGTTAGGCGAATTCATGGTACAACGGTTTAGAATTTTGCGACATAATCGAATTATTATATATTTGGGATAAACTTCTTTTGTTCTTGTTCGTTGTCCCGTTCTCCTAACAATATCATTATTTTATCATTAACACGCCCGTCGACGATAGTCCGGCACGAACGCCCCTTCGTAATAGTGGAAGATTATGCACCAGGGTCAACTTTGATCGTAAATGTATTTTCCATACGTTCGATATTTTCACGTTGAAGAATCGTCGCTTGATATTTCTATAGTTTATCAATTTTCTATTTATATTGAATCGAGTCGAATCCAGCGTACACCGAACACCGATTATAGAAGAAACTAGAAACAATAAAGTGACACGGCACGAAACGTTGTAATGGGGATTGAACGTCGCGTCTCGTTCATTGACTAATGACACAATCAAAATAACGTTACGTGGGTCGCCGCTTTATCGCCAGTCATCGCGGATCTCTATGAATAAGACGATCCTGAATGATACACATCGTGTAAGGCGATACAAAGGGATTCGTCGTGTATCGCGTAGCTGAACCGTTCAACCGGAGATGACGAGTTAACTCGTCATTGGAAAACGTTTATCCAACGCTCATGACGAGTTAACTCGTCGTTGGCACTTCGAAGACGACGCACGTGTGCGTTTAAACTCGATGCTTCGTTCGTTTTCGTACGACAAAATTTTTTAAATACCAATCAACGCGGATGTTTGAGTGTTTGTATCGAAGATGATAAGTACTAGAGATGGCGTGAATTGTTACTTTTGAATCACTCGTTCATTCCCAATCATGGTGATTTTTCACAGTGATTCATGATTCTTCGCGATCGCTTTTAATTGGTGGCGAACATTCTTTTCACTTTTCACGAATTATGTCCTTAGACTGTATATGTATTACATTATAATATGGTCTAAAAGCAATGTTGACATAATTTTCTTATTAGGAGAAAGGAAAGGAAAAATTAAAAGTGATAAATAGATGTAAGTATAAGGTTTTATTTCTCATTGTTTTAACATTCGTTTCATAAATGTTCGTAAAATTTTTCAACAAAGTAATGTATATGCAAAACTAACCTGTTTGTAATTTTTTATTCTAATTTATTTCTTTGTAATATAAATATTATGGTTAGTGATACATGTCACTTATGTTATAACATTATGAATAATATTATTATAAGAGCAGTTCAGCAAGGTTTGATTAAAATAATATAATAAATATATTTATAATAATGTAAGAATAACAGGATATAAAAAAAATTTAGTTAAAATCATTGTGTGGATGAGTATATCACATGATAGGTTTATATTATTAGAAGAGCCAATTATAGTCAAAGCAGCTATTACGAATAAAAACCTACCATATATTTTAATATGCACAGTAAGAAATATTAGATGATTTGGCGAAAGGATATTTTTGAAAACTGGATTAATTTAAAACCATCAAAATTATTTATGTTGTTATTTTTAAATACTAACCCAAACCTAACCTAGCCTTTTTCATTGCTATACAATTTAAATTTGATGCATTTGTAATTCTTTAAATTTCCACTGAGGGGAGTTAGCGAAACACTAACGATCTCAGTTAACGTGAACCGCTACTAAAACGCCATCTTTCGGATCACCGTCGTGAATGGAGTTTACGAGCGTGAAAAAATCACGGGAGTGATCGTAATTTTATGATCACTGTGATAAATCACTGTTAGTGATTTTGCACGCCATCCCTATTAAGTGCTCTATAAATTATTGGTGCATGAATGAGTGCATAGTTTCCTGAAATACAATTAGCTTAAACAAAAATACGCGAAGGCTTGTAAAATGATCACAGAAGTCGTACACATGTAAATCGTACACAGAAGTTCATTCATGAAGGGAAACCACTATAATCGAGACTTCGCACTCTTTAAGTGCGATACGAGTGCAGCTGTTCATCGTGCAGTTATTTCCAAAACAAACGTCTGTCTTGTTTTCTTTCATTCTTACGATCATTCAAGGGTTATAGATGAGATTAGATGCAATTCTATTATTTTTGGATTTGTACAGTCTGCTGTTATCGTTTCAAACAGAAACTACACGCGTTGGTCTTATACAGAGTGTTCGATCACCCTTGGAAAACATTTTAATGAGTGATCCTAGAGGTCAAAATAAGACGAAAATCAAGAATACCAATTTCTTGATTGAGGCTTCGTTAAAAAGTTATTAAAATATTTCAAATCATTCTGAAAAAATTATTTCTGATTGCGGGTGTCAATTACAATCATTTTTGGTGAATGCACATATCCTCGAAATCCTACGTACTTTCGAGAAAAAAATTCGAGTATGTGGACAAATTTTTCGACAAAATTAAAAAATTTCAAATCGTTCTGGAAAAATTATTTCTGATTGCGGGTGTCAATTACAATCATTTTTGGTGAATACACATATCCTCGAAATCCTACGTACTTTCGAGAAAAAAATTCGAGTATGTGGACAAATTTTTCGACAAAATTAAAAAATTTCAAATCGTTCTGGAAAAATTATTTTTGGTTGTGGTGGTCAATTACAATCATTTTTGGTGAACAGACATACCCTCGAAATCCTACGCACTTTCGAGAAAAAAATTCTTCTCCGAAAATATAATGTGAGGTTAGAAATATTGACCTGAAATTGGATGTACATATGTAAGGCGAAACTTTAAACGTTAATAACTTTTTAACGAAGCCTCCAGCAACAAATTGGTATTCTTGATTTTCGTTTTTTTTTTGGTCCTCTAGAATCTTTCATTAAAATTTCTCCCAAAGATGGCGGGACACTCTGCATAGAGAACAGACTGATGTAATTCATAGAATAATATTAGCTCGTTTAATGAATGGAATCTCAAGTTACAAGTTTTTTTTAAAGCAACCGTTTAATTTGTTTGCAACTCCCTGATCGAGCAAAAAATATTTTACTCTGTAACTGGAAAAATAATATACGATATTTGGAAACTTAAAAATATACATCGTTCTTGATTGAAAAAAAAAAACAGTTCAGATCGTTCAATTGTCTTCATCTGAGAATAAAAAACAATCGTTTCTACAGGATGTGTTTTTTTTTTTTAATCTAAACAAATTATTATTCGTAGAAACATTCTTTCCGCATTGCTCATGTACAGTAAGCATGACATAACGCATCAGAATCACATTTTCTAAGGAATAATTAAAAATTCTTTCTGTAGTAATATACAAATAATCGTATATTCGTATAACGTTTCAAATTTGGATGTGGTTATTATCGAACGTCACCAATTACATAACATAAAATTTATCTTTGAATTTTCATGCTTGAAAAATTTCGAATGATGTACTTGAATATGACACAGTAAATAGGTAGATTAAATTCAGCATTTTTAGCATTGCAAAATTAATTTGTATGAATTTAAAGAAGTTCCAATCTTATCGCTTTTCTTACGTGTTCCGTGTTATGTTAGCATGTTTGACGCATATATACGAATTTTAAATTTCGTACTATTAAAGCAGTTCGTCGTTTATTTTATTTAAAAATTGTAATTTTATCACATTTTGCTAGATTAATCTATTACGCATGCATATAAGCGTGTATCATCAGTGCCCCAAAAAAATTTATATAAATATCTAAATGACCTTGTTGCCAAGTTATAACCATTTGTGTACCCCGGACGATTGTTAATCACGAACTGGGCCAAATAGCATAACTGATTCTACTTGACTCTCGGTATACGATATTCGATAACTCTTCGTTTTTCTTTTGTTAGCGGAAGATTAACGGGTCAGTCTTGTGTCAATTCCTTGAGCAACCAACTGCATGTATCGTTCAAAGAATCGTTCCATCATATATTATGCACGACGGTTCATCGTCACATTTTAACCGAATAATTATTAGAAACGGGCTTATTTAAATAAAATACTCAGATTTTATTTTTGAATGATAGTAACACTTTATTTTATACGCTTTGTAAGGGACACCCTTTCACTGTGACTTTTACGAGAGAACTGAACTGCAGTCGAACAGAAACCTGAGAGCTAAAAAACTGAGGCGTTGGAGACTAACACCTCTCTTGTGTTTATGCAAGGTCCTATCGCATCTTTGTGTAAACAAGAAACCGAATCTTACGAGGGAATAAAAACAACAAGACACAGCGACAGCATCTCTTTCCATCAGAATAGGAGACCAGTAAATGAGATTAATTTAGTAGAAACCCAAACAATAATACGCATTTAAATTTAAAAAAAAGAAAATCGTATTTTAGCGTAACTGTCAACACGACGGGTTTCGATAAACACATTTGCAATCGATGTCAATAAATCTGGCATTAAATTGTCGTCGAGAATTGCTTAAAAAGTGGCGAAGCCGCGGGTAATGACCAGTTGTTAATAAACATGTGTGTCAAATCGTTGAGAAGAAATGTCGAGCGGTAGTTTCGCAGTGGATACGGTTATGTTTGCACGCGTACCATGCGACGCTCGACACAACACAGATACGCGCATAAGATAAAACTTTCATGCATACGTGTCCCAACCTCTCTTCCCCCAAACCCTCAGCAATAATTTTGTTTAATGACGTTCCAGTTGTTTCCTCTTCCTGCTTACCAATACTTCGCCGCTCGTGTCTTTCAGAAATGGACGTCATTTTGTTCGAATAACGGATAACCGGTAATACCAACCTACAAGTAATTTATTCGCGACGATTCAATCGATCGAACAGTTTAATTTTAAATTGAAATAATCGATAATTTTATTTCTTGGAACGTACGCTCGTTCATTTTCAATTCATTATTCGAAATTCTTATTTGGTTCAGTATTTTCCTCGTCTTTGTTAACTTTTATTCCTTATGTTAAAGTCTAAGCGACTGTAAGAATAAGTATACATCACTGTCAGGCTACTATAAATTATAGCTAACTAATAAATTACAATGTCATACTTTGTCATTGTTTTAAACTAATATTTTACAACAAATAGAATTTTATTGTTAATAATACATCATGAGCTATAACCAGTTGTGTCCTCGCATAAAATAGCGTCAGCGGGGAAGGAAATAATTTTTTTTTACGTTTCGAAATTGTACAAAAGTTCTCTTAAAGAATTTAATTACAAGCATTTAATTTGGATGACTTTCATTAAATAATTTGTCACGGTCCTTTAATCTAAATCGATATTAATTAAAATAAATAAAACGGTTTATAAATTTCGAACCCAAGAATTCTGTCTTCTTTTTTAGAGAGCGTTAGTTGAAATTAGGAAAAATAAGTAATTGCATCTCCCGGTAACCATGGAAAGAAAGTCGTTTGAACAGAGGAAGTCGTTTACATTGTAAAGCACCTTTTGTTCTTCCAGCAATAGTTTGAATATGAATGAAAAGAAAGTCTGCTGCCAGCGGTGAAAGAAACGCGACAGAATGTGAAATCCTCTCGTAGTATTTTCAAGCATGCTTTTCTTCGGATCAGTAAGTGCCGGTACATAAACATAATAATAAAATGTTATAACTGGACGCTGTAAAAACAGTTTCCTAGCAAAACTGAAGCGTTACTAAACTATATGCATGTTCAGGACGCGGTAATAAATGCTTTCATTATTGCGCCTATAATACCAATTTCCATAACGCGATGTAGTAACGGTATGCGATTAAACTTCCTTTTATCGAATCACGCAATTAGACACAATCTGATAACTAAGTAGTTCAGACGCGAAGACTTCGATCATAGATCGAACAAAGAAACGAATACAAACAGATGCGAGTTAGGGAGATCGGAAAAGTTTCGTTCACGAAAGTACGACGGCGGGGAAAGCAAAGCAGAGAAATGGGGAAAATGGGAAAAGCGAATGCAGATAAGATTGAAGTTAAAGCCTCGTAAAAATGCCATTCGTCGTGCACATGTTTGAAAGTTCCTGGTCCTTGTTTTCTCGTTGGTTTCGCGAGTGTCATTATACCTTAATCGTCGATCGAGTTCACCAAGAGGAAACTACAATGAAAATAGGTTTCTTGTTCGTTGGTACGTGTGAACGCTAGTCGTGAACAATCGTCGAGAAAGCTGAGAGGTTAGGTTAGCTCGTCACGAGCGAGCCTTTTCAACTTCAATGGCCCCTTGCATTTTCGAACAGTATTTAGAAGTACTCTATTGAAATATCGTGCTTCTAAATTGACAATGCGGCACGAATACAGACGTCTTATCAGAGAGTATGAGTGCGAGAGATGGAGCATACCGATACCTCACAGTAGATTTAAAAACATAAACATCCTTGACCGTCGCGTCCAGACAAGCGGGAAGCCAGTTCCAAGAATTCTGGTGAGAATAGCAACCGGCCAATATTCAAGACAACACTATACTAAAGTCGATCGAGACATAGAAAAGGATAGCGAGTAAAAGAGAGAAATTCGAATGTCGAAACGATTACGTTACTGTTTACGATGTTATCTCGCTTCGCCGTCGAACTCGATGCTCCGTCGAGTGCAATATTTTTGGACATTCATTCGATAATTAAAGTTTTATTCGATGTAGTATCTTTATTAAAAAATTCTTTATAACCAAATTGATTACGCTTAAATTTAACGTTCATTGCTAATGCCTGATTTCAACGGATTAAATTACTTGTAAAGCACTACTGAACGCAAATGTCACGTAACTCAAGCGATCAACAAATATGGCGGACAACGACTTGCAAAGTTCGCTCGGATTGAAAAACCCTGTATACAGGGTGTTCGGCCAAACCTGGGAAAAATTTTAATGGAAGATTCTAGAGGCCAAAATAAGACGAAAATCAAGAATATCAATTTGTTGATGGAGGTTTTGTGAAGAAGTTATTAACGCTTAAAGTACCGCCTTTACTGAATTTTTTTCTCGAAAATGCGCAGGATTTCGGGGGTATGTCTATTCACCAAAAGTGATTGTAATTGACCCCCGCAACCGAAAATAATTTTTCCAAAATGATTTGAAATTTTTTTTTCGCCGAAAAATTTGTCCACCTTTCTGAATTTTTGTCTCGAAAATGCGTAGGATTTCGGGGTTATGTGTATTCACCAAAAATGGTTGTATTTGACTCCAGAACCTAGAAATAATTTTTTTAAAATGATTTAAAATTTGTTAATAACTTTTTAACGAAGCCCCAATCAACAAATTGGTAATCTTGATTTTCGTTTTATTTTGGCCTCTAAAACCTCCTATTAAAATTTTTTCCCAGGGATGGCCGAACACCCTGTATACACGTAACCGTGCAGTTTCTGCAAAGTCTGGCGGATCGTTGAAAGAGTGGGAACGAAAGCAGGAGTAGTGGAATGGCGCAGCAAGGTATAAAAATTCTCGGAATGCAGTTACTTTCATTTATGGCCTAATCCTTAGGAATCGTCCACAGTGCTAACCGAGGTTGCACCGTTAGTCGAGTCTATCGCACAGGTTGCGACTGATTATCAGATTTAGCCCCACGGTTGGCGCGCAAATCGCCATCTTCGATTCAATTTCTTTTTTTTTGCGCGGTCTATTAACGTACAAATATTCGCTGTCTGAAATGATATGTCTAGCATTCGAGCGATTGCAAGAATAATGAACGTGAGATTATTTGGCTGATACCGTACGACGAACAAATGTATTTATACCGTATCCAAAGTGTACAAGGACTTACTCATAGTCACATTCTTTCGCGCATGACCTTCTGTACGTGTGTTCTTTTTTAATTGAAAAGTATCGACCATCCTGCATAAAATTTCAATGACTGCTGGGGAAGGCAAAATATAAAACATTCATGGACTTGTAGTTTTATTTTATATATTTACATTGAACCAATAATGTTCATAAGGCCCAAAGACTTAAGAAATGATTTAATACTGCATTCTTCTTTCGTTCGTTTGGGAAACAAGTTTAATGAATTGGTGAAGGATGCCCCGCTTGAAATTACACGTCATACGTGGTTTATCAAGGTCAGCTGCATTTGAAACTCGTTTCCATTGTTCCCTTTCAAACTAGACTTAAAAAATTTAACCTCTTCGTGCTTGGTGCACATTATAACGTGCACGAAATATTTTTTAATAGAGAAGAGGGAAAAATACCTGTTATGTTTGGATTAAAATTAGATTATTTTTTTTTTTACATCAGATATGGGAACTCGTGGACAGCAAGACGGGTTACCTGACCAGGAGCGGATTGTACAAGGGCCTTGCACTAGTCGCGTTTGCTCAGCAAGGAAAACAACCAAGCGACAAACTCCTGGAAAACTCCGAATCTCAAGGTTAACACGTTTGTACAAATCTTTAATAAAAAATTAAGTACTCGTGACGAAAGGTAAACTTGGGAAGCATATAAGAATTTCTCAAAATAGTGACCATTATATACTTACTTAGTTACTAAAAAAATGAAATTAATTTGTTTAGAAACATTCGAAACATTCCAGACTTTCAAAAGTTCTAAACTTCGGTGTCCAAAAAGATTAGATTCAAACTTATATTACGTGTTATTGAGGTTATGTAGACGAATAAATTTCATATAAACTTACGCTCGAAAATGCTGTAGTGAGAAGATATAAACGTCCAAAGAAATACGGGCATGGTTCGTGTTTAAAGTTCGTCGTAGAAAATCGTATACATATCATGATTCTCAATGCCAGTTATCTGCATTCTTAGAGAAGGAGAAGTTGTCGAACATTGCTTATAACTGCCACAACAAATCGTAAATATCTTCGAACATTTATATCTTTTTAATGAAGCATGTACGGGCATGAGTTTATAGAAACTTTGTTCATCTATTTGGCCTTACTAACGCGTAATGTAAGCTTGGTCCTAACCTCTAAATTCGAACCGTTTCGAAGTGCTTAAAATCCCGTAGAGTTTCCTTCGTATCTAGACAGTGTGTGAAGAAATCCGGTTTTTAATGGTGTCGCTGACCAATGCAATAAGCGCCGACATGCTTATCAGTAAAAGGATGATTTTGAATGAACCTGAAGGAGGTTCGCCGGAAATGTACCGTTCTTCCGGATATCTCGTCTGCCACTTTGCGACACACGATTTCTAAATCGAAATAAAGACAGTTATCAGGAAGAAGGTGTCCACCAATTATAAAATGTACAATATCTCGCTTATGCCTGTTCCTACAGTAAAATCATGCATGGCACAATATGTTGGAAATTGAATTTAGGAAATTTTTTGTTTCGTAAAAATGTTTGATGCACAGACACAGTTAAGTTTTATTTACGCGTTTTGACAAATTCTCTAATGAAGCTTTTCCAACGAGTTAGAAAGAATTTCAATGTACGGATGCCGTTCAGATTCTAAAAATACGTGTATACGATAACTGGCTTCCCCGACTCTCCGCAATAACAACGCAAACTCGATAACGTCGTCTCTGCGAGCGTTTTTTATTCGCACGCTGCAGAGTTGCAGCGACAACGAATCGAGCGTTTCGTTTTCTACGGTTCCGACTAACGTCAACAACTGACCACGATGCCATAGCGTTCGGGCTTATATGCTTCTTTAAAGGAACCTTTGGGATCTCCGGGGTAGGGGGGAGGAGTCCACCGCAGAGGACACCAATTGGTTACATTCCTCAAAACCGGTCGAGACGAACCGGTACACGAATCGCAGATCTCGAATTTGGACTTATCATTCTACAGAGACCGTCCTTGGTCTTCGACTATTCTGATTTGACGTGTTTTAATCTAATTTCGACACCATTTTGCCTAGATGTCGTTTCACGCTGACATTCCCCTCCCATTGATTGCATACTCGAGTTGGTCGACTCAAACGAGTCACCCTGTATATTATTTAATTTTTCTATTCTTGTATCAATTTGTTTTTTTTTTTTTTTTTTAATAGAATTACCTGTTCCTACTCTGTGCGATTTGTCGGAAGTGACGCTTCTGGCTCAAAGGTTGCACAAAGGTAGCAACCCTGCAAAATTGAACCTCACGTACTCGGATATTTGTAATCTGGACACGATAGAAGTAAACTTGGTACCGGAAAAGAAGGGGATCTTTTTGAAACACGTGGAGTACCAAGTGACGAGCAAGGTATTTAATACATACAAAAAAAATAAATATTTAATCTCCATCTGGCTGAAAAAAAAAAAATGTAATTATTGCGTTTCGTAATGCAACCGCTTTTCACGTATGTCGAAGTTTAACGGCAGTTTCGAAGGTACACAAAGTTTTGGGCAAGCAAGTACCATAATCAGATAACGGCATTACGAAGAAACAATGTTAGCTTAACGTGCCAGTTGAGGATTAAAATAATTTTAAACTGTGCAAATACTGTGTGCAAAGTAAAAGTAAAAATGACAGAGTTGTGCATTGAATTATTTTCAGAGATTCAATTCCGTCGTTTATAGACGCTACAATGATTTCGTATCGTTGCACGAACTCCTCTTGGCCAGATTCCCGTACAGGTTGATACCGAAACTACCGCCGAAAAAAATCGTGGGAGGTAAAGATTTCTGTTATAAATAATCTTATTTTAAAACGGTAAAAAAAAAAAAATTCTAAAACATCAACTTTACGTAGGATAATTTACTCGTGATGCTCGTGCCTTCGCAAGGTTAACGAACCCTCGTATTGCGTACCGTGTAGCCTGCTATTAATTCCCCTGAATCGTCAGGGACGCGAACCTTCCATTGTTTTGGATAATGTATTAATCATGATTCGCTATTTACAGCGGACTCTCAGTTTCTGGAAGAAAGGAGACGGTCCCTCCTGAGATTTCTCACCGTTATCGCGCGCCATCCGGTAGTGAGCAAAGACCACATTGTACAATTTTTCTTTACCTACACCGGCGAGGAGACCCAACATAAAATTCGCGAGGTATTCAGGCGAGTGCCGGACGAATTCGCCACGTCGGAACTGTCCTCGAAAGCGAAGGAGCTGGTGCCGCCGGAAACGTTAACCGAATTCGCGAACAGTCGCGATCAAATCAGAGTGATACTGCTCGGTATCTCTCGGCTGAAAAACATCGCAGATTGCCTGGCAATTAGATCCCACAGCTACGCAGTAGACATGGCGGAATTAGGCACGCAGTTGAACAATTTAGCCTCGGAGCCCCACGGTACCACTGCTTGGGCCACTGGTGGATCTACCATTTGGCAAGAGATGAAAAAGGGTTTCCATATCATCTCGAAGTGAGTACTAAAGCGACAAAGATTTTCGTTGCTGTTATTTCAGCGAAGCTATACCGAAAATAAAGCACATAATAGTACAATGTTTTATTCGCGTGTCCAGTATACTTTTGTTCCTTGTTTTTATTGCGTAAATCAGGTTCTGTAGCATACGTGGTACAGTATTTTTCAACGCAATCGTCGTAATGAAAATCTCTACGGTTTAACTACAGGTATCGCAATGATAACCAGGTTGCTGGTTTCCTCTTTTAAGTTTACAATTGCAAAATACCAGGCTGTCTTTATTTCAACTTCTTTCGTTCTAAACTACTGTGAGTCGCCTTATCGACTTCACCCACAAATTGCAAGACTAAATGCTTAAATTTTTTAGCTTTTGGGTCTTTCGTACCATTATAAATTGTATGTGTGTGTGTGTGTGTGTGTGTGTGTGTGTGTGTGTGTGTGTGTGTGTGTGTGTGTGTGTGAAATTATAATTATGTCTGTATCGGTGTCTTAAAAAATCATGAAAGGAATTTCGAAATGGTCGTAAGTAATTTATTTACAGCTCTGTTAATAACATCAATCATATCTTTTTATTCTGGAGATGTATCCATACGTAGGTAATTTTAATTACAGAGAATTCAACTTGCTCTCAACGAGAGCTCTGCAACAAGCAGTCAGAGAAGAAACAATGGTCTGTGAAAGGCTGAATCTCCTCTTAGATATTTTAGTAGCGCACAGAATACTATGTGAGAGGCATGAACGCGGGGTCAGTGCTGATCATCAGCGTGCATTATCCACAATGTTGTCTTTAAAGAAACGACAAATGCAAGGAGTCATCCGCGGCACTGATGTAAGTTAATTCTTCGAAACAGGGACTTGGCGCCGGTATTATTAGAAACCGATACAATATCGAATATCGTTGTTACAAGTATAACACCGGTATTTTCCATTTCGTTACGAGTCCCCGCTACGAAGTAACAGGTGGTGATTTAGAGTCTTACGCGATGTATATTTATCCGGTGACTTAACTCTAATTCATTGTTACCAGTCATTACGTGATTATTCTGAAATTGCTCAAGGTTAGTTACATTAATAAGAGGAGAAACGAGGTGATAATATGTCATCTTGAACTTGTATCGTCTTACGCAATTCGTTCCAATTGATGGCGAAACCACGTGCGCGGCTATCGTGTTCTCGAAAATTAATTTGTTTCGATTGAAGTTTTTGTATGCTTTGCAGACCGACACTGTCGAATATCTAGAGAACAAGATGGTTGCCCAGGAGTCGGTGATCGCGAACGTCGAGCTACGAAATTGTTTTTCATTGCACTGTTTACACATGGAGACACAACTCGTTCACGCGCACTTAGAGATACTTGCCACGGTATTACAGAGTCTCGTCAATGTTCAAATCCGCGGGCATTCCGAGGTAAGAATTTTCACTTATTGAAATTAAATTGTAAATTGTATATGGAATTTATCGTGATGTTCGTACGCTGTCGAAAAATTGGGAAATTGGTAAGTGCATCGAACATTTTAATAGAGGCCAAAATAAGACGAAAATCAAAAATATCAGTTTCCTGACTGAGGCTTCGTTAATAAGTTACTAAAAAATTTCAAATCGTTCTGAAAAAATTATTTTTAGTTACGGGGGTCGATTACAATCATTTTTGGTGAACAGACATACCTCCAAAATCCTACCCATTTTCGAGAAAAAAATTCGGGTAGGTGCTGAAATTTTTCGGCGAAAAAAAAATTTTTCAAATCGTTCTAAAAAAATTATTTTCGACTTCGGGGGTCAATTACAATAATTTTTGGTGAACAGACATACCCCTGAAATCCTACCCATTTTCGAGAAAAAAATTCGGGTAGGTGCTGAAATTTTTCGGCGAAAAAAAAATTTTTCAAATCGTTCTAAAAAAATTATTTTTGACTTCGGGGGTCAATTACAATAATTTTTCGTGAATAGACCTACCCCCGAAATCCTACCCACTTTCTAGAAAAAAATTCAGTACGTGCGGAACTTTAGACGTTAATAACTTTTTAACGAAGCCTCCATCAACAAATTAGTATTCTTGATTTTGGTCTTATTTTGGCCTCTAGAATCTTCCATTTATATTTTTCCCAGAGGTGGCCGAACACCCTGTATTATGTATAAATCAATAATAGATTGCAATGCTCTTTCAATCATTTCCGGATTTAAACTTCCTGCTATTACATTCTGTCATAGGTGAAACCAGAAAATTCGAGCAAAATAAGCGGCTCGAGAAATTAGAACATTTAAAAAAAAAGAAAACTAAGCAATGAAAATTTCAGCTGGATTTTTATTGATTATTTGATTTTTTTTTTTAAGTTAAAAATCACAGTATGGTACAAAGTTGAACTTAATTCGAGTGTAATTATAATATAGAAGAGATAAAAGTAACATTAATGATCTAGATAACTCTGGATAGAAAATGATCTTAAGAGCTCGTCTGTTTGTATCGTAATAAATATATAAAAACAAAGATTATTGAAGCAGATAATTTTTTAACAAATACAGCTTGCCGAAGTCTGGAAATTAATAGAGCCAACGATCATGAAGTGTTTACCAGAGAAATCAACGAATGGATCGAACGGAATTTCATAAAGAAGAGAAAGTTTTTTTTTCACGCTACGCGTGCTTCGCGATTAAAACTTGACGGTTGATGTACAAGGTAATGCTTGTTATTATAAGACAATTGTTACGAAAACGAAGACTTGCAAACTAATTTTAATGTACGATTCTAAGGAGACGATATTGAACTCTTACGATTAAGAAAGTGTTGAATACATATCTGATCGAGATATTAAGCGTGTTATACTTAATGTTAATAAATATTAATAATTTTTATGAAAATCAGGTGCAATACGATAATATTACACTCAGTGAAGTAATGTGCGTAGACAAGGAATTTTCTATGTGCGGTATTTTAAAGATATAATAATTCGAAGACTTTTTAAACATTCCTTGTTGTGTACTTAATATATTTTATGATCTGATTGATACTCTCGGGATAGACAACCGCATACTGTCTTGTATATAATAAGTTACGCTTTTTTCTGTAAAGACGCATAATAGGTAAAACGTTTGTATAAAACAACAAAACAATTGTAAATAATTTGGTTACTGAGATACTATGTTTTTATAGGAATTAGAAGTCTGGCGAGTGTTAACATGATTTTCATATGCCACGTTGATCGTGGTTACTCTAAATATTTCACACATTTATATGCAATACTCGCCTTTGCATAATAGTAATGAAATATATTGTTATTATATAAACGCATTAATTTACTATTATATTCCCATTGCAATCGATTTTAATGAAGGAATTAATTAACTTTGAATCCCAATGTTGCCACTGAAATTACTTATGATACACACATCAATTGCATAGGTATAACCCAATCCCATAACAAATCCAAATGCAAAAAAAAAGTAACATTTAATATATAACAAGATATGTTCTTTATTGCCTTAATTTGAATACATATAACTTGTTTGAAATTTTGAGGTGTATTTTATTAACATTTATACTTCTGTCTTCTGTGTGATCAGCTAAAAATTGATTTAACTTGATGGTCAAGGAAGGTATAAGATCATTTAACCTTGCTATTTCATCACCAAGACACCACGCAAAACTAATATGGTAGGATGAGTCCTGCAAATGAAAGAACAATTTGCAATTTTTAAACGGTAAACCATAGAATATACCATAATACTTCGGAAATTAAAATATCTTACTTCATAAAAGCCTGGTAATTCATACTCTGCAAGAAACTGATTAAGGTCCTTTATGAAATGTGCAAGGATATTTTTGTAATCTACACATTCTATCCCAAGAAATGTACGTGTTTTGTCTTCGTTAAGATATGCTCGTATATTCAAAAGTTCTAAATTAAATTGGTCGGTTTTATTGCATAATTTTTTAATTTCTTCTACAAAGGATTCGATCCAATGGTATTTTAAAATTAAAGTCCTTGTTACACTAATGTGGAATTGCTCAGGAAATATATTACATTCAATTGGTACTTCTTTTAATACTGATAACATCCATGAAAGCATAGTCTCGCTGGGTTTATCTGTAGTTTAAAATTATTAAAATAATATATTTACATATATCATTAAAACAATATTGCATGCTTCTGTTTCTTTTATACTAACAATCAATGTAAACCAATGTAGCCCAGTTACCACGTTCATGTTTGAAACTTCTTACTCTTCCTTCGTGTTCTAATGGATCATCATTGATATCATCGTGATGTGGAACACCTCTCCATGTTGTAATGCTTGCAGGCAAAGGTAAACTACAATATAAATAAATAAATAAATATGTATGTATATGTATATCGCGAATAAGCTTACTAGAATTTCTTGGTAGAATTAAAAGATCAATTTATTTAATTAACCTCATACATATATATCTTAAAAATATAATTCATCATTCCTGACAATCGATAAAAATGCGATGTATTAAGTATGTATGAAAATTGATGAAACATAATTTTTAGTAATAAACAAGATAAATACCGCTCAGAAACTTCGCTGGATTTATTACCGTTATCCTGAATAACTTCGTCATCTTCAGAATCGGAACTGTAAGTACTAATTAAACCTAAACCTGACATTATTTACAAATATTTATAATCAAATTACATTTTTTTATGCTTTAAGGTTATGTTTCAGAACTTTTTTCTATTTGTAATTTATTTTATCAATACGTAATACGTAGAACTAATACTTATTTGAATAACATCAACTTTTTACCAATACTCGAGTTTTTTACAAAAATGAATTTGCAACAGGGAACGGTTACTTTAGAATTCATTTAATATCTTTCAAATCGTTTTTAGAAGGTTAAGTTCTTAAACATGTTCGATCGTATTCTAAAAACATGGAAATATAACACATAATTTTACTGATTTGTGTTTTACAAACATAATATTTACATAGTTATACTTAAATCTAGTAAATATCATTTCTTTATATTTATTTAATGTGAATAATGTTTTTACATTTAAAATTTATTACAATTTATACATGAACAAAAAACGGCACGCCATACATTTGAAAATATTATGCATTCGCAAAAAGAAGACAGTCGAGTGTTTACATCCCCACTTTATCATTGGTAGAAGTGCTAGCAAATTGTAACTGGAGTAGGAATGTAAACACTCGACTGCCTTCTCCTTGTGGACACATAGTACATCGTAATATTTTACAAAATTAACAGCAAATATCCTTTAAATTGCATTATATTACAATTTCCCAGCAATATTCAGCATTTATTTATATTACTTCGATATCTTTATCAGTCCTCATAATTGACATTTCATTCGCTAAAATCTTCCTCATCACTGAAATACTGATTCTTTTTATATCGTTTTCCTGATTTCTGAGTTGATCTATCCTCTTCATCATATCCTTTTCCTACTCTTTGGCTGTTTTCTAATTCCTTTTGTCTTTGCTAAAATATAAAATTTTACATATTTAAAATGTAAGAACTATCATTTAATTATTACTATCTTTGTAGCTATTAGAATCATATCAAATTTCTTTATATTCCTAGTTGTAATTCATGTCATTTAAAAGTGCATCACCTCGAATGCAATTGCAGCACTTAATGTTTCTACTTCTTCTTCCCAATTATCTTCTACTAATTCATCATCACTATTTTTACTAAAATCATTTGTTCTTGGACTATTAGTACTCTTGTGCTTCTTTCTGATTCTAATTTTTTTTAATGGTGGGTTTCTTGGACCTAATGTATTATTCCTGCAGTTATATGATAAATGGCCTTCTTCTCCACATTCGTAACATTGAGATTTATCTGGATAGTCTCTTCTACGAATAAATTCAGTACTGCGTCCATTATCTACCGCTATGGAACTTTTTATCGTACGACCACCTATCTATTAAAAAATGATATATTGAAAAACAAAACATAAGCCATATTATTACAGATAATATATGATAATTTACCTCTGTATTATTCAAACCCTTAGCACAGGAAAATGCATCTTCTGGAGTAAGAAATAATACAAATGCAACACCACGACTCCGTCGTGTAATTTTGTCTTTCATTACTGTTACTCTACAGACAAATAAACAAAGGTATCATGTTTCAAAACATGTTACTATCAAATGGTTCAGAATGTGATTTAAAAAATTCATATGCTTTGCTTTATAATTTTAAATATGTGGGTACTTAATTTATTTACTCTTCAGCTTTTACTTCTTTAATGTATTTTGTACGTAAAGAATTCTTAAATCTGTTGTATTTATTGAAAACATTAATAATCTTTCTAAAATTGGTTTATCAAAGTTTATGTAATTTTTTCATGATTATGGAAATATGTATAAAATAGCAGTAAAAATTTTATTTAATTTTGAATATTTATGTAATTTTAAAAAAGGATAGGGTACAGGGATATGTGTAATATACAAAAAAGAAACTTAATATTGTAGTTTTTACCATATATTTAATCAATGTAAATGATGCATATAAGTCCATAAATGATTGAAGAGTATAAATTTTATAACTTACTTTACAATTTTTCCATAACTTTGTAATAGTTGATGTATATCATTGTTTGTTAACGAGAAAGGTAAGTTTGAAATATAAACAGTTGATTTGCTGGGTACTACACCACCACTCATTGCTTCTATTTTTCAAAATCTTATTAAGTTATAAAATTCATTTAGCTTAACCTGAAATAAAAAACAATATTTTAAATAATTGTAAAGAGGTTATATAATTTTGTTTATACTACATTATATTACTGCCTGTCATTTATTGAAGTATTTGTATTTAAACGAAATAACTCATCAACCACCACACAGGTTTAAACAAATTATCTGAATTCATATAAACATACTCGAGTTTCGGCTACTCGATAATATAGGTTATTTTTATAATAGTTCTAAAATGTATTTCTTGAATTCAATCGCAACATATTTTTGTTGATTGTTATTTTACTTTTCGAAAACATACAAATCTAAACGACACTTTATAAATACTTACTAAACTACGGTTACCGTCATTATTTACATATTAAACACCACCATTCCTTTTATGTAAATATCAAATAACAACACTGCAAACCGCAGAAATGGTTGGTTCGTTACGAATTTAGTTATCAATCGTACCAAAATACAGTCAATAATGGACAATATTTTTCATCCAACATGAAGCGAAGTAATAAACCAGGCGACTGCAGTAGTGTCGTATTAGCACTAGCAGAGAACTATTCTCCAAATTACACGTATTATTATACAAATCAGTATTTAATATTTATCAAATACAGTAATATTTTAGTTCCTTTTTAAGTCTTATCTTCTGGAAAAAAATTATAACGAACTATAACCATTTGTCGCCCTTTTCGTATTGCAACCCAGTGGTGAACTTACAATACACCCCTGGTTAGAAGAATGCGTCGATGCAGCGGACCAACCAATGAGATTCTGGTAACAAAAGTGATGTATTGTTTACAATGTTGTTTATAAAGGGCCTCGTAGAAAACCCCATGGAAGACCTTCTACAGTCTGTTTACCGAGTAGTCACTAAATCTAAACAAGAAACAAAGAACGACAGTATAGATTGAACAGAAACAGCGATATCTGTTATTGGCTGTGGCTGAGGGGATATCGCTGTTCGTTGCGTTTTTGGTCAGACGTGTATCGTATGCCCGATGGATGGTTTGTCGACACACGAAAAGGTACAACAAATGGTTAAAAAATTCGATGGCAAGTTTCTACTAAAAGATTGTAAGTGTCAGATTTTCTATAAGAAACTAAAATATTTGAATAAATTTGATCGTGTCTGTAACAATTCGGAATACACTTGGTGGCAGTCTAAAACATTTTCACGACACAAATTATGTAAAGGAAAAGATTAGAAAACTAGGTAATTGTTATTACCAAAAAAAATTTTTCCTTCGTAATATTTCCCTTTTCCAATGAATGAAATTGCAGTTTTTACATTTTGTTTTGTTTTTATTATAAATAATAAGTTTCATTAATTATACAGTAAAATCGAATCGGTAATTGTCAAATTGCTAAAAGATAACAATGCTTTAATACATTTTAAAAACAGGCAATCATATTGAAAGGTTCAACATGAATAAAAAGAAAGCAATTTCTATTCAAAACTGCATACAAAATTTACATACTTTTACATACAAAATTTAGTTTAAAAAATTAGGAAAAGATTGTTGGCCGCAGTTTAATAATTCCAAATAACGTCAAAAATATTTGTTTTTATTAGTGAACATTTTTTTTTTTAACAAATGTCACTCTATTTTTGCTAACTTATACAAACAAACACGATTACTATTTATTAAACACATTGTCGGAAAACTAACTGTTGCTATGTTGACATGTCCATCATCAATGAATGTTACATTAAAGTGAAAGTGATTTCTAAAAATCTATGACTCGATTTGTTTTCTAAAATTTAGCTTAAAACGCGATTTTTATTAACAAATAAAAGTATTTCTTTTAATACTAAAAGTTAGGTACTCTTGTTCTTTTTCGATTTATATTTACTACGAATATTGTAACCATTTCACTTCTACCTAGTGTTAATTATTACGCTAATACCTTATGGCATCTCACCCATAAATCTTTATTACCGGGAAACAAATTTTATTTAATACTGATAGTCGTTTGTTTTAACAAAAAAACAATTCGAACAACTGATCCTTACAATAAAAACAATTAGATTGCACCAACTTTTAATTTTAACATTACCTCAAATTAGTCTCATAAAAGAATAACTATAATATTGCACGATACCAGTCATACTCTTAAGTCTTTTAATATTGTTGCGTTAGGAACTGGTTTAATGGATCAATTGCCACCAATTTAAGATGTAGACTTTAAATAATTACACTTTTACCAATAACGATATCTTTTAATCAGCCTTCGGCTGTACTCAGTCTCTAGTAACTTCAATATTGTTCAGAGACGCGAACCTCCAAACTTGTTATACCTACTTAAAACAAAATATTTGTCTATCTACTTGTAAAGCACCGACTCGACGAGTGCGCAGTCTCATTTTTGAAAGTCTTTAGAGTCGTTCATAGACTGGCCCTTTTTGCGCGGTAACTGCAATGTGATCGGCTGAACGTCCTGAACTTTCCTAAGCCCCTGATTCGAGCTACGAAATGTGATTTTTAAGTTGGGCACGTGTTGCTCGGTCGCCCAGTCGAAATTAAAAATCGGCGTTTCTGTGTGTAGCTCGGAATCGGGAGTATCGACCGGAGTGGTCGGCGTCGCGACGTAGGGGCTAAGTTCTTGATGCACGACATCCGGTACCCTTTGCAAAGTGTCCGACCACACTGGACTCGAGTTCCAATGTTCCATGGGCAGATCAGAAGGATCAGCTGTTGATCCTGTGACCGTTACTATCGGTAATGCCTTGGCTTGAATCCGTTTATGGGAGGTGCTCCTCTCGTTGCAACAATACTCCTTATCTAAATCTGTGATGTAGTACTTGGGCGACAAGGCGTCCATGTTGTATTGGCCGTGGCATTGAATGAATTTTGCACGATAACCACTCAAATTCAATGAATTCTTATGGTGTGCTTTGTACCTGTCGGTAAATTGACCAAGAGCGTAATGCCCGTGTTGAACATTCACGTGCACATTTCTGTTCTCATGCTCGCTGCTGCTTATGGACATATCCACTGGTTCCGCGTCTTCTCGCGTATTTCTCGTTGTATAATCTTTTAGTTGCGTTTTTCCAGAACCGTGCAGATCTTGTTCGGAATTTCGAATGTTAGGAGAATGCTGGGCATCGTTATTGTGGGTATGTGATAACGAACGCGTGTAGTCCTGTTGCTGAGTATTTTGGTTTCCGGCCACGTACGACACGCTGCGATTCTGGTTCCCGGAGCAAATTGTGTAAGTGAATTTAGTTTGAGACGAATATTGATATAGCCAGGAACTCGTACGCATCACTTCTGCTTCCTTATCACTGCAATTCGATAATTTCATTGCAAAGTTTTCTTGCAATGATCGGTGAACGAAAATTACAATATAGAAAATGTACCTTAGAACTTGATTTGTACACACGATAATAGGATGCTGGCATTCCTCTGAAGTATCTTTCACTTGTAAAACACAGTGTACCCAGAACCATCGCCCAGAACGACTTTGTAATCTTAATAACGCGGTCGCGGACCGTTCCTGATCGGATTGAATAACTGAAACAATCGTAGATGATATCAAAGCTCTTAACTGCTTAAAAATTATAAGGATTTCCATTTAGTTTTTAAACGATGAAACATACAAATTTTACGGTTAATTATATTTGTTATATATTGTTGTGGGGTCCTGTGGAAGAGATGGAGAAGAAAAGATGCGGGAAACCGGGATATTAGGAGTCGGTTAAGGAGCGTATTTCTACTAATGGAAGGTCGATCGAGCGCTTGCGAGAGGAACGGTCCCTCTGGCGGCGAGTACGGGAGACGATGGACCCCAGATTGTGTTAAAAATGTAAGAAAACGTACCAGTTTGATGCTTACAATATGCAGTTCGTATGGAATCCCAATGCAATAAATTATACCATGACACATTTACCAATTCGTTACGACTGTACTCCAAATGGCTTTCCGCCCTGGAAATGAAAAGATAATACTCCGATTAATAAAGTTCTTCGTACGATTATCAATTTTTTGTACAGAGACATTACGTTTTATCGATATGGAGATATTTCATATCCATAGAGTGGATTGTGGTGAAAATATTTGTTGCGCCCTGCACAATACTTTCTCTAGTTTCCGGTAATACGACAGGTGTACACGAGGCAAGGAAAACAAACTCATTTCGATTGCAAACAGGAACAAAAGGTAAAAAATGACCTTCAACAAGAACCACCTACAAAACAAATAACAATAAAACTATACACGCAGAAGTAAACCACGAAATAAACAGTTTACAAGAGGGTACATGTTAAAAGAGCAGTACCGAGTAAAACAACAGTTTAAAGTAACAAAATATAAGAAGAGGGAAAGGACGATACGCGAAAAAATTGTATCTGGAAACTACCTTCTGGTCGCCAAAACGCAGCTGCCTTCGTGAATTTCGGGATACATTAATTCGACAAAGGAACAGTCTTCTGTCGCTCGGAATTGGACTATTTCTAGATAATTGATTTTGTACTACCATGTGGTCTTGTTTGTCTATGACATCGTAAACACTGTCTCCGTGTATAAGTAAATCCTCCTAAAATACATTATGTAATATAGGGTATTAAATCGGAGCAAATTGTCTTGAACGGAACCCGATTGTAAGTGAAAATTCCATGTTTTCTGTCCTAAATGATAAAGGAACGTTTACGTTATTATTAAAATACTAAAATGATTAATTTCATTTAGACGGATTTTGCAGAAAGAAATTTAGGATAATTCAAAATTGTTTCATCATTTTTACAGTAGACTTTCAACATGGTTTTTTTTTCTTTCTTTGCAATTACTTTACCATAGAATGTCCGAGGTATTCTGCTGCATTTTCTGATATATACAACAGTTTTCCTTGCTGGGTCATCATCATTATAAATCCGGACATGGCCTGAAAAATTGCATGCATTGTATGGCCAACATTTGTACCGTAGTAATCAACGGTCAGAAATACAATGCAATATGACGATAAACAATATTACTTTTGAAAATCCTATGTTAGGAGTCGGGATATTCGAAGAGTCGGACGGACAGTTTTTCAAGGCTGAAACAAAAAGCACGATTACGTTAAATTAATTTAAACTTCACGGAGCTGCCAATCTAACGAAGACCGTAACGATAACGATGATCGATCGAAACAAACTAAAGATACACTCGTGCAGTAATTAAGATAGAGAGACTAAAAAACGACTGTACCGGAAGGTAGAAATGATCGATAAACTGCTACATAAAACTATTATACTTGAAAATAGTCCGTGGAAAATGATGTCGATAACGTTGTAGGTTCGAACCTATCGTTATTGCCTTCTTTTATTGGCCATAAACATTTGAGCCCAGAAGTGCTATTGATAAGATTCTCTTTATCTGTGTAATACTAAAAAAAAAAAAAACATTCTTATGAAACGTGTCGTATATGAGCAAAGGAGTAATAAGAAGAGGTCAAATACAGAACCAAATTTATTTACGAATTACGATTTGTAGCAAAGAAGAATGGATCAACGAAGATATAAATTGTAATATATTTGAAAAGGTAAATTAATAATTTTTTGTGGTGTTTGACTATGGCGATCGCGGAACCATCGAGCGCAGCCGAAAGTTGTTTTGAGGCGTTCCAATGCTGTCGATTAAAATCGTCGGTGAAGAATCATAATCGAGCAGGGTCAGCTCGGGGAAACAATAGAAAATTCGTTTCGGGCGCGGGTTTTCTTCTTCTGTCCCCGGGGAAAGGCCCGAGGAAAGGGGGAGAGAGGAAAAAAAAAAGGTGAAGAAAGGGAAGAGGGAAAGAAGCGTATGCTAATGCAGCATGGCAACGTTTACAAACGGCGCTACACGAGACTATAGTATCGAATACTGTGAAACAATGAGTATGTAGGAGAGAAAGAAAGAACGACCGAGAGCGGAGAGACGATACAGAGGGAGTATGGGTTACAGGAGCGTGAGAGTGTTGTTGCAAAGGCCGGCAGGTCAGCGGATCACCCGGAACTCGCGCTTAGACTCCGCTGAGTTTGAATGTACGCCGATCTTACCTTCTTGCCTTACCTACCTCCCTACCTTTTGCCTATACATTACTCTCTACGCTTGCACAACGGAGATGCCCCAAGATTTTGATGCTCGAACGACCATTTAATATTCTTGTCGCGGTGAATTCTTATCGCCGTGACGTTCGATACGATGTTCGGGAAAGTCTGGCCCCAATTTTCTTGGTAACCGTAAAACGATACGGTTAATTTCGAGCGATTTGCAAATCATCGTTACAACGTTGGAGGTTCTATTAGAAGATTTTCGACGATTTTAACGCGTCGATGAAGATCGATGATAAAGACGCGAGCGTAGGAGATGCAAAGGATATTATAGAAAGGTAGTGTAATTTCGCGATGCACGAGACCTTATGCGATTCGAATTCCGAATGTAGAGACGTATACAAATGTCTGAGAATTTCACGAACGTTCCACGACATCCAGCCTCTCGTGCAGCGTTGTAAAATTAATATTTATCCGTGGTTCGGATTTCGCGGAGGATTTATCGTTGGACGATTGTTTTTAATGGGAATGCAATTATTAAGCAACGATATTATCGATCGTAATCGATATTTTATAATTTTGAGATCCATCGTGTCGTAAACGTTGCTGGATGCAACGTTCGTAAACGGGACATCGTTTAGAGAGATCCACGATACAGTTATAATACAATTAAAAATAAATCTGTTTGTAATATTAATTAAAGGCGGTAACTCTCAGAAATGCTTACCGAAATAATCGGTAATAACGACTTTCTCATTACTATTATCGAAAACCGCTATCCACCTTTTGCAAATAAGTAATACCGTTACCGATATTTCGATATTGGCTTTTGCGGTGACGTACAAGTCTACTGGTAGACGGTGAATGGAAAAATTAAAACAGCGAGCGTCTCGTCATGAAACAAAGGTACCACCGTTCACTGTACACCAAGTGTACGCGAAAACGTTTAATATTTTTGCTCCTGTTTCGTAACATTGTTTAACACTCGACGCGATTCAATTATTTCTGCACGCGGCACAACATCAGCTATGCACACAAATTAATAATCTCGAGGAATTAGGAATTTTCAACGACCTCCTTCTTGCTTCGAATATTATTCTTTCGTGTAAATTTTTGTTAACACGGAAGTAGAACACCTTCGATGTTACGTATAAAAATTCTTCGAAAATGCATAAAAACAAATAGATAATTTCTTGTTGTAAATCGTTATCTTCTTTAATTTTTCATAAAAATGCGAACCAAGTATTGCACAACGCCATCGAGGCTCTTTAAATTATAATTTCTAGAATGGGCAATAAAAATGTTGGTCCATGACATTCGAGTGGTAAAAATTATTATTGTAAAATTCTTACGAAGTCAATAGAAACAACGCATGTTTCGTGATAGAAGATTCTAGGATTGCAGCTAGAAATACAGCTGAAATTGGGACAATACAACAATATATCTTTTACTTTTAATTGCGATTCGCTGTTAGCATGGAATTCCAGGGAACACTATACTCGTGTTGTTTGATTATGAAACATGTTCTTAAGCATTTAAGGAATGCTTGATAAAAGATTGCACAAGCAGTTTTTTCTTTAAGCAACAATATCCTGAATTTTATAATTAAATATGTATGTAATACATTCAAACATTTAAATTAGTTTGATATTATTGTTCCAGCAATTTTTCGTAATTTTTAAAATAAAAATAAAAAGAAAGAAATAAAAGTCAGAAAAATATTGTCAAAAGCTTACGAATATTTGGACACTGTTTCATAAAATTAAAAAAACGCGTTGTTAAAAATGGATCACGTTTATTCGAATTTACTAAACATCGTTAAATTTATATTAACACAATTTTTAATAGTAATTGGCGTCGAGCAAACTTCAAAATTGTAGGAGAAAAATTTTTCTGGAACCGGAAACGATGGTCGCGAACCTAAAGAACGATCGAATCCGAAACCTGTAGAGTTAAATTTCCCTGTCGTACACTTCGCGGCCAACCCTTTAAAGTTGTATTGTTACGAATTTCTACGCTCGTTTGGAAACGATACGTTATCGGGGAATTCACACAACTCTGAGAATTCAAGGAACGTGGCCCTCGCGACAAAGGGCTAATTAATACGATCGAAAGGCTTTGGTTTCCAAAATTCAAAAGCGCCTTTCGGGCTCTTAATTAAATTAATCTCGTCGCGCTTACCTTGTTGGAAGTAATTGGCTTTACGAAGAAATACGCAAACCAAGGCCATAAGCTGTAGCTGGGAAAGTCTCTGGCGGGTTGAGGGCGGTAATGGCAGTAAATCACGTAAGTTGGCGATTTCGGCATTTATCAGGTCCCTTCGAAGCTTGCTGGCGCCTTTCGTTGATTTGCTCGCATCTATCCTTCAAGCACACACGGATGTTACCGATACTCTATCGTGACTGCTATAAAAATGAACGTTGAACGCGTGCAGCATTCGGTGACTTTCGAACCGCCACGATCGACGCCAAAAAGTCATCGACGATATCCAAACAGATCGTATCCGTTACCGTTCGAAATTTCAAGAGATCCGGCGTCTCGATAAAACAGAAACTTACCCCCATATCCAGAGTATCGCAGATTCGAGAACCTCCGTTTATATATTTGCAACTCGATCTTACCTCTCGTCGTGACCGCTGATCGCGGTTAAAATATATCAAAATTACTTATCGATAAAAGAAGTGTTCGTTGGATACAAAATACAAACTGATACGCCTGGTCGGTAACGCGGGCGGTACGTTAAGAATTACATCGAATCCGTCGGACGTCCACTCGGCGAAGCGACATTGTTGAGGCCGCTCGCGAAGGGGGTAGAAATTGCGATCGGCCGTCGATGCTCAAAAGATAAGCGGTTCCCCAACGGAAAAGCGTATCTTTCGTTTGGCGGTCCCGCGTTCGGACATTACTTACCGATTGAACATATTTCGGTGACCAGGAGAACATTAGTAGCGGATCACTTGTAGACGACGAGCGAGATATCCGGGTCGGCAGGTTCTCGCAAAACTACAGCTACGATCTAACATCCGGGTCATAACGCGCTACTACACTGAACACGTGGATACTGGCGGAGGCTGGTTCTCCTACTTCTCACCTCCACAGCCCCCCTTTTTCTCCTTTACCTCCACCACCGTCGCCCTCGCCTTCCCTTTCCGTCCTCCTCCACTGACTCTGTCCTCTGCCCACGCACGACATCCACAATTGTCTTCTCCTCGTTTCGCTGTTTGTATTCGACGGTCCTCCTCGCTCCTTCGATTTATCTCACTCATTTATTTCCCTTTCTCCACTTTTTCGCCCGCTCGCTCCTTTACCCCGTGCTACTACCATGGTCACGATCGAGTAGTCGTGTCCCTCTACCACCGCCATCATCGCCATCCTCGCCACCACCACCCGCTACTGGTTACGTTTCCTGTAGATGCGGTTTTGCCCGAATCGTTCGCGCAATGTCCCGCCTCGGCGAAGCTTTCGGCGTTCGCCACGATCATCGGGGCTTCAAGGGTACCATTTCCGTCCGACGCAACAGCGAGCAGGATTCCTAAAACCTAAAGTCAACCTTAACCGTTGAGAAACCATGAAACTTCAGCCATAGGTTTTAGCACGCAGGGAAGATGCTGGGAACCATGGACCGGGTACTTTTTTTTTTCTATAATAAGTGTTGCGATATGTCGGTAATTAACAAAAACGCACCGATTAATGTCCTCTTGCGCCACTAGGCAGCACTAGTTTAGCATATTTCGTGCAACTAATCGGTGGAAGCATTGTTTTTCCTTTGTTGACAAAGTTTTTAAGGTAAGTTTTATTTCTTTTTTCCCCCTTTACTGTTTGAGAAATGTACAATGTTTGTTGCAGTGGTATAATTAGTTCTACCACTTAGCTTGAAAATGCTCTACTTAATTATATGGAAATATCTTTACTGTGCCAAAATATTTAGGTTAACTTTATGAAAGACAGGAGGTTGCAATATGGACCATGGTGGTTACGTTTTCTATTGAGACTGATATACTTTAACACGCTATATTTTTATATCGATACTGATCAGCTTGAGTCTACTTGTGTAGCGTTAACAAATGACGTCTTGGAAATACACGGTAACCATATTTTAAGCCTCGGAAATTGGTTCTTTCTGAATTTTTATTTTTTCTTTACTTTTGCGATATATTCAGGAAGTGTTGAGGAAGTATTCTGAGTAAAATTCTAAGGCATCGGACAAATCTAAACTTTCAGTTGAAAAAACCATATTTTTCCGTGAAAATTGTACGATAAAGACACGAACATGTGCGTATGGTCCGGTTTTTCTTTAAAAACAAATATGGCGGTCGAGAATACCTTGGCGTGTAAGACCAGACTGTGCATGTACCTTGATTGAAGATTCTTCTATCTATGTAAATGATGCCGTACTCGAGTAATATTGTCACATTCGTGATAAGAATCTCGGCAACACAAAATTGAAGGGGGGGGGAGTGAAAAAAGTTTCGTTTTATCGAAATTTTCGCTTTTGTAGTTTCAGCAAAGGAAATTTCGACTTGTAAATTGGACTGTGGAATAATTTTAATTATTTAAGGAATAGTAAGGAGATTAGAGAATTTTCGAGCGACCTCCGTGTTCCAAATTACATGAAAATTTAGAAAGTCTTTCTGCTTTTTGCCAGCTTTAGGAGATTCTGCTCCACTGTGCCGGCGGTGGTAGTTTTAGTTTTAAATATAGTCGGACCTCGATACTCGAACCTCCGTAAGTGGCTCAATCTCTTATAGCCCTCCCCCCCTGTTTCTACCACTGACTCGTCAATATCTGATGTTTTTTTTTTTATAAAGAAGTCGTTTTTTTAAATTTCTCATCATTGTTTTTGTTGCCTTCTAGTCGATCGACAAATGCAGATTTGTTCCAACGCGTGAGAAATACAATGTCTAACTATGATACACACAGTCGTACATTAAATCATAAGGCAAAGTGTTAATAAGAGATTAACGAGTCAATATTGTGCCAGTTTCTTTTGAATAGTAAAATGTATGAATTATTGAATGAAATTCTAAGTTTTCAAAGTCCTTTTCAGAATTATACAAAAATGTTGACGCGTTACATATTGCTTTTAAGAAACAGTACAAAGTCGGGAAGATGTTAGGTTAATTTTTGGTTGTATACCAGCGTGATATTCGTACGATTTAAATTTCGAATACGTTGTATCGTTTTTCTTTTTTATTTGTAACAAATATCAGTTTGATATCGAATAACATGTAAAATAAGTAACATAATCTTACGTAATAAGACATTTTATTTAAAAAATGTTTCGGATTATCGATATTTCTTTTTTTATCGGGCTACACATTGTCTACATAAAGTAGTACGGGAAACAAAATATTACGAACGTCTAATTTATTCAAACCATTGTATTAAATTAATATACATTTGAAATTATGAGTATCGAAATGAATAGTAAAAGATAATATACCTTTTAGTAAATTTTCAACTATTTTCTTGCGACCCCAAACAAAAAAGAAGTACTAACGATTTTTAATTAAACTAGAAAATTTTAAATATATTAATTGTCACTTACACTCGATTATACATGCTATCTACGTTATAATACTCAATGCTATTTTATTTTGTTCGTCTCGCAAATCTCTACTTTAGACTGTAACTGATTGTTGTAGATAACCCACCGTTACAGTGTCTAAAAAGAAAAAAAATTCTCGTAAAAGCGCATTTTTTTATATCACTTTATTTCAAATATTTGCATTGAACATGTGCAATTAGCAGTTAATCATAAAATCGATGCTTCTATCTTTTCGTTTCTTTCATTGCACGTTTCTTCATTATCGAACGTTTATATAATTATAAGTTTAAACTAATTGTAAGTTATAATTATCGAAAATACAGAAAATTCATAAACAACTCTCGATAGACGTAACCGATCGAATCAGAACTCTACAAGTTAAATAGGATATATTGAGTAAGTCACCTAAAATTCATATTGCAAATATCCCCTTGTTTTTGATAATAGGAAAAGATTTGAGGAAGGAAACGTTTACATTCGAAGACGCACGCGATGCAATAAAAATTATGTTTTTCTCAGAGTAACGTTTTTCGAAATTTCAATGACGCTCAAGTTGTTTTCTTCTTTTATGACGTACAAAAGGAACATAATAACACCAATTTAACCATACCATATGTTGTACGACTTTATTGAAAAATATGGAAATAAAACATGATTAATGTTTAGTTGTTACATAATCTGACCAACCACCTTTGTAATCTAAAAACAGAAAATACTTGAAATCTCGGAAATCTGTGACTCTGTTAAATATGATTTTTAATATATTCTATGCCTTATCAAATAAAATATTTCTATCTGCGTAGCTCTCTCGTAGTATCAAAAGAAACGAAATATTTGCAATTCCAACCAGAGTTGGGTATACTATGCTTATGTAGCCAATAAACGGATAAAAATGAAAACTAACGTTTCATCTAGATAGATTTTTACTCGTACATAAAGAATAAAAGTTTATCTAGGCAAAACTTTATCCGAATAAAAATATATCCAAATAACGTTGATGGTTGAATAAGTATTCACGTGAATAATAAAACTACCCTTTACGTGCTAGAGGTGAAAATGTGCAGTACACGGTGTAATGCACGTATTCACGGTATTCATATCTAAATAAAATCTTATTTATGTTTATTAGTTACAATTTCTTCATCCGGCAGCTTCAACTTACAAATCTCGTAACTTTAAAAGGAAAAAGAAAATAGACATATGTACTAATATTTTTACATAAAACTGAAAATTAATTTAATGAAATTATTTTATCAATATTCAAAGAATTTATTTATATCGTTAATTTTTGATAGAGCAATTGTAACAATTTTTTTTTCAGTGTACTTAATGAATAAATAAACTCAAAATAGTATAAATAAATTCAATCGTGAAGAATCTTTACTTACATAAATGTTTCTTTTCGCATACCTCATTTTATATCATAAAATATACGATTAAATCGTATCAAATTAGGTGACAAAGAAAATTGTACTATAAAAGTAATTCAAGTTATAGTAAAATACAGAAATTTATAAACCGTTACTTACTATTTTATTCCATTGTGAAAGGGGTTAAATTAGTCTTAAAATTATTTTTGTTACGATGGAACCTACCACCTAACACGTTGAGTGCCGTGTAAATTTTTCATGGCTCTCGATTCGTTGTCGTACGTCGACATTTGTCCAAATTATTACGTAATAACTAGGAACATTGGTGAAACGTCGGTCACCGGTGGCCGATGCGGCCTGAACGGAAAGACCATCGACGGACATCAACGATCCGCCATGACGCTGAACGTGTTAAAAGTTATATTGCCGTAACAAAGTTAACAGAACGAAACGCAGATGTCGTTACCGAAGAAATGTGATCGGTCGACTTGGCCAGTGTCTTCGTAGATCTCACAAATGAACTTCTTAGCCGAATAAAGATTTACTCGGATAATTGCATGCAAGCAACGAATAATGATTATCTGAATAAAAATGTTGCGCGTACAATTATCTGGTTACAGATGTATTTGGAAGTTATTCGAATAATGCCCAACTCTGATTCCAACCTTACATGACTCACCCTGTATATACGTCCAAGCTATATGTACAAGTTGTATTTCTGTTCACATACAAATTGTTTCAGCGACGATTTTCAGAAGTCAGTAACATCGCTTCGTACAAATTTTAATTCGTCATAATTAATTTCTCCTTTAAAGTATAACTGTGTTCGTTTATATAATTTTCTTTATATTCGCTAAAGCTACTTTCTCCATTTACTACACAAAAATCAATCGAAGAAACGGAATGAAATGCAACCGAAACGTATCCATTTGTTAGTCGTAGACACTGTTGACAAATAAGAAACGATAAAGCCAGTGTAAATAGTCTAGGAAAAAAGAGGGCGCAAACGGCGCGATTTTAACCCAAGAATCATCGGGATTTGAGATTTGTCGGCCGACCATTTCACCACAATAATATTGTTACTTATGATTCGACTAATTCTCTACTGTCCTCGTCCCACTCTGTGAAGCTTGTTCTTTTGTTTCCTTTATCGTTCTTCTCGGGGTCCTCTTCTTCTTCCTCTTCCTCGTCAACGTGCTCCTCCTCGATGATCATAACCGATTCTTGAGGCTCGTCGGCACTGTTACTTTGTTCGCTACATTGCTCGTCGTATTCCACTATTTCCGTCTGTTCCTCCACGTACTGTATAACCTCCTCCACTTGATCAACGTTGCATTCCTCCAAGATCTCCGACTGTTCGACTTGCATCTCCTCCTCCTCCATTACTTTTTCTTCGACCTCCTCGACCACTTCCTCCACTATTTCCTCAGTCTCCTCGGTGAGCTCGTCCGACTGATAATGCTCGTACGTTTGCCGCTCGCCTTCGTCGTTCCCGTGAATATAAACGATCATCCCATCTTCCGTGCCCTGCATCACGATCTGTTCGTTATCAGAAATGTTCAACTGTTGCGGTTGCGATTGCTGTTGCTCGTTCTCCTGTTGCTGATAATTTTCATTGTCGATCAGCATGATCATGGGCTGCTCGACGAGCTCGTGGGTACTGTAACTTATCTCGTCCGACATGTTATTTAACTCCATGTCCGGCACTACGTACTCCGGATCGTTCTCGCCGCTTTCCGGCGATTCCGCCGTGCCGCTGTCCCCGACACCCAAAGAGGCCGCTATGCCGCTCGCGACGTGACTGAGGGCCTCCGCTTCCGAGGAAGGTACCAAAGAGATCTGTCGCGAGGACACGGACTCCGAATCCCGTACGTCCTTGTGCACGCAATCGAGATGAACTTGCAAATTCGTGGCGCGTACGAAAACCTTGCCGCAGTGAGTGCAACGGTGACCCTTTTCCTTTCCGTCCGGCAGATTCCCGTGGCCGGTGTTTATCTCGTGCGCCGTGAGCTCGTGCACGTCCTTGAACGTCTGCGAGCACTGGGTGCACTGAATGTCCTCCGACGTCGACGAATGCTGACGCGACGTTGGACGATGATGATGATTTATCTGATGTCTCACCAAAAGCGTCTCCGACAGCGCCACGTACGAGCAGGCCTGGCACTTCGGGAAACACATGCTCTTCGGCGGAGGCACGTTGTGTTTCGTATAAAGATGATACATCAGGATGTTCCGTTTGGTCGCCTTGTAACCGCAGTGCTCGCAAACCCTCGGATCGAATTTCTCCTCGTGCACGTCCTGCATATGTCTTCTGTACATATAGTAGTTCGTGTACTCCCCCTCTATGTCGCATTTACTGCATTTCCAAGGTCCGGTCTCGCCGCCGTCGACGTTCCCGTTGCTTTTCGATTCGTTCTCCTCGCCGTTGGTGTTCGACATCAAGTGATCAGACTTCAATACCACGTACGAAACTTTCGTTTTGCACGCCGCGTTGCTCTCCGAGGATTTCGCCTCTTTTTGCATTATCTTTAAACGTATGTTCTTATTGTTCTTCACTAGATGAGGATACTTCTTCAATACCTCTCGAATGATCTTCGCGTGATTGTTGATCGAATCTTCGGAATTCGCCCTGAAGGTCGATTTTCCTTTCTCCATGTTCTCTTTCTCTTCGAGATCGAACCGTACTCTCTTCGACGGCGAAGGCTGCGTTTCCTGGCCCCTTTGGAAACATCTGGCCACGGACCAGTCGTCGTCCGAATTCATTTCTTTCAGGCTTTTCTCGTTCATGTGGCCCTCGTCCTCCTCGTCCTCGGTCGTGTCGTTTTTGCTGTCCCTGTCCGGTGAACATTTACCGCTAGGCGAACTATCTCGTTTGTATTTGTCCGGTGCTTGAACTATAGGCTTTGTATTATACGTGATGTCGTCGAACGATGAAAATATGCCGAGCGCAAACTCTTCGGCTTCGGGGAGATCGAATCGTGACGGTCCAGGAGTCACCTCTGTAGGCCTGTTTGTCGAGGGCATCCCATGGAATGTTCGCATTTCAAATATGGGCGATGGTGTGTTTTGTGGTGTATCTAATTTCCTTTTCCAAATAGGTAGTCTGAAAGGGCAAGCATTTACTTTGTATAGCGCAATATTGATAAATCGCGTACAAACTTTCCAGATTGTTTACTTACTTTCTACCGGGTAATGGCTGACTTGAAAGTCCTGGAGACGAACTGGAAGTAGTTGTTGGTTTTGTGCTAGAAGTTGAAGGCTTAGAAACTGCTATTACCGGTCGTGCATTGGTCTTCGGGGATTGCTCGTTTTGTAGAGAAGCGGTATTAAATTGTGCATCAAGCAATTTAGTCAGAACAGTCATATTCATTTTTTGTGCAGTACGATATAAAGCATGTTGCTCAGAAGTCCAATATTCCAATTGTCCAGTGTACATAAAACTGAAAAAATTTGTATACATTTACGCGTTGTAAACATATTATTTGCTGATAAAATTCTTTGGTAAAAAATTATGTAAATTATGTTTGAACGTACCTTATAATTGACTTGACGCATTCGTATGGCATGTCCGATGGCATAACGATTATCCCATCAAAGTTTTTATCTTTCCCTTTTTGTTCGCGTTCCAATTGCATGAAATAATCTGTGCATGTTGTTATGACTAAACGATGAGCCTAAAATATTTACAAAATTTACTACATTAGTTGTTGTAACAAAAGACAGGTATATAACAAACGTAGTTGTATAAATTTAAAGATCATTACCTGAACAGTGATATCGCTAGTAGGGAATTTGATTGTAAGATCGAGCAATTCTTCCTCAAAATAAAGTTGTTGCAGTCTTTGGAGAAAGAAAGTTCCCCAATTATCCACCTTCACTTGCTTTAGCCCCCGAGAAGGGAGTTGCTTTTCCTGATTTGCTGCTTCCATTGTTAATCTTCGGTTGAAAGAAATTTCTTTTAAATTTCAAAAGAATTCATAGATAATTAACTGATCGTTCTTAACGAATACTGACTTTAAAATATTTTGTAAGGATTATATAGAAAGCAGGCATCATTAGAACAGGTTAGAAAATTGAACTCGTTAATATTACACTTTATATTATTATATTAAAAAAGAGTAAAGAAAGAAAATTATTGATTTTATCAGAGATCTTGTAAATCGTGTCATAATGTAACTGCTTACCAAATAGAAGCAATTGTGACTACTTATTACATATAATTCTCATAGTCTAACTGGACCAAATCCTGTAATAAAAATAGTAAGAAATATGTAACCTTTATGTCTGTAATTATACAATATAAGAATAGTATTTCCATTTTCTAATAAACATACAAGTAAAATGTAATTTCATACTCGTTGAATTGCTTATAATGAGTATTAAACAATTAATTAAGAAATACAGAAAAAATATATATGTATATATATATATACAAATGATGGGGAAAAATATTGTTTAAACTATAAATATCATTCTACAGGCTAAACCATATTACTTAACATTCTTGAAAAAAAATCTCTTTGTACTAATGACACAAGTGCCATAAAATCCATGTCAAGAGGGAAATTACATTTTGGTCTAGTCCTCTGTAATAAATTGATCTAATCAGTTTCTAAAACTTCGAAGTTATCTGAGAATATACTGATAATGTATTAACAGGGTCCATTGACATAAGTGTATAGTTCTGAGGCTCATGGTAGACAGTTAACAAAGTAAGGCAGTGTACGAAAGTTTTAGCATATGTATAACATGTGCAAACTGTTACAAGCGTTTTGAAATTTGATTAGACTTAATTATTAAAGGCTGAATACTATACGAAGGAAAGGAAGTAAAAAGAACTGATAAAAGTATCAATGCATACATCACGAAACGCTGAAAAACGGAAGTTTAATAATGACGCATATCTCCATTTCACGCTCAAAATTGTGCATATTAATGGTTATTCCAAATTTATACAAATTCAAAATATCCTCTGCATGTACTACACATACCTATTTAATAATATTTCAATATTCCACTCAGCTCCATCTCTTATAAATTTCCTTAGTACACAAGTAATATTGAACATTCCATTGTGTATCACGACTCACAGATGGAGTTATAAGTTTCTAAGCTGTGACGACCCCGCGCTTCAAGAATGGCACTCCCGTGTTTTGCCTAGAGGGAATTTCTAATCCCGATAAAACCCCTAGATCAGTAGCATAATTGCAAAGCTATTTTCCAAAATTAATTTATTCTTCGCTCTATATTATGCAGTAAAGGTTGCTTGTTTGGTTTAGAAAAGAATAAAGTGTTCGATTATGAACCACGGACCTGAAAAACGATGCATATTGTCGCGGAGTTCTCACGATAAATGGAAAGAGGATCAAACTACAGCCGAATCCATAGTATTAGCCAAGTTTAACATAAATCTAGCAATAGTGAGAGATTGTTTCGATGTAAACTTGACCCAATCATAGCTTTCTACGTTTTTATTAAATATTCGTTGTTCATTGAATAAGTGTAATGCAATGCAATAAAGCGAGCGATACAGCAGTGTTACTTATCGTATTAATTACGTTGATTTTGTATGGAGCACAGTTGTTTAACAGTTTAAAATAGAGATGGGTTAAATTAACAAAACTCGAATCCGAAACTCTCAAAACCCAGAATGCTTATTTCTTATAAGAAGTATCTGTTTTTCAGGAAATTTAATTATTTGTTGAATATAATTAAACGAAATGTAAATTTAATTATTATTTAAATAAATGTATAAGCAACAGAAATGTATGAGATATTTCTAATAAATTTAACACCGAAACGATGAGAATGGGTACAAAGTATGAGTCTGAAAATAACTCATTTAGATTCCCCAACATTTTTTGGTCATGATTACTGCGATGTTTTTTATGTATTATGTTATTATCTAAATTTTCAAATATTTTATTACGAAATATATATATTTACTGAGAAGTTTTCGTAAAGCTACTGAAACTTTACCGGGTACGAATATTTCGATGACGTATATCCTAGGGAATTGACGCAGTGTCTCTGAAACTATGTTATAAAAGTGAGAAATATGCGTAACTTTTTTTTTTTATAAAATAGTAAACATTGCAAGCAACAAAATAGATATAACTTTGAATTTCAGCTACATGTGATAATGAACATACGCAGATAACATGTATAAACACTGATTGACGTAAATCGTAGTCATCGATGATCACATGCGAGATAACCCCTATGGAGAACGTAAACAGCATTTCCATAAAAGGGGTAAACGCATGTATGCAATTTGAACGCTGTCAAAAAACGTAAGCATTTTATTATAAAAAATGCTACGTTTTTTCAATAATAGGTTGTATCGTTTCAGATCTTCGCGATTTCGCAAAATGAAGAATACAGTATTTAACCTTAATCGAAGTTGTTTTTGACAGAAAGTGGGTAAAAAATTTTAATAACACATAAGTAAGTATGTTATATTACCCTTCATAGAATGAACTTTTAAATATCAAAATAATACACGGCTGCTGTGTTCTGTAATATTTTAAATCGAAATAGATTTTGTAGGATGATGCGGTTGAACTTCAAGACAATATTGCTTGTAATAGTAGTCGCAGTGTTAAGTTCAATATTAACATCTTGGAATAATTGCGGTAGTCCACAATTTTTTAAAAGTACAGAATGGAAGACAAAATTTCAACACAGAGTAAGTGAATGTTATAGTTTATATTGCAGAGATAAATTTGATAGATTTGATGATCATTTTATTTAAATTTACACAAAGGATCGACAGAATTTGGAGACTGGATATCAAGAAATAGATTGCCACATAAATGGTGATTATTCTATTGGTTGCCGTAAAGAAGGAGATGAAGTATATATACCATTTTCATTCATTCACAAATATTTTGAGGTAAGTATTAATATTACACAGGTATCCCTCGAGTTACGTGGTTCTGGAGCAATTTTATTTAGAAAGAAAATATATATGTAATTATAGATGAATGTTTTTAAATAAAAAAGATAATAGGTATTTCACAATAGTTTGTATATATTTCAGAGACTAATTTTGAGTCTCGACTTACGCGGAACCAATTAACCGCGTATTTATTAAATATATTTATCTTTTAAATATTTAACAGATTTATGGAAAGTTAGCAACCTACGATGGTTTAGAGAGGTTTGAATGGTTGCACAGTTATTCAAAAATTGTTAATCCCAAGGGAAAATATGATCCTCGGGGTGTGTTTATGACTTTTGAGAATTATAATGTTGAAGTTCGAGAACGTGTAAAGTGCATTAGCGGAAACGATGGTGTACCAATATCTACTCAATGGAAGAGTCAAGGATATTATTATCCCACTCAAATTGCACAATTTGGGTTATCCCATTATAGTAAAAATTTAACAGAACCAGAACCCCGTAGAAAAATTATTGACGATTCTGATAAAGTTAAGAAAGAATGGATCATACCTCAGGGATCCATTGTATCTAGGATATTTGATAAGCATGCTAACAGTCATGTTATGAAATTTGCTACACCAGAAACTAGTACTTCTGGAATAACACTGAAGTTAGATCATGTACTAGATTTTGTATTAAAGTGGGATTTTAATATTAAAGACAATGGAAGCATTGTGATTACACTGCAGTCCAGAGAGAGGAAAGAAATGCATTATCTTCACTATATTACTAGTAATACAGTGTTGCATACTTACAACAACCATGTTTATTATGGAATCGGCCAAATTAACCATCAGTGGCGAAGATTTACTAGAGACCTAGTTATCGATTTACAGAAAGGTTTATATTTAAATGATAAAAATAAGAAAAAATTGTCTCGTTCAAAATTGAAGGTAGTGTATAAACGTGAAATGTTTAACGAATATAGTTCACTTAAACTTTTACTTTCGTCTTATTCTGAGCGGATATATGTATGCGCCCACATGCAGATATGTTCTCTCGTAGCACTCTAAAAGTTAAAACGTAATAAAAACAAATAATTAGAAAGTTTAAACTGCACATTATAAAGCCACGATATTTTAGTCTAATGTTTATTATAGATGATAAAAATAACTTTGTACGGATCTGGAATGATTGATAATATAACACTGTCTACAAGTGAACATATGGAGCAGTTCTACGATGCAGCAAGATGGTTTGTAGCCAATCAGAATATTAGTTCCGGTGGATGGGCAAATCCTGTTAGAAGAAAAGTAGCACCTGGGATAGCTACTCTTGAGCCCGGATGGTATTTCAACTTTTATTTTACAAGATCGTTAACTTCGTACAAAGTAGAATCACACGATTTTTAAATATTAAATTATTTCGTAATAACTGCAGGTATTCTAGTATGGGTCAAGGACATGCTATTTCCGTATTAGCACGAGCGTATTATCATTCCAGCGAAGAAAAGTATTTGCAAGCTGCTATTAGAGGTTTGCAGCCTTTTAGATTAACTTCTAATAAAGGTGGAGTAGCTGCAGTATTTTTAGGTAAATACGTATGGTATGAAGAATATCCTACAACACCTTCTTCTTTTGTACTTAATGGATTTATTTATTCTTTAATTGGTTTATACGACTTAAAAAGTATAGCGACAGGTAAGGATGCAGAGGAAGCATCCCGACTCTTTAATCAGGGTATGACCTCGTTGAAAAACATGTTAACTTTATACGACACAGGCTCCGGCACTACATACGATTTACGTCATTTTACATTAAAAACAGCCCCAAATTTAGCTAGATGGGATTATCATTCTACTCATGTCAATCAGCTTCTTCTTCTAAATTCAATTGACACCGATCCAATCTTTACCTCTACAGCAGAAAGATGGATAGGTTACATGAGTGGTAAGAGAGCACCGCACAACTAACGCTTTTTTTAACTTCAACGATCGATCGACTTTTTCATTTACCTATTTATTTTTTATTTATCAATATTTACTATTTTATTTTTCCATTTCCATTTTATATTGTACGTTTTGTAAATAATTTCAAATACTTAAAGAATAAAGCGGACCAAAATATATTTATCTGTTGGTGTAATCATCGTTACATGAAGATGGGGTAACAGGACAACTGTTGACATTTGTTCTCAAATCATGATATGTGTTTGTAAAACACAAAACAATACACTGTTTTAGCATCATTACAAAATGAAGTTCAGTATTCTGTGATTAATCAATACCTAAATATTTATGTTATTTTTACGTATAACTGTTATGTTTAAAAATAACTGTTTTAACTTAAGTAATAGCGACAAGCGTTAAATCTATTTATTATTTACCGATATTTATATCCGTAGGAAAATGATACATTGGCGTCATTTAATTTATGAAAGATCGAAATTAATGTATGAAAGATAAGAAAAGTAACGAAAAAAATTAATAAAATGATTTAATTAAATGTTTGGTGTTTCCCCGTTTCTAATATCGTAAAAGTTCGATGACTATTATTTTCATTTCATAAGCGTTCATGTTTAGGTTACGTGTATAGAAATCTATTTTTAATGTGCGAAGATAAACCTTTGAAATATAATGGTTTACCTTTCGGTCTGATAATCTGTGGAGGAAAGGGGTTTAGGGAATAGCGCGGTGAATTTGTATATAGAGGGTGCCCCAGATTTTAACGGTTAAATTTGATCAGTATATTGTATGGGGTCTAAACGACAAAAATGTTACACAAACATTGGTCCTTGGAAGGACAAAAATGTGAAATAGTTTATTTATTCACGAATTTTATTTTTATCGCAAAATCGGAGTACCGCAGTACTGGAGTTGGTTGTGTAGTGAAACGTAAAGGCAAATACCTAGTATGAACTCAGCCATATGTCCCCCAAACAGGAATAAATTAATGTTGTGAAAACCGCGATATTTTGCATCATGGGGTGGATATAATAAATTCTTTAGGCACAATCTTTAGAATTAAATTAAAAATATACCAGTCATACTCTACATTATTTTCACAAGGCGCGTTAATCTCACGAATTTGACGGTTGTAGATAATCTATTGTATTATACATAAATGTTCGTACAAAAGATATGAAACAATTTTAAATTTTATTAGTAATCGAGGACTTGCAGTTGATTGCAATAAGTAATGTTCGATTTATGAAATTTTGAATGTTGTAACGAATATTAACATGCAGTTTGGAGTTATGCGGGATGCAGGAACTAGAAATGCGTATTTCAACTAAGTATTACCGAATTCTCCCCCCCCCCTCAAGGCACGATACAGGACGAAAACGTCTATACGGTAGAAACGTATAGCGTTTCAGTATAGTAACTATATTGCGCGTGAAGGTTAGGAGCAGTTAAGCGATCAAACGTGGGTTAGGTGAAAATAACGGCTCCTGTCACAATGTAGTGTGTAATAATGTTGTTGTGATATTATAATAATAAACGTACATCGATATACGCGTAGATTTCAACACCGTGTGATCCATCACGGAATACATGGATGTTGCGAACGGGCAAAAGCCCCTCAGTGAGTATAATTTAGAATTTATTTATCGTGGGCATTTAAATTTTACATTGTCCCGATGCAAACGGACAAATTCCGATAAAAGTAACGACAGTGATTTCATTTTAATTATTAGAAAGTTAAAAACTTGCTTTGCTTTATATTTTTTCGAATGTGTACGTTGTAGATATACATAGCAATTCGATAATTATAAATATGACAGATCGTTCGTATTATTCGTTGAAAACAATTTCAACGGTTCAGTAATTTGTGGTTAGCAATGTATTCATAGAAATATTTTTATATAGGTGGGCAATCTTCTGTCACTGGTGGTTCAGGAATGGATAAAGGAAAAGAGTGGCAGATGGAATTGCTTATGGAAAAATTACGTTCCAAGGCTTCCACGTTTAAGTCCTTGGTGGAAACTGCCAAAAACCTACGCATGGCAATGCTGGTACATTATTTTTTACGTATCGCTTACATTTTATTCAAGCGTCGATCGCATTTAACAGTTACTTTAAATTAATCGTGCTTACTATAATGATAGGATAAGAGGTTTGCGATCGATAGTGCAGAAAAAGGTCAACTACAAAAATGTTTAGATACTTTACAACATTCCATAAAAGTGACCTCCTTGCAATCTATGGTAGAGCGCTTGGAGAGTTTGACCAGGCAATTGGGGTAAATATTCATGAGTCAAATATCTCGTTACAGAACAAAACCAGACAACTTAGACAATGTTTGTGTTATAATTGGGTTACAGCTTAAAGTTTATGATGTCTGGTCCACCAGGTACAGAGTTGTTTATATCGTCGGATATGTTCTTTTTGGAAGTTCTTTTGGAGCCAACAGGTGTAGTTAAAGATGTTAAAATTCACCATGAAGGGAAAAATGAGCAGCAGGTATAGATTTCAAATTTTTATAAGAGGTTTTATTTATTCAAAATCGTTATAATTCATATGAACAACAAATAATGTTTTCTGATGATATATTTGCAGAGCTGCGATGTGTTGGTATCTTGTCTGACGCGAGGAGATTTCCTTGATTTTACAGTACAATTAGAAGGCTTAGCTTCAATATATCAATTGAATGCAGATAAAAAGGTAAAATGTAAAGCATTTAGTGCTTTACAATCGCTGGAGGCTGATCTGGGTATCTTAGCACAATTGCAGACATTTATCAAGGAACCTTTTAATCTTGTTCATAAAAGCCCAGTCGGTTGGTACAATAATATAATCTTAATTTGTGCAAAATAATAAGGCGACCACCTATAAAATAATACCTATAAAATGATTTTTTTAAAGGAATTCTTGAGCGAAGACGGGGAGGCCATGCGATGAAATTAACATATTTCGTTTCTCCTTACGACTTAATGGATCAAGAGAATCATACCTGCGATGCATTGAGTTCGGAAGTAGTTATTAAACGGAAGATTGGCCATTCCGTAACAGTTTGTATGGAAGGTTCTACTGCTCACAAGTTGCCTACATCTAGTATCATAACTGTAAATAGAAGTCCTACAGGAAAAAGGTTTGTAATTTAACTACTATCAAATTATTTGTAAATTCAACGTAATCTGTGTCTTAACTGATAATGATTTATTTTTAGTACTCCATCCTATGCTCCGTTAACTGGTACAAATTCATCCGTATTACCCGCTTGCTTCGTATTGAAACTTGTTAAGAAGATGCCAATGTGCATGGAATTAATACGTAGGATACAGAAGGTTACGGAACTCGAATGCGGAGACATATCGGCTCCCCATCCGTTGCTTAGTTTGATTATTCAGCACGCCAGCGAGGGTCAGTTGGATTGTCGGAACAACAGAGGACTTTACGTTGTATGTAAAAAGGAATTTATACACACGCGTATTTTGCCGTTACGATAAGTTTGTCGAAAGCTTCTTACGTTCACGTTCCGTTACAGACTTTACCAGATCAACAGCACTGCTACTTCATGACGGAAAACAGAAACATGGAAGGTGTATTAGTATGTAGCATACCTTTCACGCATCCGGCACACGTTCCACAGATCTTGGTGTACTTGCGTCAACAAGCGCTGTTCAACACTTTGATCGCGAGTTGCGTTAGACCTATGGCGCGCCACGATCCAGAACACGCGACTATATTCGAAGTGAGCGCTTTATCATGGCAACACATATCGGTAAGTTTGGAGCACCCGTTCGAGGAGACGATGGCGACGGTGGAACTGGATCTGACGGACATCTCCGCGCTGAAGTGCAAATTGTATGGCATCAGTATAACGAACACGGAGCGAACGTCAGATTTGACTGGAAAAGTCTTGCAGAAGTGTTTGAGCATACCATTGACGATGAGGATTCTCATGAAGTCGTGGGAGAGTCGAGACTCGTTGACAGCGATGAACAGTATGAACAGCGGGAACGGGAACTATAGCGTTAACCTTGGTTCTGGCAAGGATCAGAACAGCCAAAACGGTTCCGGGATGCCGGATTTTACCAACGGCGAGACGAAAATACAGCAGGAGCCCGGCCTGAACAACGGAAACGGAACGATGGGGAGGCAACAGTCGTCGCAACAGCAACAGCTGCAACAACAACAACAACAACAACAACAACAACAGCAACAACAGTCTTTTTTAGATGCCGGAACGGAGAATAGTATCGGTTTTCCGTCGTATTCCGGCCAATCCGATACCACGACTACTGCGATGTTGAACCCTTTGCAATTGGGGGCGTTGCTTGGACAAGCAAAAAACTCTTTGGCCAATCCTCTGAACGAGCGCGCGAAAAAGACGCGTAAACGAAAAACGGCGGACGGTATTTGGCGAAGCCCAAAGAGGAAAGGCGACGAGACGGCGGAGATATTGTTGGAGAGTTCCAGTTCCGACTCGACGCCCCTCGGTACGCCGACCGGTGGCAGAGAAACCATGAACGAAACGAGAACGTCCACACCGACGTCCGCCACGAGTTTAACCAGCGGTTTAGATTTTTCCAATTTAGATCCCACGGACATTCTAGGAACGGACAAGAGCTCCGATTACGATTTCGACAATGAAAGCGAGATAACGGACGTGCACGACTTGCAAGACGTGGAAGAGTTGATAAAAAGAGATCGCAAGTCGCGGAAAAGGGAAGAGAAAAAGAGCCCGATTATATTCGAAGAGAACAAAAGCCTGGTGCCGCCATCAGTAAGTATAACGCCAATTTCAAGCAGTAGTTTGGGTCAAGCCACGAACTATAACTCTGTACTTACGGGGATGGGTTTGGAAAGGAGACCCGGCATTGAAATAATACCGATAGCCTCGTCGCCGCAGACTACTTTACCGAGTTCTATTACTATAACTCCGATAGCTGGACCAACGCAGTCGAAAAGCTTGACGGACGAGCGCAGAGAGAGAAAGAGCTCGAAGGGAAAGTCGACGGAGGATAAGGGCAAGCTGGAAAAGAGACGGAAACGGAAAAGAGAGGACAGTCCTATGGGACCGCCGCCGGACAAGATACCGTCTAAACAGGATCCGTTGTCGAAACCGGTTACGGTCAGCATCAAACCGACCGAGTCGCCGCCAAATTTGAGCGCGCGACCCTCCTCGCCGGCCACGACCTTAAGAAAATTTAGCCCGTCTCCGACGCATACCAGCCCGCTAGCTCTTGTAGGTAAGTCCAGTCCTACGTTGAAACAGTCAACGAACAAGCCGGTGCAAAGTCCAAAGCACTCTCCGGTCTATAGTAGCAGTCCCAAGCACACGCCGGTGCCTGCTAGCGTGAGCCCTAAACACGGTACGTCGTCGCCCAAGCACGGTAGCTCGGCGAGCACCGGTAAACCGAGCATGTCCGCCCTGAAGTCGGCGGCGAACTCGCCGTCCAGCAAGACCGGCGATTCCAGTCAGTCGAAAACGAAGTCTTCCTCCTCGTCCTCGAGCAAGGAATCGAACCGGGACAAGGAGAGAAAGACGTCGTCGTTGACGTTCGGCGGTTCGAGCGGTCACCAGAGCCCGAAAACAAAGTCCTCTAGCGGTAAGTTGAAACAGTTGGAATTAATTCCCAGCGGCGAGACGCAGTCCGCCCTGCCCAACAGCGGCGGCAGCACGCCGCCGTCCGGCAGCTCGGACCTCGGCAAGTCCGCCATCGCCCAGCAACAGGCGAGAAACAGAAAGGGCTCGTTGAGCGCGGTCATCGACAAGCTTAAGAACGCTCAGAACTGCACGGACGACAACGGCAACGGCGGCGCTAAGTCCGCCGCCGGCGGTGGCGGGAACTCGAGCGGTCAGAAAGAGAGAAGCGTCGGCAGCTCGTCGAACAAGGCCACCGAGGGAAAGTGCATCGGTAAGAACATGGAGTCGAAGAACCCGGCGGAGTACATGGTGAAGCACAGCTCCGACGGCATGAAGATAACGATCAACAAAACACGCACAAAGGACTCGAAGTCCGGGGCGAATCTTAAACTGTCTTCGTCCTCCGCTTCCGTGGCGACCGGCGCGTCTTCCGGCTCGTCCGGTTCGTCAGCTTCCATGTCGGGCAACGGCTCGCCGAAGACGCACACCGGTTTGAAGCCAGGCGTGAGTTCCGGTCCCGCGTCCAAGAAACCCCCGTCCCAGACGTCACCGAAGCTGTCCGGTTCCTCGTCTTCCGGCTCCGGGAGCAGCAGCGGTAGCAAAGCGACGTTGATGGGCCAGAAGATGCTGTCTGCCTTGAAGTCCATACCGGGGCCGAACTCCAGCAGCGGGAACGGCGCCGGGGGTATCAACGTGGGCGGCAGCGGCAGCGGGGGCATGTTATCCAAAACCGTCATGTCCTCGAAGTCATCCTCGAACTCGCCGAAGACCACCAGCTCGGGGGTGACGGACCTCAGTCGGAATCGCGACAAGTCCCGGTTGTCCAAGTCCAGCGACAAGGGTCTGTTTCCGTCGAAGGGCATCGGCGACACGAGAAAATCGAGCCCCTCCGGTCTGCGGGAGGAGAGCGAGAGCGAACGAGCGTTCAAGTTGTTGGCCGCCCACGCTTCCATGTCGAACCTGTCCAGTCTGCCGAATTTGTCGCCGCAGCTGGTCGTCGAGGGTCTCATGAAGCAGCTGGACACCAAGTTCCAGATACCGAAACTGTCCGCCAGAGCGAACGCGGACTCCGGCGACAAGAAGTCGGAGAAGCTCTCCATGCTGCCCGACCCCGGGAAGACGCTGGACAGTCTGACGTCGAAGCAGTCGGAACAGTCGAAGCTGCAAACGATATCGAACGCGGCGTCCGTGGCCGCGAAAGCAACGTCGGATGATCAGTCGAGCCAGGGTAGACGGGACCACGTGCAGACCAAGCCCGACAATCTCTCCATGACGAGCGCCACCTCGGTGATGTCCATGAATCTGGCCGCAGACGGGGCCAGCAGCCTTTTGCTACCCGCTTTGTCCGCCGCCGGCGCCCACGATCTGGACATCCCGACCAACCTCTCGATGCAGTCGACCGAGAACGAGTCACGCGACCCGTGCAAGGAGCCGTCGTCGATGGCCAGGAGCAACGCGCAGTTTCTGGGTAGCACACTGAACTCCACGGCCGTTGGCAAGGACGACGCCAGCGGCGGTGGCCCGGTAATGGCCGTTCTACCAAAAAGTTCCGACGTACAGTCTACCAGTAAACCCGTGTACTCCGGCATGTTGGCCACCGGCGCCATAACCGGCGGCAACACGTCGAACGCATCGGGCTCCGGCAACGGGGCCACGGAGAGCCTGAACCTGAGCATCAAACCGGTGGACGCGACCATGACAAAGTACAAATCCGACGAGAAGAAGCAACAGCAACAGCAGCAGCAGCAGCAACAACCGCAACAGCAACAGCAGTCGCAGCAACAGCAGCAGCAGCAGCAACCGCAACAGCAACAGCAAGTATCGTCTTCCGGTGGTTCGTCGAGTTCCTCCTCGTTGGCCGCGGTGATAAGTTCGGAGGGCGCCGCGAACGCTATTAAAACCGCGGGGATAGAGTTGCCGGCGACGACGTCACAGGAGGCCGCGGAGATGCTGCTGGACTTCTCCACGCCGAAGGACGTGGCGAAGAGCCTGAACTTCACGAGCATTCCCGAGAGGGCGATGACCCAGGCGGCCTCGGTGCGAAGAAACACGCCGCCGCCGCCTCCTCCCGCCTTCCCGGCTAGTCCCTCCGTGAGCGTGCACATTGTAAAAAGTCCCGCACCCTCGCCGAGGGTTATACCGCCGTCGCCTCACTCCACCTCGCCGTGCATCACCGACGACGAGCTGATGGACGAGGCGCTGGTAGGAATGGGCAAATGAAGGTTACTGAAACTCTAGACAGAATTTTATCCGCGTGTTGTAGCCGCGTAGCGCAAGGCGCAGGGTGTCCCGGTCGGCTCGCGAGCAGGGACGATCACCTACGTGGATTTAAATGTACGCGAAATTTCCGTAATTTCAATATTCCTCTGTAACATCGAATTAAGCGGACGCCACCTGACTACAAACCTAGCGCTATAGGTTGATCATAGAGACAATTTACCGATGGCGTACGCGTTCGACTTTACCGGAGTAATTACCGAGGAATATGAACTTTTAACTCCATTGTACCGTTCTGTTTATATTGTAAAAACGAAGATGGCGTGTCACAGGTTTTTGTTTTTAATAACTTCAAAAATTAGTTTTATCAGGTCGAATACGTCTGTACTAGCCGGTTATGGTTCCTTTTACTGGTTTTCTACCCCCCGCTATGCCTACTCTGCAGAGTTGGGACTTTGGGACCAAGGCTTGCTGGGAACCTAACCAGCGAGGATCCTGATGGTGGGAGGATCGGTTGTGGAACTCCCGTGGAAGAAGTTCGTCGTCCCTGACCTGTATCATCCCACGCTTGGCGTACTCCATCTTTTAACACGTTGACTGCCACATTTAGGAACGTCTTCCATATTTGCTTAAATATCACCGCGAAAGACAGAGATATTTAATCGTTAAACGATGTACTCGTTTGAGTGGTTTCAAACTCATTTAAGAACAGGCCTTCGAATGAAATAAGCTTCCTTGAAATAGTTTTAGCAATTCGGAGGCAATTCATTGGAATTTTACGTTTATTAGGTTTTTTCACGGATTTACGAAAATAAAAAAATAGTGCACGACAAAGGAACTCTAGGTGTTAGTATCAAATGATAGGATAAAATTAGAAATCTGAGAAATTACGGAGACTAGTATATTTTTACTAAAAACTTGGCGTTCGGGTGTGTACCCGAAATTATTATATAAATACGTTTACATACGTATCGTTGTATTCGTACCGCTGTTATATTATTAATCGTGGCAGAATGAATTTTTTCTACGCGTTAGTTATTTATTATCAGTAGACTGCGGATGTTTATGCATTTATGGGAAATTTTAATCCTCAAAAAACTACAGAATGCATGTAATATGCAAAAATATAAGAAATACTTAAAGATTCGAATTATTATATTTAGGGGTTGAGACAGCCCTCTGCGAAGCTTCCGTTTCATTAATTCTATTAATAAAAATGTGAATTTGCATAAAGATCCGCAGTCTAATTATCAGTCTTCGGATCATTTTTACCGTACGAATCCTTTACTTTAACAAAGTTATAACATTTTTTCTATAGATAGAACAATTTCTCTATTAACACTGGAACTACCAAACCAGTCAAAATGACCCATTCGTAATTTCTAATCAAACTTGTAAAAAATTTACTCGACTGAATTTTTGAAAAGTCGTTATTTTCTATAAGAGAATATATAAACACTTATTTCTTCGCGTATCTATCGTTTCAGTTTCTTTGGTACAAATAAACACACTACAATTGTCGGTAGTTCTAGTGTTAAAGAATCCTGCATCGTAAAGAAATCTAGTTAATCTATCTCTCGACGTATTAAAAATATATATATATATATCAATTTAACTTAAAAATACTCTCCATTTTATAAAACTATAGTGAATTTAGAGAGTTAGGAATGGAAAAATACGAACCTGGAACTACAGATTTAGACCAAAATCCACTAATTAAAAATACTGAGAAAATAATTGAAATCATTAGGACTGCAATTTCGAAGTAAGAAAAATTTTAATGGAACTATGGAAATTTCGGACGTACGTTTAAATACTAAATAGATGTATCGAGTGCTTGGAACAAGCGATGAACAATCGAACGTATTGTATTCCGAGGTGATCGAACATTTGTTTCTAGTTTTTAGTCGTTTGCGTTGCCAAATATCAAACACTTCTGTAGCTTGTATTCGACGCCTCACCCTGTATACTCGGTGGTCACTGACCGAGGCAATTACAAGATGTTATTTTGTTTTCGACGATGAATCAGACGAAAAGTATTCCGTGGTTGTGCAGCTACCGGGCGCGATATGCAAATAGTTTTAAGCGATTCGACCACAAACGGAATACAAATTAGAGAGGTATTCGTCGTTCGAGTACTTTTTACAATAGATTTTGTCGATTCCTGTTGGCGGGCGGCGACCAGTGGTTCTCAAACTTCACTACAAACGTCTTTCGAGCATTCTCCGCGGTTTGACGTTTGTAGTTCGCGAGACGCTGGTAGGAATTAGTCGAAACCATTCTCGGGAAATAGCATTGGTTACGCAGATACCTTTGATCTTTCTTTTATTATTTATCGGTTCAGTGTTCGAAGTAATTGATTTAGAAAATGTAGAATATCGAAGTAATGGTTATTCGACTATACTATCGGCCATGTTTGATGGTTCGTATTATTTAAACTGTTGTTATATCGTTGCTTGCGTATATTTATTTGTCAATAGGACTCTGGATGGCTATTTGCAAAGAAAAATAATGTATATTTTTAAAAATGTCTGATTGTTTTTTAAAGTGTACATTTTTATCGAAATCTGCGTTTCGTCTCTGTTCCCCGAGGTTCACGGATAGATTTCGTAGGGACACCCTGTATGTTGTTAAGTCTTCACACTTCTTCTGAAATGTCCTGCCGAATGTTAATGTGGTTTGCGTCCCCGTATGCGAATCTTGAGTAAGTTCAATTTTTCCGTGCGCGAAATGGAAAACGATATGGCCGCTATTGCAGAGGCCGTGCGCGAAGTCGGATATATTTGAGTGTCACGTGTATCAGAGTGATTTATTATTGTAAATTAATTCGTACGCCGCGATACAAGGACTCGAGGTTAGCAATAAAACGATTGTTTATAGATTTATAAGGGAGAGAGGGACAAAGGGAAGTAGCGAACGGTCGCGACGTATGATAAATAAATATAGACAAGTACATAAGGAGTTATTTTCGATAAAATCCATGTTGGACAATATTTATAAGGATACTGCGAAATAGGCGTTACGGTATTGATATATATAGGGTATTTCTGAATAAATTTGTTTCACGTAGGTAGGATTATTGCTGGCACGGAATACAAATTTTTTCTCTTTCCAACACGTTGGATGTCGCTAATAAGATTTTCACACGAAAAATTTGAAAAAAAAAAGGTGAATTCTCAGACTGGATAGAACTCGTCTAACATAGAATATTACGATAATAGTTAAGTCGTACGATTTCCAATTTTAACTTTTATTCAGCAATTCTCTGACTTACATGAGATACAACTGTTTTAGAAACATCGTGTATATGGATAATTTTGCTTCGACGAACATCCGTAGAAACTGAGAACTATGTAGCCAATTATCGAGTCCTGTGTCCTCGCCCTTCCTCTTCTTGTATTTGCTCCAATACTCCTTCCTCGTACAAGATTCTTCTTCGGCTATACGTACAACGAAGAAAGCCACCGCTTCGACATCGCGAGGCTCGCTATAGTTTCACGCCCCGCGTTTCATGTGAACGTTTAGAATAGGCTGCTACTTCGTACAATTATTTCGAAACGAACGCGTGGTCCCGAACGTTTTATTTTCTCGCCCGGAAGATGCGTCGAGACGAGGGCTAACATGTCCGCGGCGAAAACGATCGATCTTATCGAACCCTTAAATAGTTCGTTCCGCGCGAACGGTTCTTCTCTCGGCGCAAACGAAGCATAGAAACGAAGAGTAGCGGAAGGAAGAGATAAGGTAGTGGGTATTTAAAGTGCCAAGTAGAGGTAACAACGTGTTTCTCGAAAGACGGGAGCCGTCGATCCTTTGCGTAAATGAGAGTTACAGTCGTTCCAAAGGCTCGAGAGCCCCGATATTTGGGAAACGAGCGCGTTGTCTTTGTACAAATTAGGAGAAAAGTGATTTGGTCTAACTATTGAACGAAGTTTGATGCTTAAACCGAATTAAACGGACACGACGGGAACGAGTCGTTTGCGTGTCTGTTGCCGATTAATAATATTAGAGACGGGAATAAACGATCGCCGTCGACGCACGAACTGATTGATTTCCACGTGTACATCGGTAAAAAATTGTATTTTCGAACGGGAGTGCCGTACCGTAGACAATACGATGTTTTCTAAAGGAAGATTGTCCGGTGCTTTCGAGAAACAAAAAGAAAAAAAAAAAAATGTGTATGGGTTTATTTTTTCAATACTCACGATCCGTGTACATAGAGCTAGGACCGGTGAACGGTGCTGTAAGAATGAACGAATAAACAAAAGCATCGGCGGATGGACATAGAAATGATATTTCATCGAATGGGGAAAAGAATGAGAGAATACTGGATTCCGTTTTCGTATCGTTTCTATCGAGGATGTATTTTGGTACCTTCGCGTTATCTTACTTCCTCGTAAACTACTTCAGCGATTCAAATGTCGCGCCAAGATTCGCCCGCGTTACGCATCGACTGTACATAAGAGTAATATAGTTAAAAAATTATAATGTTATATTGCGAGAGAGTCGGATTAAGAGTTACCCAACGATTGTAGTGAAACTTTGTAAGCGTCAGAATTTATCTAATTTAAAAATTATAGAAGATTCCGGAGGGCAAAATAAAACGAAAATCAAGAATACCATTTTGTTGATCGAGGCTTCGTTAAAAAGTTATTAGCGTTTGAAGTTCCGACTGTAGAACGCCGCGTGATTGTGGTTCTCAACGTGAGAAACTCTACTTACTGAGTGAGAACCACTATCACGCGCTGTTCTACAGGGCGGAACCGGTTGCGGGGGTCAATTACAATAATTTTTGGTGAATAGACATACCTTCGAAATCTTATCCACTTTCCAGAAAAAAAATCGAGATGGTGTGAAATTTTTCGACGGAAAAAAAATGTCAAATCTTTTTGGAAAAATTATTTTCGGTTGCGGGGAACAATTACAATCATTTTTGGTCATTACATATATCCCCGAAATACTACGCAATTTTGCGAAAAAAATTCCTTACCGAAAATCTATTGTAATTAGGTGCCTAAATTTTTCGATGGAAAAAAAAATTTCAAATCGTTTTGGAAAAATTATTATCGGTTGCGGGGGTCAATTACAATCATTTTTGGTGAATAGACATACCCCCGAAATCCTGCGCATTTTCGAGAAAAAAATTCAGTACGTGTGCAACTTTAAACGTTGATAACTTTTTAACAAAGCCTCGATCAACAAATTGGTATTCTTGATTTTCGTTTTGTTTTTGGTTCTAGAATCTCCTATTAAAATTTTTCCCCGAGTATGTAGCATTAAAATAATTTAAGTTTAAAAAATTTGACATATACTATTACGTTTTTAAAAATATTTGTTTCTCCTATCTATCTACGAAGTTTCGTTAAAATCGATGTTTAACGCTTGGCGTAGATTCATTGTTAGCGTTTCGATCCGTTATCATCGATTTCCTTCGTTCTCTGCCGCCTCGAGGAAGGACTCTATACAATTTTTACTTTAGACATTTGGCTCGTCTGCTATTTTAAGATATCAGTTCTCAAACGCTGATGTTACTTTGTAAAATTCGAGTACGCGTGTTTGGATCCTTAGGAGGGTAATTTCGACGAAATACGACACCGACGTTTTGGAAAATGGCGACCGGCGGTCGCGCGAAATTTCGAATGTTTCCTTACGACGCGTGCGAGAAATACAAATTTATGAAGGAGAGCTCGTGTATAAATGTATAACTATATTAGTGCATCTATGTACATATAAACATTGACCTGTATAGAGAAAAAAAGATCTATATACATACGATTATATAATATTTTATCGACGACAAGTGTCCTCGAAACACGCCGAATCCGCGACGACGAGTATGTAAGCCTTGATAATAAAAAAAAAAGAAACATTACGTCTCCTGGGAACCGGTCATACCCGCGTTTCTTCGATTTTAACTATAAATTACCGGAAGGGAACCGGATGAAGGAAATACAAAAGAAGATAGTCGACTATTGTTTATTTTACTATTTCAAGTATCTATTTATTCATGCCTAGTACAATATCACGTTGATGTTTTACACGAAACCTAACTTATAAAAATGAGTATCACGAACGAATTAAATATGATATATACAGGGTGTTCGGCCACCTCTAGCAAAAATTTTAATGAGCGATAGTAGAGGCCAAAATAAGACGAAAATCAAGAATACTAATTTGTTGGTGGAAGCTTCGTTAAAAAGTTATTAACGTTTAAAGTGCCGCTCTTACTGAATTTTTTTCTCGAAAATGCGCAAGATTTCGGGGGTATGTCTATTCACCAAAAATGACTGTAATTGAACCCTACAACCGAAAATAATTTTTCCACAACGATTTGCAATTTTTTAATTTTCTCGAATAATTTCACACCTTCTCTATTTTTTTTCTCGAAACTGGGCAGGATTTCGTGGGTATGTCTAATGACAAAAATTGATTGTAATTGACCCCCGCAACCGAAAATAATTTTTCCACAACGATTTGCAATTTTTTTTCTCCGTTGAAAAATTTAGGCACCTAATTGGATTTTCAGTAAGGAATTTTTTTCTCGAAAGTGCGTACGATTTCGGAGGTATGTGTAATGATAAAAAATGATTGTAATTGATCCCCGCAACCGAAAATAATTTTTTTAAAACGATTTGAAAAATTTTTTTTCGCCGAAAAATATCAGCACCTACTCGATTTTTTTTTCTCGAAAGTAGATAGGATTTCGGAGGTATGTGTACTCACCAAAAATGATTGTAGTTGACCCCCGCAACCGAAAATAATTTTTCCAGAACGATTTGAAATTTTTGAATTTAATTGTTAATAACTTTTTAACGAAGCTTCCATCAACAAATTAGTATTCTTGATTTTCGTCTTATTTTGGCCTCTACTATCGCTCATTAAAATTTTTGCTAGAGGTGGCCGAACACCCTGTATATAAAAATACACTACGCTAATTATTGAAGACGAACTTGCATCTTTGTAAACGTCGAGGATAGAAAACAATCTTTACAAATATCGAAGATGGATAATGGATCATTATGCTTGTTTCGTTCGTCGTCTTCAATATTCATAAAGACTACACTTCCCTCCTATTTTTGAACCATTCAATCTTAATACTAGTCGCAAGAAAATGCCCTCCGTTTTATTGACTCGTAATCGTATTTTTCCATACAAATTTTTACGCAACTGTTACTTTAGGTGTGCAAGAAAAAAAGAAAGAAAAAAAAAATACTTTCGATCGGTCAGTCAAAGAGGCACACCCAGCTTCTCGGGATTATGAAATTGAAGATGTCGTCGTGAATGGGAGGGCAATTGATTCTTGCGAAGTACTCCATGCAGTACAGGCTGACCAACGCTCCGTTGCCAACGCTCAAAGTGAACCATAAGAAGACATTCCCGGCCGATCTCAGGAAGAAGAGTATGGTGAGCCCCATGCCACCGAAAATGAGCAACAACACAGGGTAGAAGAATCGAAACGTGAAGGAAAGGATGTACTCGTGGACGAAGGCCGAAATGACGAACACAGCGCAGGTAGACAGCATCCTGTTTCGCGCTGTCAGGATCTCGTACATGTCCTTGTAGATGTACGTGTAGAGCCAATCGTGGACGACGATGTTCCAGGTGCGATAATACGTGCTGTAGCTGCTCGAATTCCACCAGTCCTGCAATTTCAAGAACCGTATGAATTCGTTGGATTCTCCTTGAATGGATCGGAAGCAGTCACGGGATCCCGGAACTCGCGAGAATGTCGAATAATCGAGGCGAGATTTCTTTCGTCGAAAGCGACGACGAACGTTGAAATTCTCGCGTGACGCCTTCAATGAGTCACTTCGTGCAGGAATATTAGTCATACACGTTCCATGGGCATTTCTTGTCTAGCTTCAATCGACGACAAGAACCGGTGAAATAGTATTTGTTTCTGGATCAATGGGAACCCGGGGGTTTTTTTTTCTTAGAAATTCAAACGAGTCATTTGTTTGACGTTTCATCGTGAGGATTAATTTTTACGTTGGGTAAGAGTCTTGTGCTCCTTTCGTGTATTGATAAATTGATCAAATGCAACTATACAGGATGTTTGGCCAACACTGGGAAAAATTTTAATGGGAGATTCTAGAAGCCAAAATAAGACGAAAATCAAGAATATCAATTTCTTGGCTGAGGTTTAGAAGTTATTAAAAGATTAAATTAAAAAATTTCAAATCATTCTGAAAAAATTATTTTTGGTTGTGGACGTCAATTACAATCATTTTTTATGAATACACATACCCCCGAAATCCTACTCAGTTTCGAAAAAAAAATTCAAGTAGGCGTTGAAAGTTTTTGGGGGAAAAAAAATTTTTCCAATCGTTCTAAAAAAATTATTTCCAGGTTCTGGGGTTAAATACAACCATTTTTGGTGAATACACATACCCCCGAAATCCTACGCATTTTCGAGACAAAAGTTCAGAAAGGTGGACAAATTTTTCGGCGAAAAAAAAATTTCAAATCGCGCTGGAAAAATTATTTTCGGTTGCGGGGGCCAATTATAATTATTTTCGGTGAATAAACATACCCCCGAAATCCTACCCACTTTGTAGGAAAAAATTCAAGAAGGTGTAAAATTTTTCGATGAAAAAAAAATTTCAAATCGTGCTGGAAAAAAATTATTTTCGGTTGCGGGGGCCAATTACAATTATTTTCGGTGAATAGACATAACCCCGAAATTCTGCGCATTTTCGAGAAAAAAATTCAGTACTGGCGGAACTTTAAACGTCAATAACTTTTTAACGAAGCCTCCATCAACAAATTGGTATTCTTGATTTTCATTCTATTTTGACCTCTAGAATCTTCCATTACAATTTTTTCCCAGGGGTGACCGAACACCCTATATAATTTGAAGAGTCTAAGATATTAAAAATGAATTTTTCGGACCATTTTTCTGGGTCTCTAGATTACCATTACCATTTTCGTATCACTTGCAACATTACCAATAGGTTACAGATATGAACACAAGAGGAAATAACACAGAAAATTAAATTACAGAAACATTTATGGCCAATTTTTTTTTTCGCCGGGCATCCTGTTGATTTTTCTTAAAATTTTGTCTAATATATTTTTGTATGTATCCATGAGCTCTGCCTCAGAAAAAAATTTCATTGAAATATATTCACTATTCTAGGAGTTATGGTGGTTTGAAAATTGGACCATTTTTACGAGGTTTTTCTCAGTTTACGGGGTCAAGGAACAACTCTTCGAATATTCTTGGAATATTTACACATTCTACACTAAAATACGCGTTGTTTGCCGTTCGAAACATTAAAATCGTCCAATCCGTTCAGAAGTTATGACATTTTAGAGATTCGCAAGAAATTTTCGAGTGACATTTCTGACCCGAAATTAGATTTTCGGTGAAGAATTTTTCTCTCGAAAATGCGTAGGATTTCGGTGGTATGTGTATTGACAAAAAATAATGGTAATTGACCCCTGTCACTGAAAATAATTTTTTTAGAACGATTTGAAATTTTTTAATTTCGTCGAAAAATTTAGGCACCCTTGTCGATTTTTCTTAAAAATTCGTTTTCATAAAAACCCACTCGAATTTTTGTCTCGAACATGCGTAGGAATTCGTGGGTATATCTACACCCCAAACAAGGTAACTGTGTTCTGAGAAATTTGTTTGCGTAACAGTTGATAAGGAGGATATTTTCCTTTGTAAAACTCACTTTGTAGAACATTTTGTCAGCGAATCGTAGCAGCTCGGCGAATGCGTTCATCCATGAGTGCAAAAGGCAGTAGAATCCGCTGAGGAAGAGGAGGATTCCAGGTAATGTCGAGTAGATCATATTCAGAGCCATTATTCCGAGTTCCGCCGGTTCCTTTCCGAAATTCTGGTACGTCGGTTCTAATATTCGCTCGTACACGATCGCCACGAAAAAGATGATCGTCACTACCTCGGCGAAATTGATCAGAACTACGTTCCATCGAATCATGCTTGCCCTAAAAATACAAAAATATTTGTTACTTCATGTTTGGTAAACATTTGTATTTTTCCTTTGCAGATTGGGGAAAAGAGAATCAAAATTCCCGTTTGGACTTATCTTATTTCCAACGATAAAATGCATACAATACGATCACGAGAGTCGTACGAAACGAGCATGTGACGCACATTATCCTCGATGAGACGATAAATCGAGTTGAAATCTTATCAAAATTAACGAAAAGATATACCGATTATCGCGATAAGCAGATTATTTTGGGAAACATAATAGATGAAATATGATATAACAGTATGTTCAAAATCTTGTTGACTTTCGATAAGACAACATACAGGGTAGCCTATTTAACTCGAGCACCATTTTCATTTCTTGGATGATAATTTTATTCTCGAATTAAATGATGACACCCTGTATGTGTATATTGATATCGTTAAACGAGACAAGTGTTCTCCTTTCAGTATCTCGAAAGACACTTAAACGGGACAAGAAAATCTCGAGATCAAAGTACCGTTCGTCCGGCCATAAGAATGCGTTTTGTGGATATCTCGAAAACGATAATATTGTTTTTGTCAACATTGTGTACTTCAATCGAGACAGGAATATAAGTTTAATTCAAACAGAAATCACGCATATGCTCGTGAAAATGATAACTTCTTCGTCGCAATCGCCATATTTGTGAAAGCAGCGGATGTAATAAAGTAGCCGAGATAAACGAACACTTCAATCAGCGTTTCTTGAACTTCAACTTTACGCGAAGTAAACTGTATTTAATGTAGAAATAGAGTGGAAGAGGGTAAAATGATGATCAATTTATTAGCTTTTTAATACAATGTTTTCCTCAGTTCGGTCACCAAGACACTCTTTTTTCTTTTGTCCACGCACAATTCATCTTTTCGACATTCACATTCCTTCATCCTGCTCTTTACACTCGTTTTCTCTTTCTCTCATTCACTCTCTTCTTCTTACTCGCATACATTCCTCTTGCTCCATTCACACCTGTCTCGGAAGGCCATGACCGTTTCCCGAATCTCGTTCATGTCATGGCTTCCGAACACCGCGATATCGATCCGTTTCGATCATTCCCTTCCCACATTAATTAAAATTTTTTTCTGTCTGTTCGTGATTATCATATCAATAATTTATAATAACAAATTTACCTAGGGTAGCGGTCCTGGTAGATTAAAGTCGGGGCGAACATGAAGTAAAGAAACTTGGAGAAGTTTGGGATTTTCGGTTCCGGTTCATCCGAGTGTGGCTTGTAGGCGAGAAACTTAGGCGCCATGTGTCTCACGAAACCATAAGTCTTCATCACCAATCGTATCTAAACGGTACACAAGACGTTACACTTTTATGTCTGATCATCGATTTTATTGTCGAAGCGGGTCAATTGTGGCTTTAACATCTCAAAGGAATTGATTTATGGTATGCCATTAGAATATTTTTAAATTGATATTGCACGCTTCGTTTACCCGAGCGGAGATAAACCGGATCAAGGAAAATGCAACGACCCCAGATACACCGATATTTTTTTCATCATTTATCAGCATACTGTAGTATAAACTTAGGACGTTAATCTTTCATTCATCGTAGCTTGTTCATAGCTGGTTCCATGCTCGGGGAAATCCTTCGGTAGCATTGCTTGATATTTGGATCTATTTTTAAGGAACCAGCAAGTTAAAGTTATTTAAAAACTTCTTGGTTCTGTCATTCGTTTGCAATTACAATTGATAGCTATTTAGTTGGGATTGTTAGTCATTTATATTTGTAATAAACGTACTTGTTCCATAAGTACGATCATGGTGGACGCTACTGGCAGGTCTTCGTGAAGGACTGCTCTCGCTGGAAGCACCATGAACATGGTGTAATATAGCATCATGGTTGCTAGCCACGAATAGTCCCAAAGAACCCTGGCAAACGCTGCAAAAGCAAATCCATTTATAGACTGGAAATGGTTAACGCGTTCACTGTCCGGTCTCTCAGCGGCGTATCCAATAGCGTGGCGGTATGACCCATATACAGGTCACGGACAGCGAACGTGTTAGTGAATAGAATTTTTTCAAGTCGAATTATTTACATTTTGGCGCCCATTTAAAGCGTCGCGTGGCCCAGTAATGGAAGGCGGCGTAAACACTTAACGACGAGCCTTTCATAATCGCCCAGAGGCATAGTACTATCGGTAGTTTGGCAAAGCCACGTCGAACCGTACCGATAGCGAGATTAGGCCTATAACAACACGTTGATCATCGATTTTAATTCACATCTATTTCAAAGATAGTCTATTCTGTTCACGAATAATTGTTAAAATTAAATTAGTCTATGTTTCGTACACGAGCAGTCCCAAAATAAGCGTAGCTTGAGTTCAGTCAATTTTATGTTCTTTTCCTTTGAGATGGTATCAAGGTAAACATTAATTTTGAAAATAGGACGCCACGGAACGAAGAATCGATATATGGAACAGCAGTGTTCGAGCCTGGAAAGCGAGACACATGTTGATCGAATGTAATTGTAGACGGTGGCTAAGGTTTCAGAGTATCTTTGAACACAGTTTACAATTTAGGATTGCGTGACTTTGAACATTAGTGCGTCGTATATCGTTAATTTCCTCTTCTTCTTATCTTGCATGGAGATTCCCTTGGCATTCCAGGGATTTTTACGAAATTAGATAGCGAATCTGGTTGAATGATAGCACTTTGGTATGATCACAACTATTATTTTGTAACAGATCGAGATTTGAAACGTTACGGTTGTTAAGAAGCGTGTTGGGTGTGTTCAAAGAGCGATTTTCATCCACCATAATGGAAGAAGTAATTAAGTCTATTTTTGCACCAAGGATGATATTCTTTTCTCGGTGGTTCTTGGAACTATTTTAAGAAAAATAACAGAAATTTATGTGCATTAAGGTGTTCTTCAAGCATGTTAGTCAAAATTAAATTGTGATTTTAATTTTTCGAGGAAAGCAACGAATACATTTGTAGAATATAGGAACAGTCGAGAATTGAATTCGTTTTAAAAGAGGCGTCCAAATCTAGTATTTCTTATCGGAGTCGGGGAAAATTTAACGCGATTAAATTTCCTACGATATAATTATACGTAATCACGTTTTAATTACTGTCTAATTGTACTGTATTCATAATCGTAAATCTTTAAAACCGGTAATAAGTATTTAATCAACGCGTTATTACCTCGTGGTTATAGTGCAATTACCGTCTGATTACATGTAACCATATTACATTCTGCCAAACTCTGTTTGTTGTACCATACAATACCTCCCGCTGAATTTATGGACGAAATAGGGGAAATTATATTAAGCGCTGGGTGGTTCACTAAAAACAGAAAACAGTGGGCCTCCGTTAAAATGCTTTTGTACAAAAGGCATTGAACCACCGTCAATTTTCATTCACAACCAAAGGTAGCCTTTGCAAAAGGGTGAAGAAATTTATACTACCCTGCGGAACAGTTATTTTTGGTTCGTTTTTTTGAAAAAAGAAGTTTACCTTTTGAAAGGAAAACGTGATCCTCGGTTATTCTCGAAATGTCGGACGATAAATCACTGTTCGATTAAAATATCGTTTTCGTTCCGTTAGATATCGCGCGTACGATAGGCAAAATGTTTCATCCGCTATTATTCCATGGAAACGGTCGTTTAAACGCTATTTCAAACGGTACTTATTCTCGGGGCAGCTTGTTGACAACGACGTAAGAACACAAACGAGTGCAGATTCGGTGCTGGTGTACTTACGATCCCGTGTTTCGAATGTCGTATATGGCAGTGTACATCATCAGAATTATCAGGGTCGATATTATGACATTGTAGATCGTGCGAATGTGTTTGATTTCGTACAGATCGGTCAGCAACGAGTTCCTCTGGAAGAATTGCTTGGTGGGCAGACTATCGGCTCTCGTGGTATTTCTGTGAAATAAATTATATATAAAGTTAGAAATTTTCTTCGTTCCACGTGAAATTGCAGGTGGAAAACTTTTAATATTCACGTTATATACACTGCGGAGCATAACTATAGCACCACTAACATTTTTAACATTCCCGACCTGTAAGAAAATAATTTGAAACAACCAATTATATGGTATGAAAAAACATTGTAAATAATGGATTTCAGGTGAAATTCATTGAAGTTGTCTACTTACATGTCAAGATTTAATCGATAAACGTTTGACGATCGGTGCAAAACAATAGAATCGGTTCATTTTTAACGCACTTCAAGGGTTTCTGTTGGAATTTTTTTAGTAAACTCGGGAATTCTTAGTTAATTGATACAATGCCACGTGGCAGCTACCTTAATGAACAAGAGCAAGGTGCAATTTCAGCGTACAGAGAGCAAAAAATGGGGATGCGTGAAATCGCACGTGAACTCGGCCGATCTCATAAAGTTGTACTGAATTTTTTACTGCGATCCCACTAAGTATGGGAAAATTAAGAAAGGGGGACCTAAGAAGAAGTTATCCCCTCGTACTGAAAGGCAAATTGCTAAAGTTGCGAGCAATACGTTAAAAAGCTGTAAACAAATTGCGAAGGAATGTGATCTCAGCGTTTCTCGTTGGACTGTCCAACGTGTCCTTAAACATAATTCAAACATTATAAGACAAAAAATGATGTCTGCACCTACATTTCCGAAACGTCAGAAAATAGCCAGGCTTGAATACGCGCGAGAAAACATGAGCAGAAATTGGAATAATGTAAGTTAAGTTTAGACATTCGTAAATCGAGATTTTAGCTTCATATTCGATATTCCTTAATTAACTTAGGTTATTTTCTCTGTCGAAAAAAAATTCAATTTGGACGGTCCGGATGGATTTGATTCATATTGGAGGGACCTTCGTAAAGAACAAAAATACTTTTTGAAACGTAATTTCGGTGGAGGGACACTTATCGTGTGGGGTGCATTCTGCTCCTGTGGCAAGCTCAGATTAGCTTTTCCAACTACACGAATGAATAGTGCGGAGTATATTGGAATACTCGAAAATCATTTATTGCCTTTTATTCGTGCAAACAATCACATTTCATGGACTTATCAACAAGATAATGCTCCAATCCATAAAAGCCGACAAACCACAGTTTGAAACGTTTGATGTCAATGTATTGAAATGGCCTGCATGCTCCCCAGACCAAAATCCAATTGGAAATCTATGGGGTATCATGGTGCGGCATATTTATGGAAATAATCGACAATTTTCGAACATTTCGGAGCTAAAAACAGCAGTTGTTGAAGCGTGGAATCAAATTAGCGAAGAAACTTTGAAAAAACTCATTACAAGTATGAACAATCGTATTTTTGAATTAACACATAAAAAAGGAGGTCCCACTCGTTATCGAAACTGCTCACTTTAATAAACTGAATTAGAAATTTAACACTTTATAGCCATTTAACCTTATTATTACGTTCCAAATACATTGGTGCTATAGTTATGCACCATTGCAATATTTCATTTATTATTATACTTCGTGTTAAATAAATGTTATTTTTCTATTTTTTCCATTAATTATAATTTTTTTCTAGTCCTTTTCACGTGGTATCATTAACATTTAGAAATCATGTGTTACAACTACAAAACTCTTGAAAGTTATAGTGGTGCTATAGTTATGCTCCACAGTGTATACGTAATAAATAAAATACATTTTTCCATTTCAAGATAATAAAACTGAAAAAAAGACTCGTAGCTAATCGCTCTATCGACTTGACAAAATCTTCTACAAAATAAATCTAACTAATAGCTTTTAATATTAGGTATATACCGCAACTTGTATTCATCTTTTCAAACGCGATTTCCCCGACTGTAAGGTCCCCTTTAAGAAATCATTCTCCGTTTGTTGTTTCTGTATGTATGTCACGATATTTCAGATACCCTTGCGCTTACAACAACAAGAGTTCGAACCGTTGAATTTATCTCGTTCGGAACTTCGATTTTGCGTAAACAATGCGAGTATAGATCAAGTGCGCGTGCACTGGACGACGCCATTAAATTTACATTAAACGTACATTTGTCGTGAAAATCGTATCGGTTAAACTGATACGAATTTTTGCGTTTTCTTTTTAGCGATCTTTGAACTCCGGGTATGTGCAGGTGGTAGCGGTTGTTTAAACGATATACCGATTAAAATATTTTATCAGTTACCTTCTGTTACAGTATTTTTCCGACTCCACATTGTCCTTCACCTCGTAGGACGGCACTTTGTCCCTTTTTTTCAGCACGTTCAATATCACATCGATCATTTGGTTATTGAGAATCTCTAGAATCTCGTTCCTGATCTCCTGAGGGGTGAAAAAATTAAAATGGCGAGCCACGAGAAACTTTTATTCATATTTGAAAATAATTATAAATATTCTTCCCCACGGATAAATTTCACTTCGATGGGGTTCGTAATTCGACACGATAATTAATTTCATTTTCGATTCCCGAACAAACGAAACGTAATATGTATCGTTAACGGTAAAATTTAATATAAAAAGAGACAAACAAACTGAAAAAAAATTGAAAAATCCCACGAATATTCGTAACATCAGATTCTCACCTGCGCTTGTTCCTGTAACTCGTTGCTGATCATGTTCCGCAACTCGCTCTCGTTAAATTCTCTGGACTCCATCCCTACGAAAAATTCTCAACTTTATCGTATTTCGAAATTTAATTGTATTCGAAATATTGAAACTGCGCCATCGAAATCTCACGATATCGATAAACGTAATCTCTGTTCGAACAGTATCGATAAGAGCACAATGATCGTGTACCACCTACCGAATTTCTTCGATTTCTCCACTCCTTCGTTAAATTTTTCTATCGATCGTTCCACGCCTTCCTCTTTCATTTTCCCTTCGTCGATCGAACAGTCCGTCATGTTTACTCTGAACAAGCTTCGACAGGCCGTTTTTTCACATAGGATTTATGGAAAATTTCGTTGATATTCACTCGACGCGAAAAGAAAACAGGAAGAAACAAAAATCGAATCGATCGAGAACGTTGGTCCTGGTTTGTTCTGCTAACGTGTACGCGTTTTACGGACGATCGTTTCGCGCCGTTTGGAGTGCGAGCTCCAACTGATCTATACTGGTGTGAATCCAGAAGTGTCAGCGGCCAACGCTACCAATGCTTATCGATATTTCCGGTCGATCACACGTCGAAATGTTTCTCGCGTTTCTTTCGTCGGCGGTACGCCGCAACCTCGTCCCGTCTTATCGTTCGACGTCGACGTTCGAGAGGCCATTTTCACGCCCTCGTCGTTTCTGATTGAGTAATTGGAACAGCGAAAGGACCGAAACGCGCTTACACTCATCGTCACTTAACGTTACAACTGTTACATTTGTGCCACGTCTTTCAAACGATCGCAACCTTCTTATGATGTAACTTTATTTCATTCAACGTTATACGTTCTTCGTTATATGCGACATTAGATCCACAACGTTCTGCAGGGCTTGGTGTCCCTTTTTAACGCTAGAAATATCGACAATTATGGTGTATTTTTACTAAAGAAATTAAAACGATAGATTCATGAAGAAATGTTTGTTCGTTCTCTAATAGAAAACCACTTTTCTAGTAGCAAAAATTCAGTCGAGTATATTTTGTACTATTCTTATTGGAAATTACGAATGGACAAGTCTGGACCAGTTTGGTAGTTTTAGTGTTTGAAAACCTTTTTGTGAAAAATTAGCTAAAGACTATTAAATGACTCGTCTTTTAATGTTTCGTTACTTTTTTTAAATCGTTCGAATTATTCTTTCACTCGTTTAATATTCTAAATTAATAGTCTGAATACACAGTCTAAAAGAACAGTCTGAATTTTCAAGCTGAAACTCACGAAGCGAAAAGACGTGCATTTTAAGTTCATGACAGTTTATGTAAAATGATAAGTTTATGATAGTTTATGTAAAATATTCTTGGAATTGAAATTAGAAAAAAAGTACACGTAGTATACGTAGTCTATAGCATAGCACAGAAGAAATCACAACAACGATTGTAACGCCACATCGTATCTATCGAGTGCACGCGTACTCGACCGATGTAAAAAGTCAGCTGATCGTGAATCATTCTCGATCAGTTTGAATGGGTAGTATTAATCAGACATTACAAAATAAAACGACGTAGAATTATACAGATACGTGAAAGAGGTTAACAGTATTTAATCCCAAAGGTTTTCTTAGCTTCGTGTCGGCCATCTTGGATGTCAGGAATTATTTCCAGTAATCGAGACTTCTGGAGATTGTCGAGAAAACTAAAACAGAAAAAAGGATTTTGAATAAAAGTAGCCTAGTAAATAGTCAGTTTTCGTATAAATTATTTGTTTTCGTAGGAGATTATTGCATGGACTGTTCTATACATTTGTATACGTACGAAACTTAATTTTTAACTTTAATTTATTCTGTAACTTTACCCTAATGGAAAAATAATCGTTCGAGCAAGATTATGAAAAAAGTATGGGTTCACGAACGATTGGAGAGGAAGATAAGGAATATCAATCGAGGGAAGCATTGATAAAACAAAAGTGAAACGATAGCGTTTATCGGGGACTTCTGATGCTGGTACAAGAGATTGGACGGTTTTTTCTACCGATATTAATTCTGGTAGGCTTTGATTTTTCGTTGAAGGTTTATGCAGTGATTGAATCCTGAACAGATAATTCGAAGACAAATTCCATATCAACGGTTACTTTATTAGAGACCATATGGGAAGTTTCAAAATTTCAAGCACAAAATATTTTCAAAAATTCTTGGCAATGGATAATTTCTACGTTTATGAAAAGTTTATAATGCATGCAATTTAATATCCCGCTGAGAGTAGTTTTGGTATTAAATAAAACTTGATCTGTTTTATTAATATCTATTGATGTAGTTTTGAAAAATGTCTGAGAATTTTCAAGAACTTGCGTCTCATTAATACTATAGGTTAATTATTCAGTTCATAATAATATAAAATAATTTGTAAAATATAAGTATGTTCGTTACATTGTTGACACTTTGATAGAGGACGAAATCTTTCTTCGTACTTTTGTCAAACAAGTTTGAAGTTGTATTTGAGGACAGCGTGCAACGAGAGCTAAGTCAATCACGTAATATGCTAATCAAATTGACAATGTAGGTTTTTAGAGGGTGGAGATTAGGTGCGTTGCGTATTCAACTGCTACTCGCTGGAGATTGAAAGCAAAGTGTAGATAATAGGAACATAAACCATAGACGAGGTACACGAGTACACCTTTCACCCAATGTATTTTTTCGGCCCATTTTTATTTTATATTACAACAAATACAATATCTTACAACTAGTTTAATAAAATAGACTTGATTAAGTGATTAAGTTGTTGGTAACAACGCGTATGATATGTAGGTTTGTAATCGGTCTGGTTGACTGTCTTTTTTCCGGTCTGAATCGGGGTATTTTGAACAGTGGTGAATACTGGAAAGGAAGTCGAACCTAGTGGGTGTAACCCCGTTGGCCGGATGGACCCCCTTCGCACTTCCAATGAAAAATTTGTTGTAATGTTGGAGTCCAAGGAAGAATACGAGTTAGTGGCGTAGACTTGTTTAAAGGCGTGATTCCACTTAGGCAACATGTAGCATGCGGCAATGACTCATATGACGAAACACAATTTTATTAAGGCAACATTTAGGCAACATGTCGCATGCGATTACGACGCATGCGACATGAAATCGACGTTATGTAGACACTTGACATGTGTATTTGCTACACATTCATTTGTTTCCTTTCCGAAATAAAGAAATGCGGGATTATTTGATATTGTTTTGTCGGATCGACAAGATTGAACATGTCGAGCAATGTCGTCAGTTAATGACAAGTAGCATGCTACAGGTCGCATAGTGTTACCGAACGACATGTGGCATGTTACAAGTCGCATAGTGTTGCCTCAGTGGAATCATACCTTAATATCGACGAGCTTACAGATTCGACTGACAAGGAACCATCGCGAACGGTCCGGCTTCGATTTTGATGAAACTTTGTACACTTATAAAGCAGCCAAAAATAATCGACACGTATTTTTTTTTAGCTGCGGTAACTCGAGTTTAAGGGGTGAAACCACCCCTTGAAGTTTTGGCTCGAAACGGCTATCTCGAAAACGGAAAGACATACAAAAAAATTGTTAATGGGCGAGGTTGATGGTTTCTTATGTACAATAACATGGTGTTAAAAAATTTAAAAAAATACAATTTGTTTATAACAAAAAAAAATTTATTAACTTAATTCTTCATTTTATTGAAATTTTCATAATGACAAAAAATGACGAGCATTTTATTCCAAATCCATTGGTATGCGATTTTTTAAAATTGCCTCCTACAGTTTTGCAGATTTTGATGATTTACATCTTGCGCGCACATCCATTATGGTAGTAGCCGTTCTAACTTTGATTTTAATGAAGCACTGTAGTCTTGCACTAAATCAAAGTTAGAACGGCTACTACTAGAACGGAGATTCTAGAGGCCAAAATAAGACGAAAATCAAGAATATCAATTTGTTGATTGAGCCTTCGTTAAAAAGTTATTAAAAAATTAAATTAAAAAATTTCAAATCCTCCAGGAAAAAATTATTTTCGGTTGCGGGGGCCAATTACAATCATTTTTGGTCAATACATATACCCACGAAATCCTACGCACTTTCGAGAAAAAAATTCCTAATCGAAAATGTAATTTATGGCCAGAAATGTTGTCCGAAAAATGCGGATCTTTAAAATGTCATAACTTCTGAACGGAATGAAGGATTTTAATTTTCAAACTGCAAACGACGCGTATTTTAATCAAGAATACGTAGAAATCGCAAAAATATGCAAAAAGTTGATCCTTGACCCCGCAAAATGAGAAAAACCCCATAAAAATGGTCCAATCTTCAAACAGCCATAATTCCTACAATAGTGAATATATTTCAATGAAACTTTTTTCTGAAGTAGAGCTCATAGGTACCTACAAAAAAGTATTGGCCAACTTTTTTGTAGGGCGTCAAACAAAATTATTAAAAATGAAAAACGAATTTTTAAGAAAAATCGATAGGGCGTAGTGCCTAAATTTTTCAGCGAAAAAAAAAATTTCAAATCGTTCTAAAAAAATTATTTTCAGTTGCGGGTGTCAATTTCAATCATTTTTGGTCAATATATATACCCCCGAAATCCGACGCACTTTTGAGAAAAAAATTCGAGAATGTCTGAAAGTCAACAAAATTAAAAAATTTCAAACCATTCTGAAAAAATTATTTTCGGTTGCAGGGGTCGATTACAATCATTTTTGGTCATTACACATTCCCCCGAAATCTTGGGCATTTCGGAGAAAAAAATTCAGTACGGGCGGAACTTTAAACGTTAATAATTTCTTAACGAAGCCTCCATCAACAAATTGGTATTCTTGTATTTTTCCCGATTTTGTCTTCTAGAAGTAGTGCAAGCCTACAGTGCTTCATTAAAATCAAAGTTAGAACGGCTACTACCATAATGGATGTGCGCGCAAGATGTAAATCATCAAAATCTGCAAAACTGTAGGAGGCAATTTTAAAAAATCGCATACCAATGGATTTGGAATAAAATGCTCGTCATTTTTTGTCATTATGAAAATTTCAATAAAATGAAGAATTAAGTTAATAAATTTTTTTTTGTTATAAACAAATTGTATTTTTTTAAATTTTTTAACACCATGTTATTGTACATAAGAAACCATCAACCTCGCCCATTAACAATTTTTTTGTATGTCTTTCCGTTTTCGAGATAGCCGTTTCGAGCCAAAACTTCAAGGGGTGGTTTCACCCCTTAAACTCGAGTTACCGCAGCTAAAAAAAAATACGTGTCGATTATTTTTGGCTGCTTTATAAGTGTACAAAATTTCATCAAAATCGAAGCCGGACCGTTCGCGATGGTTCCTTGTGAGTACAAGAAGGCCCTTTTTCGGGGTTTTGTCCCTATTTATCGGTTTGTACAAGAGGGGAAGGGGAGCCGGATGACTACTCCAGTAGCACACGGTTGAGTCCTAGTGTTGATGAGTAAGACCGTGTCCTAGTGTTTACAATTTAGTTAAAATACGATGATTCATGCGTGTCATCCGACAGTAAGTTGCAAAAAGTGACCAGGGTGACCCTGGGACAGAATGGGTACGGTTGGAGCCAATGGTCGACTCGCTGGTGATGAGTACAGCTCGAGACGTACGCAATAAAGGCACAGGTCGCTAGATCTGTAGGCCATAAGGTACAAGGGCGAACGAGTCGTAAAAGAGAAAAGTTCTGCAAGGTCTTAAAAATACTTAAAAAGGCGTTTGTGGCGTCGCCTCCGATGCTCGCCACCAGAGGGCTCGTGCTATCACAAGCACTCGACCGACCCCTCTGCTATATATACATTCCTCGAACGATTTCCCAATATCTGGCCGCTGCAGCTCAAACCTCCAACCTCCAACACCCAAATCGCCTGGTAGCCACTCTTAGGGAACTATGATCCCATCACCATCCCACTAAAAACGCGAATAAAAACACCCCAGACTTTCATCCTAAACTAACAACCCCCACCACCATGCATGAAAACGAGGTTTTTGAAAGTTTTTCCTCGAGCCTGAACACAAAAAATACAGCAGCCCCACACTAACATAAATATACCCAGACACCTCTAATACTCATTATAAATGCAGGTTATAGGGCCCCAGCCCCAGATACTGCGATCAATCAGGAAAAATAACAAAAAAAAACTTCCCAATATTCCAGTTGTCTAAGGCAGGACTATAACATAAATATACCCAGGCACTAACTACTAACAGTCATTCTAAATGTAGGTTATTAGGGCCCCAGCCCCAGGTACACTGCGACCAATCAGGAAAAATAACAAAAAAAAAAAAACTTCCCAATATCTCAGTTGTCTAAGGCAGGGCGTGCTAGAAAGCCTTTTACTGATGAGTCCACTAGCAGGCTCGGACGAAATGCGCCCCCTCCTTTTCCCTTTTCTATCCTCCTACGAAATTTTCACGAGTTCCTAACCGCAGCAAAGCAACAGCAGGCAGCGCCACAGTTTGGAACTGAACACAAAACACATATCATACCCCGGTGTTTGGTTCACGGGAGCTTTTTCGCTCCAACCTCTAGGATGCCATGCGAGGATGTGGCCACCAACAACAACCAAGCCTTTCTCAGGCTGATGATCCCATCCCCCCTCATCATCCTATCCCAGTGGCTGCCCTTATCCACCACCTGGGGGCGCGCCACGTAGGGGTTCACCTCCCCTGTCACCCTGGACAAAATCCAAACTTTCGAGACAAAAATTCAAGTAGATGGACTTGTACATAGGTCAGAAAGTGTTAAAAAATGGGCAGTCGACATTCTCGCCTTCTTTCTCGAATCCCCGAAGCTATACACAGCGCTAGAACACTCATATACAATGTGGTTATGCATTAGTGTGTGTAAGTGGAGGAGGGACAGTTTCCTTTGGGCACACCCGGCCTGTTTCGTCTGATAATACTTGGATTGCCTTTTTCAATCTCTCCCATAGTCAACTCATATGTATTTACACACACACTACAAGCTGTTTGCCCATCAATACTAATTCAGTGAACAATTTCCATGAGAAGAGGACGCTAAAATCATCTCCAAATTTTCAGGTCGGTACGCATAACGGCATGTCCATAAACGTGTACTCTTTGCTGGGACAATATTGATAGTGTCCTGCCATCTGTTGGCGAACAGTGGCATTACCAATCACTGCACGAACGATACTAGTGCGATGACGCCCATATTGGAGAACTTTTCTTCTCGACGGACGCCTTAAATAATTACTTTCAGATTTCGAAATGAAAAAAAAGGGATGTATACTAAAAAGTACAATAATTTCGTTTCTAATTTCATATTGGATCTATCGAAAGTTTCAGTTATCTTCGATAAAGATACATTCTAATAATTTGATACAAAGACTGTGACATTTAACAAAATTGATACTCAATGTATTGCTACGCCTAATTAATATTGAGCATGCGATTTAGGGGGATTTATATTCGGAAGATTTCGTCCCTCATGGCTGGGTTAAACCAACAGGACCGGAGACTTCGATGCCTCGCAGGACGTGTCGTAGACAAGGAAACAGTTACAATATTTTTAATCGGCCGAAAAATAGAACTTTCAAATTAAATTTTAACTTTATCGAAACTCTGGAGATCCACAATTCTTACTTTTCCTTTATCTTTTCTGAAAAGTGTTCTATGCAAGCTTACAAAAGCTTGAATTAAATTAAATTTTAACTTTATCGAAACTCTGGAGATCCACAATTCTTACTTTTCCTTTATCTTTTCTGAAAAGTGTTCTATGCAAGCTTACAAAAGCTTAAATTAAATTAAATTTTAACTTTATCGAAACACTGGAGATCCACAATTCTTACATTTCCTTTATCTTTTCTGAAAAGTGTTCTATGCAAGCTTACAAAAGCTTAAATTAAATTAAATTTTAACTTTATCGAAACTCTGGAGATCCACAATTCTTACTTTTCCTTTATCTTTTCTGAAAAGTGTTCTATGCAAGCTTACAAAAGCTTGAATTAAATTAAATTTTAACTTTATCGAAACTCTGGAGATCCACAATTCTTACTTTTCCTTTATCTTTTCTGAAAAGTGTTCTATGCAAGCTTACAAAAGCTTGAATTAAATTAAATTTTAACTTTATCGAAACTCTGGAGATCCACAATTCTTACTTTTCCTTTATCTTCTCTGAAAAGTGTTCTATGCAAGCTTACAAAAGCTTGAATTAAATTAAATTTTAACTTTATCGAAACTCTGGAGATCCACAATTCTTACTTTTCCTTTATCTTTTCTGAAAAGTGTTCTATGCAAGCTTACAAAAGCTTAAATTAAATTAAATTTTAACTTTATCGAAACTCTGGAGATCCACAATTCTTACTTTTCCTTTATCTTTTCTGAAAAGTGTTCTATGCAAGCTTACAAAAGCTTAAATTAAATTAAATTTTAACTTTATCGAAACTCTGGAGATCCACAATTCTTACTTTTCCTTTTTCTTTCCTGAAAAGTGTTCTATGCAAGCTTACAAAAGCTTGTATTTTTATATTTTATTCAAGATGTTTAATCGAATTTATTATTCATCTGAGTCTCGAGAGTTTTCAGTCGCAAAAATGGCGGAAAGCTTTCGAGCTTCGGGTGATTATCTCGAGTCTCATCTTCAGTTATTTGTGAAACTAATCACAGTACTCTTTATAAGGGGTATACGTAAACATCCGCAAAGCGTTCGAGTGCGACTTTTTAGGTAAACGCAATGCTCAGGAAACAGGAAAGGTGTCGACTGCAATTTACACGGTCGCCTTCATTCCTGGCCGTATCTGGTAACACATTCTACTCGATTAATCGAGAATTCGGACCGGTCGAAAAGCCTCAGATTCCTCGAACGATAGTTTCCAAACGGCGGAAATACTTTTCAAAACCTCTCCTCCAAAATACAATTTAATTTATCCATAGTTTCGCTCTCGTAAGTTGCAAATATGTTCATACTAGTTGGATAGACGATTACTCAGCCGCGTGAACTATGTACAACGTACTCGAAAGATCGATTAAAAATTCGATAACGATAGCATCTTGTAACGCAACCCAAGATAGTGCTCGACGCAAGCACAAGGCCATTGCTAGAACGGTTAGGTCAGCTATTGCAACCACTCTGGACGCTCCGATTTCTATAGACGTCACACTTTAATGTCCGTATATTCGTCGTTTCGTAATAATCTTGCCACGTCACAGAATTTCTATTCACCGCTACCGCCAAGGAATGTAGTAAATCCGGATTTGTATATCCATTTAAAACCAGCACTGTCATATTTCAGACAATTAGAAATCATTTTTTAGTGTGCTCGTACACTGGTTAATCAAAATGTAAGGATGAAGCTTCGTGTGCTTCTTTACAGAGACGGGAAGGACTATTGAGGACTATTGGGGGAATATTTTACATTTATTTCAATTATTATCAAATTTAAGAGTCGTGATCGAATTCGGAACGAACCAAAGTTCGATACAGATATTTTAGAGTATCGCCAAAAGTCTGCAGCAACCCTGTTTGGCCAGCAAGGGGACCTCACAGTTGTGGAAATTGCTTCTGAAAAAATAAAAGGTGCAAGTTATAGTATATAGAGTTCTGAAAGTTTGAATCAAGAATTCAAAGAGAAGGGAATTCTCGAAATTACCTATATATTAATTCCCCTCAGTTTCGTTTTAAATCTACTTTAAAGAAATTCTCTGAAAATTCAGATTACAAAATCCTCTAAAATCTGAAATTCCACCAAACAGGAAGCATACAATATAGAGCCTTTCAAATGCATAAAAGATGTTCCTAGATTCGGGGATCCCCTCGAAAGTCACCCTCGAAATTTTCTCGGAAAAGTGCGAGAAAATATGTATTTTCGTGTTTCGCAACGAGTCCCGGGGGGTACTATTGCGCGTATCCCGATCCAGCCCCCCAGGTTTGACATAAAAAATTGTTCAAGGGACAGCGCGGAGGACAGAGCGAGAGGGACGGATAAAAATGGCGAACGGAGGGAAAGAGAAAAAGAGAGACTCGCTCTCTAGCCGGTGTTGTGAAAGTTATACAGGAGCGGGGGGCAAAGGGGGGATCCTGAATCGCTTCTGGTACCTCTGGTAGATCGTGGCTTAGCCAGTCGTTCGTTCGCCGCTCACCTAAACGGCTTTCACCTGGCCGATTACGAAGATTCTTGGTCGTCGACCGCCTCGAATCGTTCTGTTCCTCGTCGACTCTGCGCCCGAGCGTGTGCACGCAAGGAAAAAACTCCCCCCCACGGAGGTTACGTGGTCGATCGGTGATTCCACGATCCGGTGATCGACGGATCGGTGATCGGCTATGTCCGGATGGTGATTCGTGTTTCGCGTCGAGGATACCGTGCTCGTCCATGCGATCGAAAGAGAAAGAGGGACTTGCGAACGGAACAAGAATTCCGAAAACGCTGCTACCGATCCACCAAACGTGCCTTTGACTTTGTCGGTACCCGCTGCCCGGACCTCTCACCAGGTATTTCTTTATTCGTTTCGTTCGAAAGTGCGCGCGATCGACTCGTTCGCCTTCGCGGATCGATCGTAGGGGCGAGTTGCATTTAATAGGTGTTTTTAATTTCGAGTCGTTCCGACGTCTTCGGATTCCGATCGGTTTAAAGTTGTCACGAAGCGAGGCACGGTGTCGTTTCACCGCGAACGTTCCTACGGCGGTTACCGTTGACTTTCTATTGTGCATCGAAGCCACGAGGTTTCGTAATTTGGTGAATGATCGGCGCCGATGGTATCCCGCGCGATGACAGCTGTTTCGAGGGACCGTTCCAGCGCGCCAGTTTTAACGATCCACGATATAGCTGGCTCATCTTAACTCGACGCCAGTGACACCTCAGCCCATTTCACTTTTCAAACGTTTTTAAAATATCAGAGAACGCTCGATCATAGTTCGAAACTTTTGTATTCGTAATTTCCACTTTTCGTTTTATCGAGTCGATCGATTTTATTAATTTTAGATCCGTAGGGATATATCTTTATAGTAAATACGATTTGTTAGCGATTTATTTTTATTTTTTTATTTTCTTTCGCACCCCTCATTTGGTTTTAAGACTATTTTGTGCTAGTCTGGACGGGGGTTAAGATTCTCTCGGAAACAAGATGGCGGTGTTTATTTTCACTTCACGGAAACTTAGCCATCTCTTGACCCCAGATTCGAAGCTACAGTACTCTTAAACATCATTTGCTTGCAATTCGCGTTGAATTTGATCGTTGCAACATGAATATTCCAATCGAAAGAATTCTAACCTAACCTTGTAACCAATAATATCTGTCTAAAGTTAAAATTGTCTACCAATAAAAATATCCGCGATATTAAACGCGATTCTCCCCTCCGCCATCGATGTATTTAACTGGGTTACTATTACCATTGCTATTAAAATCGTTATCGCGAACACGAAAGTGAGTAGGTTGAGGCCGACTTAATTGGATAAAATAGTAATCGAGTGAAAAGAGAAACGCTGTAATGGACGTGGATGCATAAAAATTGAGGAAAATCGAGTCGTCGCGTTCGAAATGATTAGAAAACACGACGATGGGCTCTGTGACAGGGGGAAAAAATACATTTCCCTCCCCCTCCTGTTCTGTCGTATCGCGCCTTTCGCTGCCTAATAATGGGAATACGCGATTTCTATGTCAAGATACAGTGGTTCGCTTTGCACGGAGACTTCATTGATAATTTTGCAAGACAACGCGCGGCAAAGTTATAACGGTATTGCAAAATGGACGTGGGCGTGAGGTGAAAATTAGATATTCATTGGTCACTGTTGGCGACTTGTTGCTCGTGCTCCGTTTTTTCTTTTTTTCACTTTCGTTGTCGTTCCGTTCCTTTTCTCACGCTTTAATTGGCTATCGTTTTGAAAGTATAATGCCGCTCGCTTGGAATTTTTCACGTCGCGTAATTTTACGTTCGACCATTACGCGATGGAACCTTTGGAAATTTTCTTTTTTTCAATTTTCTTGGACATATTTATATTTGCTGGGAGACGGTCGACATTGTACGAAAAGTATATTCAAATTTTCGCGGTTAAAATAAACAAAATGGACGATTTTGCTTAAAAGCGACTATGCTTCGATTTATGCAAGGATCATACGTTAATTGTTTTAGATTATTAAATGCCTCGCTATATTTATTGCGCGGCTTTGACAAAATAATTAAACAATTCTGTTGTATAAACGGAATTCGTATAGTAGCTTTTTGGTTAATTAATGGTCGGATACAGGAGGCTCTACCGTATTTCTATTATTACGAGAGCTTCGACTTAAATTATAATTGCGCATAATAATCGCGCGATCGCGTATATGGATAATCCAGAACAATGGACCGAATATCCTGAATGGAAGTAGCATTAACAACGCTGGTAAAAAACACTACGAAAATTAAAATCTTGACCCCAAGACGCAAACTAAATATGGACAGGTTGTAATACCTAAAAAAGTACTTAAAAATTATTTTAGTAAACTCTATAATCTGTGATAGAGTCAACAATAATTTCCATTAGTTTTGTAACAAAGTAAAAATATTATATTTTATTTAAATCTCATATTTTTTTAACCAGAGCCAAATATAATTCTTTCCAAAGATAAACTATTGTTTACGATTTGTTGCTAGTTGTAATTACTATTTACTATACAATTTTATTTAACCAGCAAGTTTCAAAGTTGCACAGATTAAATTTAAGATCGGGCAAATATTTATGAATAATGTCGTCACCCCGTTTACTATTAACGACAGATCATTTCAAGGAGTGGTATCTTCTTCCACAATACGTCGAGAATCTATCGCAATTTAATGCTTATCTCTGGATGAAAAAGCATTCCTCGGTTATAGCATTTTCCATTATCTTTACCTGACTAATAACTGAATCATGATGTTCCAAAGTATGATTCCGCTCTAGATATCAATTAATTTTACATTCCTTTAATCGTCGTTGAAAAAAGAAATGCTACTGTCGTAAAAGATGGTGTTATTGTTAATACGCATTCCATAGCAGTTCGATTAATCTTTCAGTTTCAGTAAAAATTGTACTTTTTCGGTTACTTTCACAAACACAACAGAGGATAAACGCTGACCTGCATTCGTACTATTGTATCCGTGATCATTATCAATATTATCGCTTCCTACGAGTTTCTATCGTATCAGATAAATGTTGTAACTAAAATCACACAAATAGATCTGATTAAAGGCATATTTCTTATCGTAAACTCATTTATCGAAATCGAGGCCGATCATAGAACAAATAGAACATTAGATCAGTGGTTTATAAACTTTTTAGAATAGAAAGGAACACGCCCTTAAATAAATAAAAACATAGCTTATATCAGTAGGCAGAGCTTTCTTGTCCCTCCATTTTGGAAAACACTATGTTACAAATTCTTATTAAAAAGATAACAAATATTGGAAATGCTTTGCCAGAGCATCAATTAATCTCCTAATCCCAAGGCATCGAGATAATTATTTCCCAGATAGAAAACTGCACGCGATTGTATCAAATTGTTTCAAACGAAACACGATATATTCCAACGTATTATTCCCGACTGGTTCTAATACAGAATATCGTCGTTTCCTAACGTTGCTTCGATATCGAATTCCTATTTCTATTTCTGCATCGATAACTTTTGCCCTCGTAACTACAGTAGCATAGTTAAATAAAACGAAGAAGGTATTTATAATTTCTAATCGGTCAAAATTCACTTACTCTAGGTTTTCACTGCAATAATCGCGATTATTAAAAATATTCATGATCGAAGATATAGTTGTTTTAATTAGTTTACGTTTGAAATAGAATGACGAAGAATTCTTGCCAAATTTGATGCAAATTTCCAAGTACCCGCTTAACTGATCGCGTTCGTTTCGCCTTATCGCGCAAAAATATCGAAGAAAAGTACATTTTCCCAGTAATTTAAAGCGTCCCCTCCACGTTTCGTGCAAACTTCCAAGTACCCGCTTAACTGATCGCGTTCGTTTCGCCTTATCGCGCAAAAATATCGAAGAAAAGTACATTTTCCTGGCAATTTAAAGCGTTCCCTCCACGTTTTGTGTAATCTTCCAAGTACCCGCTTAACTGATCGCGTTCGTTTCGCCTTATCGCGCAAAAATATCGAAGAAAAGTACATTTTCCCAGCAATTTAAAGCGTCCCCTCCACGTTTCGTGCAAACTTCCAAGTACCCGCTTAACTGATCGCGTTCGTTTCGCCTTATCGCGCAAAAATATTGAAGAAAAGTACATTTTCCCGGCAATTTAAAGCATCCCCCCCACGTTTTGTGCAAACTTCCAAGTACCCGCTTAACTGTTCGCGTTCGTTTCGCCTTATCGCGCAAAAGTATCGAAGAAAAGTACATTTTCCCAGCAATTTAAAGCGTCCCCTCGACGTTTCGTGCAAACTTCCAAGTACCCGCTTAACTGATCACGTTCGTTTCGCCTTATCGCGCAAAAGTATCGAAGAAAAGTACATTTTCCCAGCAATTTAAAGCGTCCCCTCGACGTTTCGTGCAAACTTCCAAGTACCCGCTTAACTGATCGCGTTCGTTTCGCCTTATCGCGCAAAAATATTGAAGAAAAGTACATTTTCCCGGCAATTTAAAGCGCCCCCTACACGTTTCGTGCAAACTTCCAAGTACCCGCTTAACTGATCGCGTTCGTTTCGCCTTATCGCGCAAAAATATTGAAGAAAAGTACATTTTCCCGGCAATTTAAAGCGCCCCCTACACGTTTCGTGCAAACTTCCAAGTACCCGCTTAACTGATCGCGTTCGTTCCGTGTCAGTGCAACGCGTCTCGCGTTACATTTTTCTGACCACCTTTCGAATACCATCGACACGTTAGGTGACATTAGGAAAGCGATCGGAGATGACAAAGTGATGTGAACCACGTCATGTGGGAATCACGCGGTGCACCTAGAAACACAGTAACCCAATGGAGTCTGGAATAAACGAGGAAGCATATGGCGACGGACGCGCGGAAAATGTTGATTCATAAAGAAATAACGATGTTCGTTCGAAACCGGTTAATCGTACCATACGTCTTTGTACCAGCTCTCCCCGTCGTATGTCGATTCGAAATATCCTCCGAAGTAAGGTCGTTCCTTTCTCCCTAGTCTCTCGCGTTCTTCTGCGAAACTGTCTCCCTTTTCTTCGTTACGTGAATCATACGCGTCCGCGGCGTCCAAATTCCTCGCGAGTCCGCCATATTTCTTTTATTCCTAAACCCCAACGACAATTCACATCGAACTCTGCGTTCGACTTGTACTTTCGATATTAACTCCTCCATGCAATGCACGAAAAATTCTGTTTATTTAGTCTATGCACAAGATGGCGTCGAGAAGGGGAACGTACAGTGCCTTGAAATCAACATTTGGAATGGCAAATTGCCAAAATTGGAGTTACGGGGTTACCCTGTAAACTCGAAACGATTTACTAAACCCTGAAAAAATTGAAGAAGGAACCGTTGGAATAGAAATTGTAAAATCT